AAGAGAAGGATTTTGAACTCCCAAAACAGTTTTAGCAGGAAGCGTGTTTCTAAACATTTGAATTTGAAATCCTTACCTTCCCAAGCTTCTTTAGCTGCTCTAATCTTCTCCTCTGTTACCCCTCAAGCTATAGCTGCTGACGCCGACAATCTCAACCCTCCTCCGGCACCTCCTGTAATTGAGGCACAACCCACCAAACCAAACCTTCAATTCCTCCCCTTTCGCTCAAAATCTTCTTCTTACGGCCCCCAAACCTCAATCTCAAGCCTCTTCAGATCTCCCGGAAGGTAGCCAATGGCGTTACAGCGAGTTCTTGAGTGCCGTCAAGAAGGGCAAGGTCGAGAGAGTCAGGTTCAGCAAAGATGGTTCTGCCCTTCAACTCACCGCCGTCGATGGCCGCCGCGCCACCGTCATCGTACCCAATGACCCGGACCTCATCGATATTCTAGCCATGAATGGTGTCGATATTTCTGTCTCCGAAGGTGATTCGGGTAATGGGCTGTTTAATTTCATTGGCAATTTGTTGTTCCCATTCCTTGCATTTGCTGGGCTGTTCTTACTCTTTCGCCGAGCACAAGGAGGACCTGGTGGTCCTGGTGGTCTCGGTGGACCCATGGATTTTGGGCGATCAAAGTCCAAATTCCAGGAAGTTCCAGAAACCGGTGTGACCTTCGCTGATGTTGCCGGAGCTGACCAAGCAAAATTGGAGTTGCAGGAGGTTGTTGATTTTCTGAAAAACCCTGATAAGTACACTGCCCTCGGAGCTAAGATTCCCAAAGGATGCCTTCTAGTTGGACCACCCGGGACTGGAAAAACCCTTTTGGCTAGAGCAGTCGCCGGCGAGGCTGGGGTGCCATTCTTTTCTTGTGCAGCTTCAGAATTTGTCGAATTGTTTGTCGGAGTTGGTGCATCTAGAGTGCGAGATTTGTTTGAGAAGGCGAAGTCCAAGGCACCATGCATTGTATTTATTGATGAAATTGATGCTGTGGGAAGGCAGAGAGGGGCTGGTCTGGGAGGTGGGAATGATGAGAGGGAGCAAACAATTAATCAGTTATTGACAGAAATGGATGGATTTTCTGGTAATTCAGGTGTCATAGTTTTGGCTGCAACAAACAGACCAGACGTTCTTGATTCAGCATTGCTAAGGCCTGGAAGGTTTGATAGGCAAGTGACTGTGGACAGACCCGACGTTGCGGGTAGAGTTAAAATCCTTCAGGTGAGCTCCTTTTTAATAAAATATGGTAAACAGGAAGCTTGAGGATTATTGATTCAGTTAGTCTAATATGCAAAAGTAGAGCTCGAAGTCACTAGAAGTAACTAAACCGAACTGAACACATAAATTATCTAACCGTATATCATACTAACAACTATACATGTTTAGTTAGAATAAATTCTGTCCTCCTTTAATGCCTTTTGCAGCCCAATGCTTTTGTTGCAATGTTGGAATCTTCGATAATATGTCATGAATTAAGTGCTAGTTTTGATTTCCATCCATAGTATATAGTAGGGTGATGGAGTTCAAACGACATGACTATCTTTATGTTGTGTATCAATGTACTTCATACCTTGCAAGTTTTGGAGCACAGTGGTGCAGTCCTTAAGTTTGGGACTTGGATTCTCTCCACTACCCTTCCCATCCTCTTCCTCTCCATTACCCTCCTTTTCCCTTACAGTCATTGGATCAAAACTCCAATGGTCAGATTTAATATTTTATAACATTTTATAAAAATAAATATTATTATAAAAAATAGATAAATAAATTTAAACTATTAAAATCTAATCTTAATAGTTCATAGCTATAGACTATTATTATAGAGCAAATTTTTTTCAATTTTTTTAATTACAGTTGTGAACTATTCAGATCAGATTTTAACAGTTTAAATTTATTTATTTTTTAATAATATTATTTTTATAAGATGTTAAATCTGAACCATTGGAATTTTGATCTAATGGTTGTGAAGAGAAATGGAGGGTAGTGGAGGGGAAGAGAATGGGAAGGGTAGTGGAGAGAATCCAAATCCGTAAGTTTGAGCGTGAATGTGATATGCAGGCCTTGTTTAAAATCCACGTTTGGTTGGAGGGGTCTAAAGAGTATGCAACTCTAATTGCTGTACCTAAATTAATCGCCCTTCTCTCTCTTTGTTAGGTGCATTCTAGAGGAAAAGCTCTTGCAAAGGATGTTGACTTTGAAAAAATTGCCAGAAGAACCCCAGGATTCACAGGGGCTGATCTACAGAATTTAATGAATGAAGCAGCTATTCTTGCTGCTCGGCGAGACCTCAAGGAAATAAGCAAAGATGAGATGTCTGACGCACTTGAAAGGATCATTGCTGGACCAGAGAAGAAAAATGCTGTGTCTCAGATGAGAAGAAAAAACTAGTAGCTTACCATGGTATATATATAGGTGTTCAGTATGCTTGAGCTTCCTAGTTGCTCATTCTCAATTCCTTAACCATTAGTTTGTGCTTTTATTTTCAGAGGCTGGCCACGCCCTAGTTGGTGCTTTGATGCCTGAATATGACCCTGTGGCCAAAATATCTATTATTCCTCGTGGCCAAGCTGGTGGGCTCACATTTTTTGCTCCCAGCGAAGAGAGGCTTGAGTCTGGACTGTACAGTAGAAGCTACTTGGAAAATCAAATGGCAGTTGCTCTGGGTGGAAGGTCAGTGGACTATGCATTCATCACTGATGGATCTCTGTGTTAATATTATAGTGTGTTGCTTCCATCGGAAGTTCGAATATTTTTGCTGGACATTGCTTTTGTTGTGCCAATGCAGGGTTGCTGAAGAGGTAATATTTGGAGAGGAGAATGTTACAACCGGAGCATCAAACGACTTCATGCAAGTTTCGAGGGTTGCGAGACAGATGGTTGAGAGGTTCGGGTTCAGCAAAAAGATAGGTCAAGTTGCCATTGGAGGACCTGGCGGAAACCCATTTTTGGGCCAACAGGTGTTATTCTAATTTTAAAGTTGATCACACACGGTCATCGTCCATCTAACTTATCATCTAATTTCAACTTGGGCACTAATTTCTGAGGGCATACCCGCCTTTTGCATGCAGATGTCAACCCAGAAAGATTACTCAATGGCTACTGCAGATATTGTGGACGCAGAGGTGAGGGAGCTGGTGGAGAGAGCCTATGCAAGGGCAAAGCAAATCATCACAACACACAGTGACATCCTTCACAAGCTTGCTCAGCTTCTCATCGAGAAAGAAACTGTGGATGGTGAAGAGTTCATGAGTCTGTTCATTGACGGAAAAGCTGAATTATATGTTGCATAAATATGTATATACCTAAACTTAGCCATGTTTGTTCCATGACCATAAGGTTAGCAGATACTTGTACGCACTAAGTCAATTCAATTTTCCACCATAGTTGAACGAAAGAAAGGTAAAAAGGTTGGGAAACATTACATTAGCTCTTGTAATTAGATTTCGGTGGCGCCTCCTTTTTTTATACTCCTGGAAAGTTTACAGAATGTTAATTCTGGGACATTTAGCGGGGAAGTGGAATGGATGAGCAAGAAAAACATGCCTTTTCACAGAAGTTTAATGTCAAAATGTATTCCTTGTAGGTTCATTTCTCTAAGTTGTCTGGCTTAATAGGATTATAAACGATAGTTTTTTCCTTTTTCGGTGCAAGCAACAGTTTACCACGCAAAAAAGTTTTATAGGAGTCAGTTTCGTTGGGCAAAAAGGAAGTCATAATGCATGTTTATTAGAGAACTCGGACGGGGTGTTTGAAAGCACCTAAAAGTTCTTCTTAAAAGCACTTTTCAGTAAAATGAGATAAACTTATCCACATATTTATCTTGTATACTGTAAAAGTATTTTTAAAATCATGATTTGGTTTCTATCTAAACATCTCTGAAATCATCATTTCTCATATACTCTTAATGAGTCGCAAAATTTGCCATCCCATGCGTAATCATCAAGCAACTTCAAATTAAATTACTGAAGAACGTTGCCTTTTTCACGTTATAACTCTGAATCCGGACTACAAACATTAAATTCAAATTGTCTTCGGTTGCCTTGTCTTATTTTCTTCTTTTCTAGCTGGGACTGGAAAACACGGAACCCTCAGGTTTATGCCGATAGGCCCAAAACATAACCAAGTGGACCAGAAACGCCCTCGGCGTTCATTGCAGAAATAATTTCATACTTTCATTTTTTTTTTCCGACCCAGGTTTTTCATAAGAAGTATGCAACGCTTAGAAGCAATTTATAGAGTATTTGACCCGAAATAGAAGAACTGTATCTCTGGCAACTCCTAGGCTCCTATGTCATTACTTTATTCAAACACAGGAAATGCAGAGTCCATGATGACGAACAATGAAAGGGTGCAGCTTGTATGAAAACAGGAGATATTATCAAATTAATAAACGAGAACTGCATCGTTGGACACGCCTAAATACTCAATAAAAATTGCCAGCATTCCATGTAAGTGACATTATTTGGTTGAAGTCAATGATTCATGAATCAATACTAAGGAAATGACAAAAAAATGTAGGGTGACGTGCCTACAAATTGGAATACAATGTGGTTCTGTTCATTCCTTTTACTGCATTCTAGCGTTCTCAACAGGGAATTTTCATCAAACCTGTGATATTTCCAAATACTTTCATGGACCAAACATTAAAAGCATAATTATTGAACCCAAAACCGGCAGTTTTGTCTAACAAGCCATGTGCCGTGATTATCTTCAGCTGGGGCAAACCTATGCCTTTTCACTTTTCTGGGCAATTATGCTTCATAGGGACGCTACATCGGGACAGTCCTCGGAGACGTGGCGGTCATCATTAGGTGCTTTCAAGTTCCATTGATTATGCGTAAGATTAACCTGCTCCCTATTCAGGATAAGTGAATAGAGGCTGGGGTGGTCAATCGAAAGAACATGGGGTCCAATAAATAAACGACACCAATCCAACTCTATAAAACGACACGTGTTCCATGGTATACTGGCGTGGCCTCATCATATGTAGCCACGCATACTAACGAGACACTGATCAAAACAAACAAGCAGGGGCTGCTATGTATACATGTATATATATACAGAAAGTGGCTTCGATCTACGTTACAAGAAGATCCAACATTTTAGTTGAAGAAATTAAACCAGAGGTAGGCAGAAGAAGAAAGTGAATATGGAACAAGGGTCGAGGACAGAAGCATTTAGGAAGGAAGGAGAGAAGAAACTTGGGGAAGGACCTCAAATATCGAAAATGGAAGCAGTAACCGTGGAAGCGTATGGAGGAGGACTGTACGGCAGAGATGACAGAGAAGAAGGTCATCAAGAACAGTTGAAGAAGAAGGCACCAGCAAGTGATACACAGAGTGCAGATGGCCCTGTGGAACGCACTCGTCTTCCCCTCAACCATCATTCTCCGCCTTCCACTGGTGATCGAGATTTAGACATAACTGGCCAATCTTACATCCAATAGTAGTAGATCTCTCTCATTTTACCACCCTTTTTAGTTTTGACCTTTTTGTTATGGCTCTCCTCAGAGTTATTGTATATTGTATATGTTATTTGTTTGTCCTAGTTTAGTTACCGCTCAGAGTTACGTTATATTTAAGTGTCTTCAAAAAGAAAACAAACTTGAACAGGGAAAAGACCATGTCTTCGAAGGAAGATGACAGAAAATGACTGTTAAATTTGAAAATCACCAAACAATTGTATGAACATAGAAAATTCCCTTTCGGTCAGATATAACCAAGTGGAAATTTCGTGTAGAATGACACTTCTTTTCTCACTCAAGTGAATATTTTGGAATTTTTCGAAGTCGGTAATTACTTTTCTGCACCGAGCACGTGTGTATTTTGTTGCCAACGGATATAAAGTCATGGAGGTTTGAAAATATACTCCGGTCCTAAATATAATCCGGTCCTAAATGTATAAGGATTTTACATTTAGGACCGGAGGAGTATATTTTCAAACCTCCATGTTTTTATTTCTGTAGGAACAAGTATCTTTTATCAGAGATAATTCAAATCTTAACTCATCGTAAACAGCTAACCTCTTATACTGGATATAACCTGTTATGGTTCAAGCCTCCCTGTTAATTTCCTTTGTAGTTGGCCAAAACAGGTCTTACATCAATTTCTCAAAAGTGGCCCCTTTGGTCTAAAGGCTGGCTTGGCCCCCGCATCTATCCAAAATGTGAAGCTGCTCACCGACATACTATGACGACTACTAGGCACCAGCATGACCCAATGGGTCCCTCCGCCTTCTTAACCTTGGTGTTGGAGGCCTATATTTGTACCCTCCTCCGTTTTCCCATCCCCAAAAAGAAAACAAGAAAAGAAAAGAAGAAAGTTCGTGACGGTTTTTCTTTTCTATTAAAAAAAAATGTTTGAAAACAACAAAAAAATTTATTTTTTTTAAAAGCCAAAAAAAAAAGAAGCAAACTGCTACATTTTTTTATCCTTTATTTCACCACTTCAAGTACTCAAACAAAGTTTGTTGATTTTTTTCAATGCCTGTTCTAAAAAAAATTATTATGTAGAATTATTTTAGGAATATAAGAAAGAGATCATGGCCCTTTTGAAAAAGAAAAAAGATATACGCCGCCTTTATTGTTGGGCCAATTAACGATGGACACAGCATGAAAGCACTGTGTTCAGAATCTTATCTGTTAACATTGAAATGCCTGAAATGTCAACTTTTCCCTTTTCTGTTTTGAGTGCTGGGGCAGGCGAAACGGCGATCATAAATATATGGGACCATCTCGGCATTTCACCAATATCTCGATATTTCAAATATAATAACCATTAATTTTAACATCCCAATTTGGTCTCCTCGCTCAAGTCTGAACAAAACAAACTGTTCCACTCTTACAATCTATATATAATAACAAACCAGGCTTCAATTGTCCTGGTTTTGAATAGGATTGGTAATATGAATCAATCTACAAGTTGTAAGTTGTGGGTTGGCTCATGACGGGTTAAGCTAAAAAGACTCGTTTAAAGACGAGTTGATTTTTAATCAACCTTAACTCGTCAACACTTTTTCTTTTTTTTTTTTGAAATTTTTTATACAATATTCAAAAATAATAATAGATTTTTTGTTTTCTCTTGAAATATTTGATTGAAAGCACTAAATAAATTTTATAAAAAATTTTTTAAATAAGATATAATATATAATTATATAATTATAATCATTAAAAAATTAAATAAAAAATAAATGTGGGTTAGATCTCGGGTCAGTGGGCTAACTCATGACGGGTTGTGAGCCTGATAGTGCGGGTTAAAAAACTCGTTCACTAGCAGGTTAGTTTTTGACCAACTCTACCCAGTTATTTTTTATGGACTGACAGGTTAGACCCGTGAGTGTAATCTATGTCAACAATTCTGGTCCTAAGCAAATTTTCTCAGGGTTTTAAATTCTTCATCCGAAATCTGTACTTCAAAACTTGTTTCCAGTTAACGCTCTAAATCATCGCACTGTGTGAAATTAAAATATTTTGTACTGTATAGTTATTATTTGCACTGAGTTTCATAAAAATTATGTCCCTTTCTTCGGTCAATTTTGTTAAAAAAATTTGTGCTGATATTTTTTTCTTGCAGGAAGAAAAGGGCCATCTAGTTAGAATTTCTTTCGATTACTCGATATTTAACATTTCGAAAATCTCATTATTAAATAATAAGGGGAAAAAAGAGAGCTGAAAAGGTAACTCAAAGATGAAAAATATTAAAGAAGAGATAACGTGAGGGGATATAATTGCAGCTTTGAAAAGGAGAATTCAAAGCTGAAACCGAAAGGAAGGAAGGGCTGGAGAACCCCACAACGAAAGAAGGATTGCACATGCACAGCGAATTTCGGAGTCATTCTAGATTCCACATTGTGACCCTACTCCAAAGCAATACAATGACATTGAAGACAGTAACACTTGGGGAGTTCAAGATTTTGGAGAATTTCTTTTTAAAAAATTTAAACCTTATCACTTATAAATATGTTACACATAAAATTATGATCATATTTTATCAAGAAGTCGAAAGACATTTTCTTTAAAAGTGTGCGGACTACTTTTGAAAAAGTCAGTAAAAAGTTTCTATTTAAAAATTGTATTGAGTAGAATGACTAAAAGATATAAAATTCTTTAGAACCATGCATAAATAAAAATTTTTACTGGGCACTTTTTACCCATTTTTTCAATATTACATGAAAATTTTTAATTAATAATTCTTGGCAGTTAAGAACAGTTATAATCTGCAAGTATCTTGTGATAGAAAATCGATTACAGAGCAAACCTAATGATGGCTTTATTTTGTGCCCTTAGTACGTGAAGTAGTCTTAACGCCTCAAAAGCGTACAACATGAATTCCTGCACACAGCTTCACAGTTTGAGAACTATCCTGTTCAAGAATAACGCCAGACATTAAGAGTTTTTTACTTTCTATATAAATTATACTACCTCTGATTTCTAATATAAGACCTCGTTTGATTTTTATTTTGATCATAAATATAAGACCCCAATTCATTTTATCTCTAATATTTATGTATTTTTTTTTAAGATAGTCATTCTAACAATAATGGTTCTAACCAATACACTTGATTAGTAAGGATATTTTAGGAAAGACAACACCTATTTATGAAAAATAACTAATTTAACTTTTTTCTTTAATTTTTTTAAATTAATCAACTAGCTCTTATAATTAAGATCGGAGGTAGAATAAAACAAGAAATTTTTTTTAACCCTAATGATGCTAATGTTCTTATATAATTATTATAAAGTTTACCCACTCTCATTTTATATTATTTATCCCTGGCTACTTGCTAACCAGTTGGTAGATACATATTAATGAGGCCAAGTCAACAACAAGGAGACGCCTCAACTAATTTGCAACCACCGATGGATGAGATGAGAGGGATGGGGAGAATGAGGCTTCACTCGTACTGCAGTGAATCTCTGCCATATCACACTGCTTTTTTTTTTTTCCTTTTCTTTTTTTGCAAAAATAGTAAGAATGTTACAGTGCCCTTGTTACATGCCAATTCTTTTTCATAGTCTTTTACGATTCCACGCAATTCCACATACGATCTTATTTCTGACGTCCAAGATTCCTCCAGTACTCTGGTTTGATCAACTTTAATTATTATTATTATTATTAATTAGGAGCTGGCTTGTCCCACTTCAACGTAGCTGATCCATATCAAGTGAGGTGTAAAATATGTTTTGGCTCCATTAAAATGTAGTCCAATTGCTCATTAATTAGCTGACAGTTTCTCATAACAACATAAATTTAACTTTCATGATTTGTTGGATTTATTTGTAAATATGCTCTCCATATCCTCACACTCTTTAGATTTTACAAAGCATCAATCAGGTCGTTTTCACTTTTCATACCGACAACTTCCTTCGACCTGATGATTATGATGTTAACTCATAACTGAGATGCACTGTTTCGGAAAATACCACTATTACGAGCAGATCCAACAATTAGATAAACTATTCAAAGAAAAATAAATCCAAGTATTAATCTCCAGCTCTGAATTTAATGATTCGAAATGAAAAATTACAACTCATAACCCATCAAGCATTACATAAAGTCAACATTGGACTCCTCTTAAACCAGCTCATCCTGCTTGCTGGATCTCAGAATGAATAATTCTTTCGTCGTTTACCTGTTCTTCTTTTATTGGCCATGTGCGCCGCCATCTTTCCCCAAACGAATAAAATGTTTCAACCAGATAACCCTTTGGTCAATTTACAAAAAAAAAACAGAACTCGAGGACTCAATAAAACAAGGTTACCCCTTTGTTACAATAGAGGTGTTTTGATATAATCAAAATCAGTGTTTTTACGGTATGTAAAGTAAATACGTGAAGGAATTTATCTTGATCTATGAAAAAATATTTTTGAGAAACACTTCCTTCCCAAACACCCCCAATGCCCTTTTAACCATCGACAAGGCCAACCCTGTACATTCAATCAATCAATGTTTACCATTTAGCGTTTCCTGGGTTTCAATGAATTGATTCAGAGATTAACAAGCGCAGCAAAGAGCAGCCAAAATGTAAAACACATCTCACGGCCGTCATTACGTACGGCTTCTGATTTTCTAAATGCAAGAAATTACTCGTAAATAATTTTACACGAGGAGGAAGAGAAAGAAGATTACTCTATCTACGCTTATGGGTGGGCCAAACCCAACTTACATATGTCAGTCGCCGGCGGCGCGTCCCACGTGACTGCCCGTTTTTTGAGTTGTTTGAAATCTCGAAGGCAATCTTCTAGTCTCATAGTTTGAATTCGCCTCCTCGCCCCCGCAAATTTTTTACCGGCGACTTTATCGAATAGCCTCTCCCATCCATCTTCCCAGGCTCCCGAAGCGTTACAGAGACGGAGGCTTCCGTTATCCCAACGGGTCCAGCTCCATCCTCTGTTCAACACCGACATCGCTCTCCCCACGCATTCCTCTTTACAAGCCGCCCTGCAGGGCCGGCATTTCGCTCCGCTCAAAGGACCGGGGCTCGATAACGCAGCCACCGGCACGCCGAACTCGCCCGGCGGGAAATCATACCTCCGATCCGAAACGATGCAGAAAGGGAGCCTCTTCGTCGCGTATGAAACCCCTTGCGTGGTCAGCTGCGCTTTGAAGGCTGTCTCTGAATTGAGACCTTGTAATCCGGCGGAATCTAAAGCCGGTATCAGCGAGAGACGTGACAGGGCCACATTTGATGTATTCTGATCTCCAATCCCTAACCGATCATTTAGCCCTCCGTACGAAGATCCCTCCGGCACCACGTACCGACCGGCGATGAAGTGTTCTGGTTTCAGCGGACGATTCCAGTACCCGTCCACTCTTGTTCGGACTATCCAGTCATATTTCAAAATTTTCTTCGCCTCGTAACTTTTTATCATCGTGAGACATCCTTCGACTAGATTGAAATACTGAATTAGTCCCTGCAATAACGTCATTCCCAAACAAAATCAGATTAATTTATTTTACAAATATCTTCCTTCAAAGGATGGAATGCTATGCTTTTTCGTTAAGGAAGCTTTTTTTCTGTGGCGGTTATAATTATGGGAGACTTGAGAGTTACAACATCTAACGTCCAACAGGGGATTGGGTTGGTGGAAGTGGATTCACCCGTGGAGAAGCTGTTATTCCGCTCGGATGACCACCACGGCCACGCCACTTTCAATACCCGGGAAAAAAAAAATCCGAAACTAAAATGAGAGAAAAGGGGGGAAATGACAAAGAGAAGCCTGCTTGTTGATTTTTGAGCAAAATTTAAATTAAAGCGGTGGCGTAAAAGGGCGAAATTTAAACGTTGCCCACGAATCAATAAAAGTAGTTATCCTTCGCCGAAGTCCAGCAAACATCAGATTTGGTGTGAAATGAGATGGAATAAACACACTTTTCATTACAACCTGAAGAAATCGTTTGACAAGCAGAGCAATATTCACAGATTTTGGAGACGAGAAATTAAATGAAAAACTCGTGGAGGAGGAGGAATACGATTGAGACAGATCCGGTAGACTCGGACTCCCAAATTCCATATCGAACAAGTACAGTTTAGAAGAAAATACGGAATAGATCAAAATATGTACGAAGTGGTTGGAATGAAAAATTTCAGAGACAGAGAGAAGAATCATTGTAAACGAACCTGGATGGCGTTGGGAGAATGGAGCGCCGTAAGAACTCGAGTCTCAGATTCGGTCTCCGGCAAGGGCTGAGGCTGGAAGATGCGCACAGAAGCAACCCTGGGCGCATTCTTCAAGAGAGAGAACTTGAAAGCATCTTTGTCGAGTGGACTGTGCAAGAACAGGTCCGAGTTGGGATATCGCTTCAGAATGTTGTCGATAATTGAGGGTCCAGTGAGCTCAAACCTCCTAGCCCCACCAACCAAACACACCGCTATTCTGGACCGCAGCACCATCTCGTCCTTGGACAAAAAATCCCCATTGACGGTGGAATTGCCTTGAAAGGCAGGAGGGATAAGAAAGTGCCGGAGAGGCGAAAAAGAACTGAAAGGAGGAGAAGGGAAAGAAGAAACGAAGAAGAAGAAGAAGAGAAAGAGAGGAGAAACTATAAACAGCAGCCAACGCCAATCAAGATAAGAAACCCATTTGGCAAAGGGCATGGCTATCTTTTTGGGACTCCCTAGCATCTCTGATTCACTTTTCTCTTAATTTATGCATTCTCATTCGCCCTCAAAAGGGGAATCAAGCAAATCACGTATATATATAATATATGTAAGCAATATAATTCTAGAAAGTTGAGACGCACAAGAGAAGAAAAATTGGGGGCGCATCGCCTGCCCCGAGTTTTTTATCTATTGGTACGACGATGGCAGGTAGAAACTTGGCTGGTTGGTTGGCGATTGGCACGACGAAACGTCGTCGCTCAGTTCGGCTACCAACATCTGAATCTGAAGCTCCTCCATGGGAACGCTCAGGTTGTGAATATTCTCCCTCCTCCTTATTGAGCTTCTCTCTCGTAACTCACACCTAATTAGATGACCTTCCGCTGCCTAATTACAATTCGTCAATTACTTATAATTATTGTTATTATTACAATTAAAATTAAAATTAAAATTAGGTGGTTGGTGCGCTTTTCGACCATCTGCGCTTTTTTCCTTAGCCTTGGATATTTTTCCGGCTCGATGCTTTTTATCATGCGATTCCCGTGCTGCTCATATGTTTGCTGCTCCGCTGCCTCGGCACCGCGCGGATTTTTTTTTTTTGGTAGTATTATATTAATAAAAATTCTTAAAAAAATCTGAATATACGAAATTTTAATTCAGTGAACCAGCACTTAAAAATGAAAAAAAAGTGAGGCATAAACTATATTAATAGAATTAAAAATAACAAGTGTTGAAGTAACTATAACATGTTTTATAACTTTTTTTTCCGTTATTTTAGTTAGTTAACAAGTTGTGAATAAAAAATGACAAGTTTTATAATTTTTTTTTGGTTACAGATAATTTCATAACATTTTTAAAATGTTAGTTTAAGCTTCACTTCATTGAGTTATTTTTAAATTTTAAGTGCTAGCTATCTGAATTGAAATTTCATATATTCAAAACTTTTATTTTAAAAATTTTTCCTATTAAATTATGGGTGCATTTCAGTTAGGGGTGTTCGCAGGATGGGATAAAAAAATACTATAATTTCTTATATGAGTTTTTTTATGCTATAATAATTATTTTTTATTGAGCTTCTAAAGATAAAAAAAATTATAAAAATATTATGTAGAAAGCCTAATTATATAGTATAAAAAAGGTGTAAAAATAATATTGTAAAAAATATTGTAAAAGAGACAATATATAATGGCTTTATGAATTATTTTATTAAGAAAAAAGATTTTGTTGAGATAATACTATAACTTAAAGGCTAAAAATCGTTATAAAAATAATTATTATTATTAATAAGTAAATTGAATAATCTAATAATAATTATTAATAAATAATTTTTTTAAAAAAACACTCTAGAATTGGACGAGACGGGACAGGACAACCTCATCCCACGTCACATCCCGTCTTGTCTAATACTTGTCCCATCCTGAATTTGTTTTTTTAGTCCCGTTCTATCCGTCCCAAACTTATCGGGACAAATTGAATACATCTAGCTCAGTTTACATGCTTTTGACATTTTCAGGAAAACAACATAAGGAGAGAATGACATAAAAGGATCCCTGAAACGGGTAATTGATAAAAATTGTCCCAGGAAATAACTAAAATTCAGAGAAACTTGGTTGGAATTAAAATTTGTCCATTGGGAAACATCTCATGGGTGAAATTAAAATTTTGAGCGCATTTACATGAATGCTCTTCGCTTTTTTCAAATAATAGTTGCCATTCATGAGTATGTATTTGTTATTACGTATGAGTAGAGTGTTCATAAATTAAAAAAAAAAAAAAAAAGGCAAATGAGTAGAGTGGTTATTCATGATATTACATGTATTTCTCGCTTGCAATCATATGCTTATCATTCCTGAATAGAAGATTTTATTCTTATTATAAAACTTAATTAATGATTTTATATAATATTTTCATCACATTAGTAGGGGGCGTTAGTGGTCCAATGGTCAAATGTTTCAAAAAGTTGAGGTTCAACCGTTCAAATGCCATTTTAACCACCCCCTCCTCAATAATTTTCTAATTTTAATTAAGTGCTCAAATCTTTTCTGATATTAGCCCATTTCATAGCACTGTTTTTATTAAGCGCCTGTTTTAGCTTTACTTATATGTCATCCTTCCTCATATAAACGTCAATGGTCATATGTCAATACTCCATAAATTAATATAAAACAACACAATTTCAACAAACCATGCCGCGTTCTCAATAGTTACCATTACTTATATTTGTTTAATTTTCTGCGCAATATAAAAATACTTAACATTTATTTTTCTAATCAGCACAATTGTGACTTTTTTATAAGTAAGCAGTACCGTCACAGATGTAACTCCTTTTATTTATTCCAAATTTCGGTATCATCTATCATTTAATTTAAATAGTCGTAGCATTATTATAACTTAATTATTTTCTACTCTATTTTAACGTAGTATATAACACAGCAAACTGCTGGCAAGCCCAGCAGAAATCATGTGCGGTTTCCGCCCATGGTAAAAATGCCACGTGCAAGGTTATTAGGTGAGGTACCAGACAATATATCAAATTTAGCAATCACAGCTACCATATGAATTTAAATGGCAAAAAAGGTAAATATGTGCAATTTGCGCGTTAAGAAATTAATGAGCAAATTTAAAATAAGACCTCTACTTGGTCAGAATTTCTAAAACGGAAACCAAGTGCTTCGAGGACAAATGCCGCCAAATTATTGCGTTTGTGCTGGAATCCGGATGTGATTTTAGGATATTTTACAGGAAAATAATTGAGGGGAAAATATTAATGAGATAAAGACGAGTGGGTTGTTATCAACTTTTTTTTTGTGGTAACAGCTGTTATCAACTTTTGTTTTTTGGCGGTGGAAGATTTGCTAACCTGCGAGAGCCCACATGGGATTGATGAGGATTGGGAGGGACGTACCCAGAAAGAAGCGAATCAATTCTTGCTTGCTGGACAAAGGTGATTGGGTTTGCATGAAGATGGCCCACTTTCCCAGTAGCCTACTTCACCTCATAGCTTCCTTTATTATTTTATCTTTTTCCTAGTTCTTGTCCTCTTTCACTTTTTCAAGTGATTAATTAATTAATTAATTGAGTTTATATAAGTTGATCCTTTTCTTAATTGCTGATCAAAGTGATTCCTCACCCACAGAACCCGGGACCATGGAACCAGTCCTGAACATTGAGTAAGCAGCGGTGAAATGGACCTGGATTCCTTCAATTGAGGTTCAATCAAGGTACATTAAAATTCAGCCCAAAAAAAAAAAATCAAGGTACATTAAACAGGTGGTGCCATTGTATTCAAATAAAGACTTATGTTTATTTCTCTAAAACATTTTTAATTTCTTCCCTCGGTATTATTAGATCATACTCTTCGCCTATTTATAAAGTATAGTGCGATTTTTTCCCCTATAAGTTAGTCTATTAGATTTCTAACATAAATATATTATTTTATCCCTTTATATATTTTTTTTGGAAAGTATATATATACACACATAGTAGATAAAAAAATAAAATTATTAAATTATTAAATTTTAAGTTGTGGATAATAAAATTTGAATTTTTGGAAAGTCGTTTGTAAATATATTATTATTCCCTTGATTCTATTTATAAGGCAAATAGTGAATAAATTTTTTTGTCATGTTTACAAAGTATAGAGATAAATTTTTTTATGTGAATTGACAACTTTACCATTCACTTATTATTGCGTTGACTTTGTTATCTAACTACTCCTCCGGTTCTTAATATAAGACCCATTTAACTAATTTGATTAGATTAATGATGTTAGGTAAGTCAGTTAATCATAAGAAATGTCACATGTTTTTCCTAAAATACCATAATCATCTTTCTTAATACCTCATCTTCTTCTACTACTTGATTATGGTTGAGGGAGTCTCTATAGGGGTAATTTAGAAAAAATTGATAAATATGAGAAATGGGTCTTATATTTAGGATCAAAACTAACTCAACAATTAGGTCCTATATTAAGGACCGGAGGAGTATAATGTATACTCCTCTAGCCTTATTTATAGAACAACGGAAAAATATATTTTTTAGTTTTATTTATAGGCCACTAAAAGATTTTTTGAACATGGATATATAATTTTTTTGTTGACTTTGTTTACATGAGTTATAATGTATATTGAATAGAAATAAAATTAGAAAATTCTTGAATTTTAAATGAGAGCTAATGAAGTCTAAAGTTTTCCTTAGTATGTGTAAAATATATTGTAAATGATTTATAAATAAGGCTAGAGGAGTATTAAATATAAGTAAAGTTGAAAAATTAATAAAATTTAAAATTTTTCTTGATTTGTGTGGTATATTGAATAAGGATAAAATTGAAAAGTTGTTGAATTTTAAATCAGAGCTAATGAGATTTAAAGTTTTTCTTGATCAATGTGAAACATATTATAAGTAACTTGTAAATAAGATTAGACGAGTATTAAATATAAGTAAAGTTTAAAAGTTATTTCTCGAATCCTTAATATAAGATCTAATTATTGAGTATTAAATTTGAAAGAAAAATTAATAAAATTTAAGGTTTTTTCTTCGTTTGTGTGGAACACATCTAAAATGACTTGTAAACAAAACTAAAAAGCAATTAATGGAGTACTCCTAAATTAAGAAAGTGCTTGGTTTAATAAAAAAACACACCTAAAAAATGTTTTTACATAAATTAAGACAAAATTATTTTCATATATTTATTTTGTATACTATAAAATTATTTTTAAAATTATAATTTGTTTTTTTATCAAACACTCTTTCAAGGAGGTGTTTAGATTACCCACTAAGTGCTTTTAAAAAATATTTTTTCTTAAATCGAGATAAATTTTTTCATATGTTTATTTCGTATATTATAGAAATACTTTTAAAACTATGATTTTGTTTCTATCTAAATTTTTTTAAAATCTCAAGTGAGGCGCCACAATTTAGGGCACAAATGGGGGTTGGGTCTAACAGAAGGAGCTAATCCCTCGCAACGTGACGAACTAAGGTTCGAATCTCTGTTGGGAGAAGTGTCCACATTTAGTACCCGACAGTGTCTCAAATAGAATTACTTCTAATAGGAAGATACATATATTTTAGTATAAAAAAAAAATTTGGGCGCAAATCGGCCGTGAACTTCCCCTGGCCGCTGGCTTTCCACCCGATCAACGGACTCCCTGGAGCACGTCCAAGAACGGTAATATTCCCCGAAGACCATAGGATTAATTAATACGTAGTACTACGGTTCATGTGCTTTCGATGGATGTTCCATCTTTTACCTTTGTGCAGTCCATTTTTGTTCTCTCACTCGTTTGAAATCTTTACATGAATCAGGCCCAAAAAAAAAACGAAAAAGAAATCTTTACATGAAGTGCAGATACATAAATATGCGTACTACTGTTGTGCTTAATATAGGACCTAATTATTAAGTTGATTTTTGTTCTAAATATAATATTCATTTATCATATTTATCAATTTTCTCTAAATTACTCCTCTGGATACTTCTTTAACCATTATCAAATACAAGAGGAAGATATGGTATTAAAAAAGATGATTATGATATTTTAGAAAAAATGTATCACATTTCTTATAACTAACTAACTTACCTAATCTAATCAAATTAGTTAAACAGATTTTATACTAGGAATAGGAGGAGTAAATACACATTTATTACACGTAAAAAACGCACGTCCCGTCCAGGGAGACCAATAGCTTATAATGTGGTTAACTGTTATTTTAAATATAAAATTTTAATTTATTTTATTTCTTAAGGTGATGATTTTTTTAAATTCTTCCTATTAATTATGTATACATTGAGGAGGTTTTAATTTACGGGTAATTTTCAATACAGATAATTATGGAAAGTACTATCTCCAGATAATTCATCAAATTACATTGTTTGAAATATTAATTAAAACTAGTTGAATATGTAAAAGAAAATATAACTTTTTTTAATAAAAAACACTATCATTTGTGTGGAGAGTATGCATGTAAGAATTAAATATGCAATATACAAGTACCATTAGTAATTATATGAGAGTAAAATAAAAAGCTAACAAAGTAAAGTTGAGACAACATCTAAACGCCTCATATAAAAAGAAACATGCCATACTCTATAACTGTCTCTCGTAAAAAGAAACAGACGGAATACTTTAGGTAACCGATACATATTATTAATAAATAAATAATTTAACTAATTTTTTTAATATATATAAATTAATTATTTAACTCTTGTTTTTGTAATTGAATGTGCTGTGAATTGGCGACAGCAAAAAAATGTACTAGTGTAATTTATACAATATATTTTGTAATGTAATTTATATTATAAAATAAGTTTTATATTTAGGATATAAGAATTACTGTATATTGGCGTGTTCAGCTGTTCTTGATTCTAGATTGAATAGAGTTTTTGATTTTATAATCTGCACACCACTTTGCTGATAATATTTCTTTATTAACCAAACGAGCCTTGGACGACACCAGTAGTCCCCGCAAAGAAAGCCGTGAACCTGAGTAAGGGTTTTAATTAATTAAAATATATCTGTCATCCATGGACACACCACGTTAGGGTTGTATATGGGCAGGGCTAGATAAGACAAACCCTATGTCTGATGTCTAGCTCGAAAAATGAACGGGTTGTGTTTTGTAGCCTGCTACCCGACCCTGCCTGGTATAAGTCCTAACTATTTTGGGCTGGGCAATGATGAGTTGGGCAGGACAGACTTTCATGCCCAACTTAACGACACTTTACCAAATCATATGTGGAAAAATTCAATTATAACTAACAAACTCGTAAAAATTATAACTAGTTTGAAAGATCAAATATGAAAATATAAATTTAAAAATACCAAGCTGTCCCTAATTAATCTTTTTCTATTTTCCCTAACTTCATTTTTTAATAATTAAAACATTTAATAACTAAGCTAATTATATAATTCAATTCTTTAGTTCATTCATATAGTTAGTGGATTCTTATGATCATATGAAAGCACAAGATTTGAAAGATGGTTTTAGTTTTTTTTTTGTTTTAAAAAATTGGAGGTAAGAGGAAAAGAAGGAAATTTGATTAGGAGCAATTTAACATATTTAATCTTATATTTTGATATCTGGTTCTTTTATATAATTATAATTTCTATGTTCCTTTTATTTTTTCTAGATTTACCTAATTTTTTTTAGCTAAAATAAAAGAGGATAATGGATGAAAATAGTATAATATTGTATATTATAATATATGTATAATTATATATTTTTATGTGTAAAGCCAAATGGGCAGGGCAACATACCCTGTCCACGCCCTGGCCCTACCCAAAAATACCTATTTTTGTTTAGGTAGGTTGTTATTGAGCTAGGCTGGTTTTTTTTTTTTTTTTTGCAAGCTTAGGCACACATTTAGAGTATGCGGGTCTTATGCACATCCCTAACCACATATATACTCTGATCTAATTAAAATGGAAAAAAAAACTGTCAGGCGTAGACATTATTCTTTTCACCGAGACACTCAAATTTGATCCTTAATATATTGATCTTAAATATAATATCCTAATTTATTTTTTTCTCATATTTATTCATTTTTTTAAAGTATTCGTTATAATAATGATAGTTTTAGCAAATATATTTGATAAGTACAGATATTTTAGAAAAGATAATATTTATTTATTACAAATAACTAATTTAACTGGTTTTTTTAATCTATTTAAATTAATCAACTAATTCTTATATCAAGGACCGGAGATAGTATATATTAAAATTATTTTTGCATTAAGTTTCATCCAATACTCCAAAAATATTTTTTCATGTGTATTCAGTAAAAATACTGGATGTATCTAAAAAATATTTTAAAATGCTGGATGAATCACAAAATATTTTAGGATACTAGATGCGCTTGACAAAATATTTCAGGGTGATAGACGAATCAAAAAATATTTCTAAGATTTTGAATTTGCCTAAAAGATAATTTAGGGTGTTAGATAATTGCATTAGAAAATATTTTAAGATGCAGGGCATATCTAAAAAAAATATTTCAGCGTGCTGGATGAAATACAATATTTTAGAATAATGAATGTACTTGAAAAAAAATAATTTAGAGTATTAAATGAAACTTAAACCAAAAATAATTTTCATGCATATATTTTTTTTAATAAAAATGGCAAAAAAAGGAAAAAGCCAAAAAAAAAAAATCTAAGATCCCACACTGCTCAGCACTCAAAAGTTGGAGTGAGTTTTATCTGAGTCCATTCTGTTCTCTTCTAAAGCCCAATCTATCCGGGCCATGAAAGCCCGACATGTTCAAGCATTATTATGACATTAGATGGCTTGGGTTGCTTGCCAGTTGGGCCCAGTATCATGGGGTCAGGAATAAACGGTTCAATCTCGCATTAGAATTTTTCAATATGAGACTGGATGATTTTTGTCTGATTCGCTAGGTTTTCAGTATTTATTATACTCCTCCGGTCCTTAATATAGGACCCAATTCTTAAGTTGATTTTGGTCCTAAATATAGGACCCATTTCTCATATTTATTAATTTTCTCTAAATTACCCCTATGGATATTCCCTCAACCATAATCAAGTAAAAGAAGGAGAGAGAGTATTAAGAAAGATGATTGTGGTATTTTAGGAAAAATGTGTCACTTTTCTTATAATTAACTAACTTACCTAACTTCCTTAATCTAATCAAATTAGTTAAATGGGTCTTATATTAAGGACCGGAGGAGTATATATTTTTTGTTTTCCTGTCATCCTCCCGAGCAACTCATGCACCGCAACTTCTGCGTAATTAAGTCAAGATTTAAGGTGGTGCTTAGTATTAGTAGAGAGAAACGGTTCTGAGCTCTGTTGCTTGGCCTGGTGGTTAGAAAGGGTGCCCAAAGTGTGCACTCGCCTCTAGGTCTTGGTTTTAACATCTCATCCTGTCTTTCTGGGCAAACTCCGGATTAGTCGATCCCTTTAAAGATCGGATACCGGGGGAGTTATAACCTAATTCAAAAGAAAAAAAGAGAAACGGTTCTAGTTAATACTTTTAGCATTTACTAATAGCAACAATAAATGCTAATATGCTGTAAAAAATGGTAGTAGCAATAATGATAATGATAATGATAATAATAATGCGCTGGAAGGCTTGGGGCGGGAGGGTTTGAGAAGAGGGGCTTATCCAAGGAGCCGGAGGGGACACGTGGAGAGATGGAAGAAGAGAGAGAGAGGATCAAGGCTTGGTTTCCTCGTCAAAGAGCAATTGAATTATGGCGCCACGTGGCATGGAAGTCGACCACGAATGCCCGGGGACACGTAGTTCAGAGTCAGACGTATATCATCCACAGCCACGTTCCAATGGTCAACAGGTGCTCCCGGGCTTGCCCAATGAACCAAAGCTGCTTCCACGTCTCATCCACCGGACGTGGCATTCCAATGGATAGATAAGGGTCCTATCACTTTCCATACTCAATTTTATCCAATTCCGCTCTTGCCTTCGCTCCCAAATCCCCATCCTCTCGCGTCCGTATCCCCCTATTGTGCATGAATTTGCACTGTCCCATCGTCCTTTTGATTCGCATATTTTCCTCTGTTCTAGTATACCTGACTTCCTTCACAATGTAAAGCCACATATCTGCAACGAAATTTTAAATATACGTAATTTCAAGGAAAAACATCTCCCAACATTGCTACTCACTCGGATCCTTTCCTTTCATTTGTGTGTTTAGAAAGAGCAAGATAATATCGCAACAAACATGGACTCATGAGAGGCACACTAATTCCCCCCCCCCTTTATATTTCTCTGCGCACCGTCTGCATTTAATATGTAAAACGAGGAAATGGTATAAAATTAAAAGAAATATTTTATCTGACTCAATTCCGATTAGTTCGAATCCTGATAAATCTTCTTTTTAGAGTATGATAGGGGACGTTAAAAAAGCTACTTAAAATTAGTTATCTTCATTAAATATGTTAATATTTTTAATATTTTTAATACTACGTTTCTCAATTTGTGATTAATTTTCCTAAAAATATATAAAGTGTTCTATAAAAAAACAACGCGAGGGAATACAATTATGTGTGGAAAATAATTTAAGGTATATAAAATTCCTTATTCGAGGAAGGAAGAAATGGCACGTGGCAAATCCAAAGTGCGGCAAAAGGCGAGGGGAACTCTAAATCAGAAAGTTGTGGGACCCCGTTGGCTCACGTGTTACGTGTACACGATTAAACAATAAGTATCGGGATTCGCCGCTCCCGATGGATCTGAGTTCCTCCTCTCTCGTACCCACTCCAGCCACCGCTTTTGCTTTTATCACCATTCCAATTCAAATGTCCCCAAACAAAGATTCCGATTTTCCCTCTGATTCTCCCTTCATTCTCTCCTCTCTTTCCTCTTTTTAACATTCAGAGTCTTCATCCAAACACTGAAAAAGGTTTCACATTGTATCACAGCTGCCTCAACTCGAACTCCAAGTCTGTCAATGCCATTTTCCCCCAATGGCGGCGGCGACTTTCAGAGGCTACTCCGCGCAATTTGATTTCCAGCTCAGACTTCTCCATTATAATACTCATAATGTATTGCAGCACAGAAAGCTGTGGTTCCGCCCTGATCGACTTCCTCTCTCTCAAATTTGCTGCTGTTGTCCCGATTCATTGGTCCCGATTCGCAGAATCTCTCGGCCTGGCAACACCGGTGAGAGGACTGAAGAATGGCGGTTCGATACTACCAAAATCCCCCACAGAGTTCGTATTCAACCGTCTCCTGCAATGCCCTTTGCTTCACCACTGTAAGCGTCTAATTTCCATTACTACACTATTGTCATTTTATATAGATAGCCGTATATATATAATATCAAATTGTTATAAATATATCTCCGCCTCGGGGTCTATGGGGTCACTAATGTCAACTGTGAAGGTCTGCTATGGTTTATGCTAGTATGCGTTGGCAGTGGTAAGACGATGAACCCAAAAGGCAAGAAATGCTTTGTATTCTATTTTCGAAATTTTGACAACCTTGATGTGATAGGAGGTATTGCATCGATCAAGTCTATGCAGTTTTTCTATTTTTCTTTTAAGTTTTCAGCTTTCTTAGAACCAGTAGAAGGCTTAAAATTAAATTGTTCTGTGATATTCTAGCGAATGGTGAGGACCGTCTCTTGGCTCGTAAGAGATTGAAGTGGTATTATCATGCATCAACACGGCATGAATCGAACGATGGGTTTGCCTTACAACGAAATTAACGGGGCTATACCTTTTGTAACTAGTAAGTAAAAATGACCTAATAATGAAATGTTAGTTGAATGCACAAATTGGTATACTATTTTGAAATGAAAATTCTTTAGTTGTCAATAATGTGATGAAACTTAAATGCCTGGATCAACATTGAGGACAGATGGAGGAACAAAGCTTAGTACTTATTTATCCACTTTTCCTCAGCGTAAATAATGCTTTGTCTTGGGAAATACGTTATACCATTGCATAATAATGGCTTTATTTTGTATCTTTTACAATTTTCTTCTTATGAAATATGCTTTAAATGATTATGCTCCTTAATATCGTAGTGGCCACAGATCATCTACGAAGCAAGAAAAATTCTACCCTCGCTGTAACCCGAGAAATTCAGGTCCACAGTCACGTGATACTCCTCCCAAAAGAGGTAGATTATGAATGATATTCTTGCCAAATTGTTACAGTGCCATGGTCATTCTGTCTAATGATTAAAGAGAAGCCAATGTTTTCAGTTGGCCCTTTACAGTATCTTCAAAACTATTTTTCTGTGTTAATTGGTTTTTTCAGACACTGGTATAGCAAACGAGAAGGACTGGGGTATCAGCTTGTTGAACGAAAACATAAATGAGTCTGGCATTAATGAAGATGGGAGCACCTGGTTTAGAGAAAGTGGGGAAGAATTGGGTGAAAATGGATATAGATGTAGATGGACAAGGATGGGAGGTCAATCTTTTGATGGTTCCTCAGAATGGAAGGAAACGGTATTTATACTTTTATACTTTTGAAATTACTAGTATGATTGATCAGGAATTAACTCTGCAGAAGCAGCTTTTGTTAAAGTTGAATGAAAGTTATGTCATGATTTCTGTTGATTTTTTTTTTCCATGCCTGGTTATCAAAAGAGACTAACTCATTACTGTAATTTGAGTGTTAATTTTTTCTTTTGAAAAATTGGTGATTAATATTCTTAATCAGGAATTTTCAGCTATATCAACTCGTCCCAACTCATTTAACTGACGGGCAATTTTTACTGGTAGAGACAGTAATTGTCATCAATACGCATTGCACCAACCTTTACCTAGGGTCAAGTTCTTTTACATTCAAAGATCTGCTGGATGCAGCCATGATGTTATTGTTTTGCAATTTCTTTTAAGCACTTGTTTCTTCGTAAGTTCTTAGGTTTACACTGTTCAACTTCGACAGGAATTTAGCTTTTTGATTTTATGGCTGATTAATTCCATTGTATAAATATTATGTTTTTCAACTTATTGTTGGTTAAACCTAGATGCTAGAAATACCATTAACATGTGATATTTGTTCACATATATTGGGTGCACAAATATTTTTTGTTGCCTAATCAAATATGGTTTGCATGAGTTTGATATTTTTGTTTGACCCCATCAAGCACCTTTCAGTTGGACTCATTCTTAACATGTTATATTGTTTATGACCTTATCAAGCACCATATACCAGGTGGATTCATTTAATTGGCTTTATTGATCTAATTGACAGTGGTGGGAGAAGAGTGACTGGACGGGATATAAGGAGTTAGGTACATTACTCTCTTTGTCTTTGCTAGAGCAGCTTGATATTAAATTATATGGAATTTGTTCTGAAAATGTTAGGAACTCTGATTGTTTTGGGAGGGAGTCCAGAATTACTTCTGGAAGAAGCAACACTCATGTGACTTTTTCTTAAAGGTGATTTTGGGGAGCTCCAAATATTGCTCTGGACCCCTTAAGTTTATTTAGCAAAACTCTAGAGACATATTGTGTGTACATGTATTTTGGTCAAAGTTGATACAATGTAGAGAAAAATAATTTGGTTGCTCTTTGGTTGTGTCTAGAAGTGTTTCTATTCACGTATCCTGCTTCAATAAAAGTTACTGGAATGCTGGATCTCCATTTGTTGTCTCATGATCTCTAGTTGGTTGAGTAGTTGTTTCTCCTATGTTTAGTTACCCATGTACCTTACTTGCAATATTCTGGTCATATGCATTTGTTCACAAACTTCTGTTTGAATGAATGGCCGCTGGACAGACTCAAACATGACGTCAAAATTTGCTTGTTTCATGTCATACCATATCCACTATTGCATTTGATGAGCAGGCTATGCTGCTAGGGGGTTGCTTAATTCATACATTCGTGAAAAATGGCATTATCGACCGAGTTTCCTCAAAACCTCATTCTGAATTGGCTGTTATTTTCATTTACAACCTTGGCAAATTTGCCTAATATATTAGGGGACTCAGACAATTTATGTTCCCAGTGTACTGCATTCTATATTTACTAATAGTGTTATTGATTCTCTAATTAGTGTCCTACAGGCTGTAGTGTCATTATTTGTCACCTGCTTAAATGATCAAAATGTTGTCTTTGAACGGACTCAGACAATTTATGTTCCCAGTGTACTGCATTCTATATTTACTAATAGTGTTATTGATTCTCTAATTAGTGTCCTACAGGCTGTAGTGTCATTATTTGTCATCCGCTTAAATGATCAAAATGTTGTCTTTGAACGGGTGCACTTCATTAGTGTCATATTCTCTTCCAGGTGTGGAGAAATCTGGTAAAAATGCTGAGGGGGATTCATGGTGGGAAACATGGCAAGAAAATTTAAATCAAGATGAATGGAGGTAACTTTTTTTATTTTTAATTATTTCCATCTTGCAAATAAGGAAAGCTATCATCTGAACTAGCCTTGCGTGCTTATTCTTGCAGCAACATAGCAAGAATAGAAAGGAGTGCACAAAAACAAGCAAAATCAGGAACTGAAAATGCTGGATGGTATGAGAAATGGTAAGCTGATACTGCATATGACATCAAATATTGGTGTTCTCTATGAATCATTTATGAAACAAATGCATTTAAGACTGACCGTTCAATTTGGGTAGGTGGGAGAAATATGATGCTAAAGGCTGGACTGAGAAAGGTGCACACAAGTATGGTAGACTGAATGACCAATCATGGTGGGAAAAGTGGGGAGAAAACTATGATGGAAGAGGATCTGTTCTCAAATGGTTCTATTTAATCATCCTTTCATGTGAATTTGCTTTAATGATCTTTTATGCAGTTTCACGTTTCCATGTGCTATATGTCTTAGAATAGGTAAACATAGGTTAGGATCCATGGCGTAAAGTGTAAAAATATTTTTAACAGCATCGAATAACATCCTTTATGATGATTTTTTTTTTTCTGGATGATGACTTGTTTTTTTTTGGGAAATTGATAATTTGATTTCTATTAGGCAGATCGAAGTGAGAAAGTTTCATGATCAAAGATTATTTTGCATCTATTGATTCTTAATATCAACATATCATGTACTTTTTAAATAAATTGAAAAAGGGGAACACGGCCTTTGATCACATAGTTATTAACTCTTTCTTAACGTCTGTTGAGTAAGTTCAACTTGATAATTGCTCATAAACGAATTATTTTTTTTGGCTGACTCCTATGCAACAGGAATTTTCTAGTTGATTGTTTTAGGAGTGGAGGGGGTACCCATCCTCCAATTTTTCTATGCAGCTCACTTTGTATCAGTTCTGATTGACAATCTTCTTCACGCATCCTTCTGCTATATAATTTTTATAATTTCTCAGGACTGATAAATGGGCTGAAACTGAGCTTGGGACAAAATGGGGAGACAAGTGGGAGGAGAGGTTCTTTAGAGGCTTGGGTACACGGCATGGGGAAACATGGCATGTATCTCCCAATAATGAACGTACGTTCTCATGATGATTTTAGTGATTTTAGTTTCTGTTTATCACAATCTTTTCTTTCATTTTCTTTTCCTTTTTGGATGTCATTATGCCCATATGCCTCCCATAGATAGTCTTGCAGGTTAGATTAGCTTATTTGGTAAGAACACTTGTTCTCATCATGTACTTGATTTAGGGAAGTCATTCTGTGTTTGCTTTCGCCCCACCCCTATTATATATCCACACAGTTACATCACAGCAATGTTGTGGTGTATCTTTATGGTGACGACTTCCTCCTAGGAAAGAACCCCATGTTGAAGGATGGACTAAATTTTGGCTATCTTCATATTTTAGGTTTCCATTGACTAATAAAGTTAATCACCAAGATCTTGAGTAGTCTGGTTCAAACTCGATGCCAAAGCTGTGAGTTTAGAAAGGCATATTTTCAGCTTTGCTGTCAATCCATTCAAATGGCAAAAAGCAATGATATTGTTAGTCCTGTTCACCAAACATGGTTGCCCTCTATTTTTTCCCCATCATTCTAATTTGGGTCATTGCCTTGTGTATTCACGGACTAGCGAGGGCCAGATTGACCCTTCCTTTCCAAGTTGCTGATTTAATATAAAAAAGTGGGGCGTTTATTCTTCTTATCATGTTTCATGTTATAATCATTGGCAGCCATAGGAGTACCTTGGTTGGTGTTTGGCTGGCTTCTTCTCTTTCATTTTTCATCTTCTATGCGGCTGATCTTGACCATATTTGGTTTTAGCGTAACGTTAATTTTTTTTTTTTGGGGGTGAATAGTATAATGTGTTTTCTTCCTTTCGTCAGGTTGGTCAAGAACTTGGGGAGAAGAGCACTTTGGAAACGGGTATGAACGAAACTATGTTATAGCTGATTGTTTTGCTATTTTTACTTCTGATAACGGCTTCTTGCTGACATGGACTCATTATGTCAAATTTATTAAGCACATATCACCTGAAATGACCTTAGGAAAAGTTGTCGGCAGGGGCTGATTAGAGGCTTTTTCTTGTATCAGGAAAGTCCATAAATATGGAAACAGTACAACCGGTGAAAGCTGGGATATTGTTGTGGACGAGGAAACATATTATGAGTAAGATCACTGCTTTCCTAGCATATAATCAATCTTTAGTATTTTTTTTTTGCCAACCAATCTTTAGTATTTTGTTTTGAAGGAAGTAGCATATACCAAAAAATTTTAACCAGATAATAATCTTCTTGTAATTGAAGTTTGGTGATGTTTCTGTATGAAGGGCTGAACCTCATTATGGTTGGGCGGATGTGGTGGGGGATTCAACTCAGTTACTTTCCATCGAGCCTCGAGAAAGGCCGCCCGGTGTCTTTCCTGATTTAGACTTTGGTTCAACCACGCCCCCTCGATCTGATGTCCCACCAGAAGATTTGCCTCCTACACAATAAGGAGCAGATTTTTGTCCTCCATATTTTATTTTTTATAATTATCATTTTCTTTAGGATGGTAGAAAAGTCCCCAACTGATGCTTGATTTGTAAAATAATTTTATGCACCAATCATTTATTCATTCTTTCCATCGTTATTTATTTTTGGGTGAAAGTTATTTATTTTCGTTGTGGAAGGGTATGAGCATTGGCCTTGGCATGGAATGTGTCAACGTGGTATGTAGGGTATGAATGAGGAAATTGCAATGAATGAATATTAAATGGAAAAAATTATGTTGACACGCTTTCAGTGAGATTTTAAAATAGATGGTGAAGTTCAAGAGTATGATCAAACATTTTTGCCAAGGAAGGACTTGGTATTTCAATTTTATTCAATAACTTGAGATAGAAAATGCTCATAAATATTTCCTTAAAGATTTATTTGTCTTTGAATTAAAAGTCAGAATTATTTTTAGCCATCCATATAATGTAATTTATTTAGCAATTTTTAATTATTAAACATATTATACATATTTTCTAAAATTAAACATGACTAGATTTCTTAACCTTGAACATGGCTAGATGTCCGGGGAAAAAAAAGGGGGTTAGATATGGGTCCTTTATGTTACATGACTCGTTGGGTTTGAGAAATGAGCAAAATCATCTATCAATTATAAACATCGTGGTTTTTGTAACCCAAAAAAAAAAAACATCGTGGTTTACACACACACACACGGAAGATGAGCTGGGATCAGACTAGCATTTATCTGTGGTAATTACGTACCCTGAGAAATCATTCGTCGAAAATCATTTTGAGATCCCCTTAAACCCGATCGAATTGGGTCAATTCCCAGGAAACTCATTTTTGGGCCTAAAGTTGAGTTGAGAATAAGAATCACATGCCCCAAAAGCCCAAATCGAAGGGCTGAAAATTAAAATGAGCCGTTCAGTGGTGAATCACTGAATCTCTCGCTTGTCTACTGTGTGCAAGTGTAAGATTGGAATTAGAGATTGCTTTGAGGACGGTCAATTTTTTCCTTCTCTTGTTGCTTCTGGGGAGCTGTGATGTCTTCGCTGACTGTGAAACCCTCCTTCCTACCCCAGTTATCTTCTGCTTCTACTTCGTCAACAAGTCTTGTGTCCTTCCGAACTCGTTCGGCGTCATCGGTTAACTTTCCAAGGAACTTGAAGCATAAAGGAAGATTGTTTTTGAGAGTTCAGGCATATAATTCCTCTGAAAATGACGCTTCCAACAATTCTGGCGATTCCAAGCCCTCGAATGGCGCTCTGGTACCTCTTATCTTCTTCTCTCGTCCTAATTCTATAACTTGTTGAAGATTAATGTACCTCGTTCCAAGGCTTATTTACACACCTTATACTTTTTGGACCTGACACTTCTTATACTCGATTATTCGAGTTCATATTTTATCTGTATCAGTCCGTCTTTCTTTAATTCCGATATTCTTATTTCTGCATTTGTTACCATCCCTGACCGCAACCTTAAGTCTTGATGTTCTTTCAATGCGTGATGTATCATTATATATTCTCGCAAAAGCCGGCTTCTGCACACCTGACTCTTGCTGGCTTTAAGTGTAGTGGTCATGGATTCTGGGTGCCGGTAGTCCTTTCCCTGGCCGCTTCTTCCTAGCCCTTTGGGCACCTAGCACTTTCCTTTGTTCCTTCCTAAAAAAGTCGCCGCTTTTGCATTAGCTGACTCTCCATGCAAGCACTAGTTGATCCAACTTGAGCTAATAGGGGAATCCTTCCAAAACTAACCTCCCTTGGGCTTCCAGTAGCATTTTTCTCTTATATTTCGTTAGCTCAGCCCTCCCGTGTAGAAGGGCACTCGATGAAAGCAGCAGCGACTACGATTTCAGATGAGGAGAGCCTTCTCAAAAATTTAGTTTTGTAGGGAGGGAGATACAAGCCCTGATGTTTGCTCAATATACGGACATCCAAAGTCCGTGGTAATAAATTGATGTAGGGCTTTTAGAGGTGTGTAATGCTATAGCTTTATCAATCTACTTTGACTTAAATGTTTAAAACCGTGACATATCCTGCGCTCAGCATCATTTAAAAATCTCATGACTTTGCGTTATAAATTGAGCCAATCACTCTGTAATATGTTATCTTTTCTACCAATCCCTTATTGCTGGATTTAAATTCAAGCGAACAATGTCCATTGTGATAATGGTAGATAAAAATGGTAGTAATAAGTCTGCTTACTATTCTTTTTTTCTTGATGCATTGTTTTAGAAAGTATTTTTAGGATTTTATCTGAAGAGTTATCTGATTGTGTGCTTGATTATACTTCTGGAAATCACCAGTCAAAGAGCAGGAGAGAGATCTTACTGGAGTACGTTAAGAATGTGCAACCAGAATTTATGGAACTATTTTTGAAAAGAGCACCCCAACAGGTATGGTGCAGTCATAATGCGCAAATATAGTACTAATTCCTGTTGATTCTCTCATAGAAGTTGCTATTGCCATTCATGCAAGCATTTTTGCTAATGAAACTTCTTATTTGGTTTTAGGTGGTGGATGCAATGCGGCAAACAGTGACAAATATGATCGGAACACTTCCCCCTCAATTTTTTGCTGTAACAGTTACCACCGTAAGTCCTTAATGAGTTTATATACTTGCTTGCTTGGTTTTATTTTTCTAGTTAATGTTCATTTTATGGGATATATCTTTGCTTGATTATCAGCTCCTGAAATTTGCAACACTATGCCAGTCTAATTTGCACCACAATCTTCGGTGTTAAGTTTTTATGAAACTCCAGAAACCCATGATTTTGAAATAAAGTCTGAAGTCATTTTTTTGACCACTACTGCCAGTTGATTTTCCTCATCCGGTGAGTGCTTGCACAGCAAGTCTTGCCTTCCCATCAAATGGCACTTATGACTTGTCAAAGAAATTATGGAGTCTTTTAGTAGAGTTTGATCCCTTGCACTGTATTGATTGTCCTAAAAATTTTAAGAAATATTGTCTCACTTCACTACAAATGGCTAGTGTGATGGAGAGGAAAAGTACAATTTTTTAAGCACAAGATGGCTCAAGTTGCAAAGCAATGTCATTCTTTTTTTTTTTTTTAATAAAGAAATTTTTAATTTTTTTAAATTTATTTTTTGGGTGTTTATCTAAACCTGTGTCTTTCTCACATTGGTGGAATTACTTGGCATTCATTTAGGTGGCAGAGAATCTTGCACAGCTCATGTACAGCGTCATGATGACTGGGTATATGTTCAGCAATGCCCAATACCGTTTGGAGCTGCAAGAAGGCTTACAACAGGTTGCTCTTCCTGACGTAAAGGATAGAAAGGTGAAATTAATTTTATTCTTTCCCTTTTATCAGTTAACGGTTACCTTGGTAATTTTGTTATATTATCATATGTTGAGAGAAAATCTGAGGATACTAAATTTTCAAATGTCATGGAAGATTTTATTTACAATAAATGGAATTCAAAATTCATAGGCTTTTTAAGTGGAGATGTCCTGTCCACTCGAAAACATCTTCATTTTGCTTCTAAGTTTTGACCTCATATGATGATGTGAAGCCCCTAGGGCATAGATGAGGAAAGAGATGTAGAAAGAATTTACAGTATTTTCTTATTCTGTACCGTGGAGAGGAGACTTCATTTGCATTATCAAAATTGTTTTGATCAACTGCAGAAAAACACCACTCAAATGAAGGTTTATTCTGGCCACCATGTAAAAGATTAATGAAGGTCCAATTTTCTGCTTTGAGGTTTTAGTTTTTACATTCTTTAATATTTATACTTCTAAGTGATGCAGGATATGCCAGATTATGCACCTGGTACGCAGAAAAATGTTTCAGGTGAAGTAATTCGGTGGAACAATGTTTCTGGTCCTGAGAGAATAGATGCTAAAAAGTACATTGAAATACTTGAAGCGGAAATTGAGGAGTTGAATCGTCAAGTTGGGAGACAATCAAGCAACGCACAGAATGAATTGTTGGAATATTTAAAATCTCTTGAGCCTCATAATTTGAAGGTAACTTTTACTTTCCTTCTTATCAGAATAAGCTACTTCTGTTGCCTTTAGTTTGGCTAAAGAGTAAGTGTTGACTGATCCGAATATGTGAGAGGCTGAAATATTGGCATATATGGTTTTGCCCAACTCCACTTTGGTACTAGTAGTTTAAAAGTTCACAATTGGATGGTTTGAGGTTTAAATTGTCGGCGCATTGATCCTGTTTTACCATTCATGAGCTTTTCTGTGGAATCCATTAAAATGTCCTAAATTTCTAATCTAATTTCTAAATGAAATCACTAATTTCTTATGTATTGAAGATTGCAATCTAGAAGCTCAGTTATTGAAACAAGTCAATAATGTACGTAATAATGCTTTATTATATTCTGTAGGAGCTGACCAGCAGTGCTGGGGAGGACGTTATCCTTGCAATGAATACATTTATAAAGCGCTTACTGGCTGTTTCAGATCCTAGCCAAATGAAGGTTTGCTTTTGCAGTTGCTTTTTTTAATATCCTTTTGTCATTTGACTTTATTCAAGTGTCTACATAGACTCCATTCCAACGTGAACTTTCTCTGGTGTTATCAAGTTGCTAAAGAATAAATGTTTCACCAGAATCCTGGCTCTAAATAATTGAACCTGAAGCACGCATTTTCTCACTGTGAACTGAATACCAAAGCATGCAAAAGAGAGATTGCTTTTCTAGTAGTACTGTCATATCAGCTAGTGATATTTAGTTATGAAATGAGGTGACTGGATCCCCTGCTCATCTCAAAGATGAACATGGGATGTTCATCTAAGATTTGGACTGTCCAGATTGAAATTGAATGGTTCGGATTTTTTAAAAAATAATTTCAATATTTTATTATTTTAACTGGAGTAAAATGTTATATAAAGGTATAATCTTCTGGCCGTTGATATTAAAATAATGTTTTAGTTTAAAAATTAAAAAATAAAGCTGGACTGTCCAAATTAAATTTGAATGGCCTGTACTCATGACCTTTCAAGGTCATGAGCATGCAGTGTTCGTTGAACACCAAAATCCCATCTTGAAATGAGAGGCCACAATTACTGAAATTCACGGATTCTATGGGACCCCTGAGTTTATGTTGGGGTATGAACAAAAACTTCTATTTTGCTTGCTGTTACTGTACTTATCATACGTATAACCTTCAATTCCGGTTGCAGACTAGCGTGACTGAAGCGAGTGCGCCTGAACTTGCAAAACTGCTCTACTGGTTGATGGTGGTGGGGTATAGCATCCGCAATATAGAAGTTCGTTATGACATGGAACGAGTTCTCGGTACTCCTCCAAAAGTGGCAGAATTGCCGCCAGGTGAAAACATTTAAGCATCTTTACTCTTGATGGAGCCAACCAACACAAATCGTCGCTAAGCTGGAGCCCGATGAATGCCTTTTAGATCTTGCACTTATAAGTTGTCGCCGAAGGCTCAGGTTATGGAGGGAAATGCTATAATTTTTCTGGAGTCCTAAATTGGCCATCTAATTTTATTCGGAGATGTGTCATCCTTAGAATTCTGTATTTGATAGTCCAGAGGTTTTGCACAGAAATTTAAGTCGTGTTCAAGTAATTATTGGTTATCCAGAATTTTTTGTGAGCAATCAAATATTTATCAGACTCTTGTTAAAGATGCTCAAAAGTATTGTCGTGAACCAAATATTTGTCACGAGGGATTTATGTGCATACGGAAGACAGCCATCCACTAAAGATAGCCGGATCGTTTCCAATATCATTACTACCATTTGTAATTGCTATCAGTTTCAGTATCTTTTCTATCAGTTTTCAGATAATTACCACGATCAGTTTTCAATATTATTTCCAAATTAGGATTGTGAATGTTTTACCAAAGCCAATAATCTTGACTTTTTCTTCGATAGAATAATAATGTTCACTTTTGTATAACCATTATTTGCTATGTTTTTTATTTTATACGTATGTATCACTTGTATTAACATTTTATTGACTATTTATTAAAGCAAAATGTTAGCTTTTATTATAATACTTTGATAAGTAATTTCATAGCTCAAAACTGAAAAAAATTAATGAGTTATATTAAACAAAGTGGCTCCAATAAGTTTGCCTAAACCTTAAAAGATGATCGACGCCACCCTTGACAAACAAAGTAATGCACACAATTTATTTTTTCAAGGCAACCATATTGACCCGTTAGAAACTACGAATCAACTTTATCAACCAAGCTAGGGCCTCTTCTCTGGCCAAAAACAACTCAGGGCCTGTTCGACTTGTGATCTCTAAATAAAAAATTAATAAACAAAAAAGTTATTATTAAGTGATAATTGGAGAATACAAAAACTATTGCACATTATCATACAATGGAACGGATTACCTTTCCATAGCGCTGACCAAACAGGCCTTTGGTGACTTGTCATAGTTGGATCATAGTAAAATTGAGGTGAACATCAGTGGCGGTGTCAGGGAAAACATCTCTTTATGTGTTTCCCAATATTAACCTCCAGAACCTTTATCGTGCCCACAATCCAAATCCCTGGTTGAAAATGCACCCTTGGTAGATCATTGTCAGCACTTGGTCACAACTTGTGCGCAGCCTGCTGCTAATTGACATTGCCTTTAAGACTCAAAATTCCACTCCTCTTGAAGAATCAAGATGAAGGCCGTAATAACAGAGCATTACCAAAACTCACATTAGGGGGGATCTGGACACGGCGGCACCTGGCTAAATTATGTTAAGTCTTCTAGCCCAAAGGCTCTGATCAACTGACCAACACATGGGGAGCCCAGACATGGCACACCAGCGTAAATTCAACAGGGCAAAAGCAAGTTTCTCTTCAGACTCTTCAAAAAATCCAAGTATCCTTGACTCGACAGCCGAATCTTCGGCAAGGATGAATTCATTGACTAATTTTCTCTTCTCTTCATCAATGTCATCATGGCCACCAAGCATACGCATAGTTAAAACCTGCAATGCTTGAATTGCTGTGTTGTGAAAACCAGAGTCTACATACGCACAGAAGACAGAGCTGCAAGTTGTCTGATCAGGCAGAATTTTCTCCTGGTGCATGCGCTCCACAATGAACTCAATAACATCAATCCTTCCCTAATTCATGGAAGAAGTTTAGATTTTTTTTTTTGGGGAGAAGTTATCACGTGAGAAATCACAATAAATGCTTTCTCCATCAACGGAGCACAATAAAGACCCAACCACTTTGCCTCTTATATAGGGTCGTACAAACAAAACAAACGGAGTATAATTGCTATCCATTCCAAGATGCAATATTGTTATAATAGAACATGCAATTTCTTTATCTTTTACTACTTCCAATTCTTAATATGAGATTTCGTTTGACTTTTATTTTGGTTCTAAATATAAAACTCCAATCCACTTTGTCTCTCATATTTATTCATCTTTTCTCAAATAGTTCTTCTAATAATGGTAGTTTTAGCCAATAAACTTGATTAGCAAGGATATTTTAAGAAAGACAACACCTATTTATTATAAATATCTAATTTAACTTATTTCTTTAATTTACTTAAATCAGTCAATTAGCTTTTATATTTATGACCGGAGATAGTATGATATAGACACTTGGAACATATTTCTCTCTTTTGTCTACTTCCTATACATAAAGATATCATTGTGTAATACGAATTACCTTCACATGTGCTTTTCTAAGAATTGTATTGAACACTAGAGCATCAAATTTCTTGCCATCTGATCTCATATGATCCAAAAGATTCAAGGCTTCATTGAAGTTTTCAACTTCCAACATGACCTGCCAAAAACAAACTCACCATTAAGTTGACAAAAAGGCTACAAAGTTGAACATCGTAAATTGCAAAAATGGTGCCATGGAAACACATTAACAATACATCAACGCGTGCACATTAGGAAGCAAGTAACACAAAAAAAAGGAGATATGCATCAATTATAAGCAACCTTCATTGATGACCTTGCAATTAAAAAAGCCTCTTTTGCTGATAAACGAGCACTTTCTTGGGGAAAGATAAGCTAAAAAGGACAAGAAGAACGACTGGACCAGAAAGAACACCAAATATTTGATAAATATGTATATTCAAACTTCATGTAACTTAAGCCGTCCAAAATTATAATCTGTTTGGAGTTTGGGGCGAAAGGTGAGTGTCTCCGGTGAATTTTAGGAAATATCTCCTTGATCTTGAAATTTTGAGGCAATATGTGAATTTTGCCATCATTTGGTATATTTGGTTGGAGCGGAATATTTGTATCCAAGTGTGCCTCCTTGCCTCCTATCTATGGATGTCTATTGGTCAGAATCATGTGTGGCTTCTCTTTGGTGTCGTAGCCAAGAGCTTTGTTAGGGGATTCCTCCTATCAGATATGCAGAAGGTTAGGCGGCATTACCATATACAATTTCTGTTTATAACCGTTTTGTGCTTTGATCTTCTTACTTAGGAGTCTAATTGTGGTTCTGTTGAGTGACATTTTAACTGCTTTTGGCTGACCTTGAGGTACATTTTTAAAGAGTAAAATCCATTTATTATGCAAGGAACGTGCATATAATATAAAATCTGTGTACCACTTGCTATGTACTTTTTTTTTTTTTTAAATAACTGGGGGAATCATCCAAGGCGCCCAGGCCTGGAGATTACTAAGTCTTGAAATAGTGAGCCCCATTTGATCCTCAAACAAAATGAGTCAAAGCTCAGCAGGCGTCTCTGAGAATTGTTATGTTCAGAATTTGAATCGATCATAGTTGGAGAAAAAAGTTGTCACTTGTAGATTGACAGCATTATTTTAAAAATAAAACTCTGTATTGCTCACTCTGGGATAAATCATGTGCAATGGCAGAAACTCGACATTAATAATAATTTGGACTGCAAAAACGGAAAGAAAACAGGAAGAACCTTAATGAGAGCAGTATATGTTGGAGTGTCTGGATAAAAACCTTCACGTATCATATTCGAAACTAGCAAAGAAGCAGATCTGAAACATCCTAGTATGCTGCAACAATCAATCATTATATTATACGTTGCAGCACTAAGCTGCAAGCCACATAACTTCATCATCTTGAAAATTTCAATTGCCATGTGACTCTGTATATCAATTAGAAACATCAATTTCCAGCAACAAAAACATAACGAGGTACCTAAATCAGAAAATACCAGTTGAAATAGAGAAAATACAATGCGAAAATCACATACTTCTTTGGCTACAACAAGATATTGTAACACTATGTTGTACATGGCTGTTCCCAAAGTAGGGTCTCTATGAATGAAAAGATTCTCTGCCACATGCAAGTATTGGATCATCTCTCTTATCATGCCTTCTTCTCCAAGGGCCCTCAACTGAAAGACAATAGAAGATAACACAGCCAAGTCATGAGAAACATGAAATCTACAATCAGGACTGCCCTCCTTTACCCAAGGGAACTTTTGAGACACTTCAACATCTAATAGCATCATAATAGGATCTTTTACAAAAATATGCTCCCATACGCAAGTCTTATTCTTTTTATTTTTCTTTTTCATTTTTTTTTTTGGGTTGTGTGGAGGAAAGCTATTATTGTACAAAACAGGTAAAAATTTTAGCATGATGTTAACCCATAAAAGGACTACAGAAAATTTAAACTTTGGTAGTGAGGACTCATACACTTCGTCACCTTAAATTCATCCCAAAATATTTATATTATTCACCCAATCAAAAACCTAAAAGTTTCACATAGATCCAAGCAAAATGAAAGCTTCATAAATTTGCACCATCCTTAATTTAAATGGAAAATGAAACTGAGAAATGGAACTGACCAAGCTTTTCAATGTTTTATAGCTGTGGTGAATCTCATTTGCGACCATATCACTTTCTATAGCATTGATTCTTTTAGCAGCTTCTACCTGTGATATCATATTGCCCTTTTCATACGGGGGGTTTACATTAGTAAACAATTTAAACAGTAACTCATATATCCTGATATCAGGTGCAACATTCATCTGTTTCATCTTGGCTAAGACCTGCACAGCACGTTCAGGTTTGTTCTGCAAATTTGATTGGAAGGACAAAACAAAAACTTTAGAAATTCCTCAATGAAAGACAAATGAAAACTCCACTATAAGATACAACAATTTTCCACATGCATATTTAGGCCATAAAAATATCTGTTGCTACGATAATAAAATAAATCATTTATTCTGCCTTCACAACTGAACTTCAAAACAAAAGCTACCAAATAATAATGATAAAAGGGTATTCATTTGCTTATAGGTTTCTATTAAATTATGTCTAGATTAAAAAAAGGTAAAGCATCAAAGCCAGCAGCAAAAAGTTTCAGAAAATTACTAGGCTAGCTAAAGGACAGGTTTCAGTTTTCTAGTAAACTAATTTCAGCAATGCTAACAGAAAACATAAAATTACATTTGTGCTCCAAAGTTCCAGATTTGAACCTACCGTTTTATCACAGGATGTAAGAAGAGCGTGGAAAGGGTGTGGACGTTCACATATAGAAATCTGATTCAGCAAAGCCTCTGCCAAATCTAGTTCAAGTGCCTTACTGCAACTGATTGAAAGTATAGCTAGAGATGAATCATACGGCTTCAATTTTTTCTGCCGCATAGTCTTTAACTGAAAATACAAGAAAATATCTGCAGTAAAAACAGATAATATAAACCATAAAGTGAAACTTGTGTCAAGACTGTCAATTTCAAGATACTAGGTTGGTTGTGAGTTGTGAAAGAAAGAAGTAATATTAACTGGCCACATTTTCTGTTTGAAACTTCACCATCAAACCCTTCCCTCCAGCAAACAAATGATGAAACAGAATATAAGGCGTGGAGGTAATGGTGCAACAAGCAAACCATTAAAGACTAACCACTTCCAAGCCTTCACTGAACCCAATTTCAGAAACAGCAGCTCTGATAAGGCCATCATATGTATGGCTGGATGGCTGCAACCCAAGATTTTGCATCTGGAGAGAAAAGACCTTGTTACTTTTGTATGATACGGATTTAACAAAAGTTGGCAGTCAAATAAACTTCTCCTGTTCTATCTTTAGTACGCATGAAAAAGTATTATGTGCAATACAAACAAGCAAATAAAAATGTAAACTGACAAAGCAATACTTTCCAGACGCTCTCATTGAGACATAAAATAAGTATGTGAAAGCAGTATTTACAAAATATAACATGGTTACAAAGTCAGGGAGAATAATTGTTTAATACAAGTGCTGTAATACATAACCTATTACAGACAATAACAAACTCAGTTAACATGCCTACCTGCAGAATAAGATGCTTTGCAAGAGCATAATTTCGACCTCGTCTACATGCATGTATTACATCATTAAAGGACCACGTCAAAACCTCCATAATTCGTGCTGGATATGTTTGGCCATTTAGCCTACATATTCCAACACTCTTAGCTTCTAAGCTTGCAGAATTCAGAGGAGGGCATATAGAAGGGTCAACTTGTTTGTTCTCCTTCACATCCAATATGGTTGAACCTAGCTCTCCTTTTAAAGGTATGGGGATGTCCAATCTAGTAGAATACAACTCCTTAACTTCATCTTTCCTTTTTTTCCCATCATGCTTACTATCAATATAAATGTCTCCCTTGTTTGCTAAGGAAACCATTTGTTGCAAAGCCTTAAACGCAGATGTTAAATCTCCCAACCTTCTGAATGACCATATAAATTTCCGCAGAACAATGATGCTAATACTATAGTGCTTAACATATTCCTTCCAAATTTGATGAACTGCGGACAAGTTTTTCTGCAGAACTGCAAGCTGAGAAACAGGATTAGATAAATCTACTCATCATAAAAAGAAAGGTCGACATGTTGAAATTAACCAAGCATTGTTCAGATAATATCTCAAGCAACAAATTAATCTGCTTATAGTACCTGATTCTGCTACCATTTGCTAACAAAAAAGTTGACAATGCACACGCCACATTCTATTGGATTTCTATTCTATAACTACAATCTCAAATCTATAGATTATTATATTATTGGAATATGGAAGAAAAAAAATTTAGAGGGAAACCATTTTGAGGAAATAAACATGGACTGGAACAACTTATCAGAGTTAAACCCTCTAGCCCACTCTGCCTACAAGACAAAGGCATGAATGAAAAAAATTACTGACCGACAACAAAAGATGACAACCCTTGTTCCATTTAAAGACCTAACGAATGTGGTTTTCTAATGGACCTCACGTCACTGAGCATAAGTTTTACAGCCCACATGGTGAATGCTTGTTAGATATATTCAATGTTGGAAATGACTTAAAAAAAAAAAAAAATCTTATGTAAGATTATTAGTAACTGAATGCCTAAATATGATGCAAATGAATATTAAAAAGCATAATTGAAAAAATTTACAAGAACCATGACAATAAGAAAAAATATAAATGTTGAAAAACTAAGAAACTACGGGGATAGCTACATACAAATTAATATAGGAAAAACAAGCACAGGGCCCAAATCGCCACAAAACAAAACTTGTCATGAATAACTATCATTGTTTACAATAAGAAAGGTTTTGTTTTTCCCCTCTAAGAAAGAAGAAAAAAAAATCATGGCCAATTTTGGAGACAGGTTATCACTTAATAATTATAATGCCTCATTTTATGTCTCAGCTCAGTATGCAACAATGAAACCCTAACTCCAAAGCAGGTGGGGCTCCAAAGTGAAAATTCTCCAAATGAAATAACATCCAGTCACAATCAGGCGTAGCAAAATTACCAAGAACCAGCTCTGACAGAAATTACAATATGTTGCTTCTTGCAATGTGATCAGTAGCATTCATGAGAACAGGCTCATGTGAAGAAATCCATACTTGGTCATATATATTCACAAATGAAAGTACTGCCAGGCTTAATCATCTATCATATATCACAACTTCAACAGAGATATAGAAACAGGAAGAGAATAAAAATTTCTGGTTGCTAAACTAGAACAATAGCAATTTATCCTCTCGAAAATCAATAATAGAATCATGATGCAATAATTTTCTATATGCAAACCTCAAGCAACAGTGTATATGTGACTTCATTGTTTCCAACCATGTGCTTTTCCATCAAGTCCAAACATTTGGTTGCATGGATTATGCTGTGCATTTTTGTGCAGTCTTCTAAGAAATTATTGTATACAGAAAGAACTGGATAGAACTGCTGGGTTTCTCTGAGAAAATTCATCATATTAAAGGCCTGGAGAAAGAACAACAAGGATACAAAGGATAAGTAAAAATAACCAAAAAAGAAAAAGTAATGGAGTCCAAAATCAAGGAGCCATAAGTAATTCATGTAGCACTCGTGGTTTTGCTTAAGTTTCCATGAATTGGTATCAGAACCAGACTCATCTACACAAAATGACTACTTGCAAAAGGTACAACCTAATCAACCCATGAGGAAGGTGCAGCATGAAGTTCGAAAGCTGCCTGCTGAAGCAAGCACCCTAGAACTTTGCCGCCTTCCCCAGGTTGACCAGGTCGTAGCTTGTAAAAGTAGCTCCTTACTTGGAGGTCAATCCAACTCTCATACCAATTGATGGAAACTTAAGCAAGAGTCGAAAAATCAATACTCAGCTGGAAAAGGGAAAAGGCCACAGATCATAAGTACCACATAATTCCCTGATGTAGGATTAAATAAAGGATAAAGTGAATGTGCACTCGAGATTGTGTAATTTAAGTTTTAAGAAGTTAATATTTTACCTCCTCCAAGTAACCCCCTCTACAGAGGGCTTTCATCATAAGAAATAAGCATATGTGATTCAAGCTAATATCTCTTGCCTCCATTAATCTCCAAATCTCCATTACAAACTGCAGGAAATAGATGACAGGAATGAATTTCATATCAGCAAAATATTCCACCATAACTTATGATCAAAATATTAGTGATAGTGGGGATCTTCAATCAATATAAATTATTTAGAAAACCTTCCACATTTTTATATTCCAGCACAAGTAAACATACAGTGGTACTTTGCTAATAGCAACTGAACCATGTAATATGGTTTGTTTTCATATAGGAATATTCAGATTATTCAATAGTGCATAATCAAAAACGCAGTTAACGGTTAACCCATTGCAGAGAGAGCCAATCCATCAAGATAACCCAATTCATTAAATTATATATAACTGAAATGCAACTGGAATCACCTAATCGCTTCTCTAGCAACAAATTTCAACAAGAGCAATCATTTATTTGTTCACCAAGAAAAATTTTGATTTGATAAATAAAGGCCAACCCATAAACTTCTCACATCTATTAGCAAGTTACAGACAAGTTTGGTTTCAATTAAAAATAACATGTATTCAGCATACCAATGGATCAGGTGACTGTGCACAGTACTTAATAATAATAAAAAAATCATCAGCTCTTAATGAGTGGCTTCCATAACCAAATTCTAAAAGTAGGTTAGAAGCCCTCCTCCTCTCGCCCAAGCGGAGCGCATCAACAATTTGCATTTGCATAGCCCTGGTAGTTGATCCTGCTCCAGATTCCGCAAAATCAATTCCTGCATTTTAATCAGCACTGCCTGTCAGTGAGGGAGAACTTGATAGGAATGCAAATTCTCTACTTGGAGTTGGTGAGTCTAAAAACAAAATAAAAATAATGAACAGAGATCATCGGGTGTGTATTCAAAGTAAGACCATTTATAGATGAATATTAGTATGAGAAAATCATTAAAAGAAACAAACTATGGAACCGCAGCTGATTCGACGTCACATTAAATTCATCCACGTAATTATCAGCATGAATGTTTCACAAGTAATTACTTCGTGTTGTGCTGAAAGTTCGTTGAATACACAGCTCTCCAGCAAGTTCATCCACCTAGAAAAACACAAATCAAACGAACAGAAACTTACAGCAGGGAATCGAGATCACAAATTCATAACAATCACAATGACGAAGTAAAGCTCGCTAGACACCGTCATTGACAGGAAATTACATATAAATAAGGCTAAGATGAATACATATTGATGCCACTTAGATTTGCAAAAGGACACCGCAGTTGACCGCAGGGCAACCCTTGCTCTGAAAGCATGCATGCCTGGTAGAAGTTACGACTATCTCCCCCGAAGCTTCAGCAGGTTCTGTGCTACTACTATCCAGGCAAGCTCAAGCATTCCTTCAAAGATGGACACCAGTTTCGAGCCTCGGCCGGTTGAAGAAGCCGGTTCGCCTAGGTCCAAGCAACCCAGTTGATCTGCCCGCCTGGGCCGGCGGAACACTAGAAGGTGGAAGCCCTGATGTGCAGGGGTGCGGGCTAGCGAGCTCCTCCTTCAATCTGTTCTAAAAAAGTTGGTAAAAATAATCAGAAGGGTCATTTTGGTCATTTAGTAGTAAAATGGATCAATTCACGGTCCATGCATTGCTTTATTTTTATATTAAATTAGTGAGCTTATTAAATTTAATTCCTTTTGAGTGTGTCGAAACTACCAAAACTTAGTTCTCACTTCTTCCGTCAAAATGCTAAAAGTGTATATTTATACCGAATATTTCAGGTTACAAGTAAATTTTGCAGTGCATGTAGATGTTAAAGGTTCAATTCCTTTCTGCGTGCTAAAAAATCGATTTTTTGACCAATAAAAGATATATCCTTTTTTCACCAAGAAAAACCAAATTAATACCAAACGGGAAAAAATTAATGAATGGTTTAGTTTTATCCACTGTTGTATGACTGATGCTGCGACGCACACTTCAATGGATCAAAGATAAATGAATTATATTACCCATTTAGTTTCATTCTCATTCTCTTTTCACTCTGCCATATTAGTTTCAATTTTTTCTATCAACCCATATTCATTTCAATTGGCTCATTATATGTTTTCTTCTGAAACCATCATTTTGTGTTCTGGTCTTATATTTTTTTTGAGATAAAATCAAAATTACATATAAAAAGTGAGAACTCATTCTACCCAAAAGAAAAAAAAGTAAAAACTCCAGAGATAGTTACTCAAATAAGGAGTCATTAAATGTGTTTTAAATTAATAAAAATTATTTATTTTATTATTATTAAAAATTATGATTGAAAAATTCTCTCATCCTTCGTCTTTGATGAAAAATTATCATTAATTATCAACCTCTTATATTTTTGGACTAAAATTTTCTTATAAAAAAATTCTTATATTTTGAGGTTCAGGGAGTAGCTAACTTTGGTGTGACCGCGTTGCGATTGTTATTATTAACGCTCTTCTAGCAAGCTAGCGAAGTGCCGTATAGGCATCTGTATGATAGCCGATGCCTCCGCGATGAGTCGTTTGGTGCCAAAGTTTTCACGGTTGCAGCTGCAAATATCTCACCTTGCTCACCTGTGATGACAACCTCAAAACGCCACCATAACCATTTGGAAAATTAGCAATATCAACACGAGTCTTCGAACCCTTGGGAGGCTGTATCACTCCGAGAGTGGACTATCTTATTGCAACGAAATGCTAGTTTTACCACCACATCTGACGGCTCGATTCTCTACATTTCATATCAATTATTTTCCGATCCACCGCCAGCCACGGCTCTCTGCCGTGAATTCTGGCTCTGCGAACACTGTAAGCATTTCTAGCGAACTCTCTTTCTCGCCGTCGAGGGCGGGTGAGGAGGACCATCCAAATGAACTCCATTCCCTTCACAACCGCCGCTATGACTTCACGCCTCTCGTTCGTTTTCTCTCCAGTTCGTCCTCTGACTTGGAGGGCTCTACTTCTCCCACTTCGCTTGACCCAACTGAGTTCCAACTCGCTCAATCTTACCGCGCGGTTCCAGCTCCACTCTGGCGCTCACTCCTCAAATCTCTTTGTTCCTCTTCCTCCTCTATTGGATTGGCGTGTGCTCTTGTTTCTTGGCTTCACAAGCACAACCTCTGCTTCTCCTACGAGCTTCTTTATTCCATTCTTATTCACGCGCTTGGCCGATCCGAGAAGCTTTACGAGGCCTTCCTGCTTTCTCAGCGGCAATCTCTCACCCCTTTGACTTACAATGCCTTAATTGCTGCTTGTGCGCGTAACGGTGACCTCGAAAAGGCTCTCAATTTAATGTCCAGGATGCGTGCTGATGGCTACCAACCAGATGCTGTGAATTACAGTTCTATAATTCAGTCTCTCATTCGCTTCAACCGAATAGATTCCCCCATACTGCAGAAGCTTTATAGAGACATAGAAAGTGATAGAGTTGAGCTTGACGGACATCTTATGAATGACATAATCCTAGGTTTCTCAAAAGCTGGGGATCCTTCCTTGGCCATGCATTTTCTAGCTATGGCTCAGGGTAATGGCTTAAGTGCCAAATCCGCAACTCTCAATTCTGTTATATTAGCACTAGGAAATATGGGTAGAACGGAGGAAGCTGAAGCCCTCTTCGAGGAAATTAAAGAGAGTGGCCTGGAACCTAGAACACGGGCCTACAATGCGCTTCTAAAAGGATACGTGAAAACCGGTTGCTTGAAAGATGCAGAATTCATTGTATCTGAAATGGAGAAGGGCGGAATTCTGCCGGATGAGCGTACTTACAGCCTTTTAATTGATGCATATGTTCATGCAGGCAGATGGGAAAGTGCTAGAATTGTATTGAAAGAAATGAAAGCCAGCAATTTAGAGCCCAGTTCCTACGTTTATAGTAGGGTTTTAGCAGGTTATCGCGACAAAGGGGAGTGGCAAAAATCATTTCAAGTCCTGAGAGAGATGAAGAATAACGGCGTACAACCTGACAGGCATTTTTACAATGTGATGATCGATACTTTTGGGAAATATAATTGTCTGGATCACGCAATTACAACATTTGAACAGATGATGTCAGAGGGGATTCAACCTGACACTGTTACGTGGAATACGCTAATAGATTGTCATTGTAAAGTGGGGCGCCATGACAAAGCGGAGTCGCTCTTCCAGGAAATGCAGGAGAGTGGTTACTTGCCCTGTGTCATGACTTATAACATCATGATTAATTCCATGGGGCAACAAGAAAGATGGGACCAAGTAGCTAACTTACTAGACAGAATGCAGAGTCAGGGAATTCTGCCAAATGTAGTAACATACACTACTCTCGTTGATATATATGGGAAGTCAGGAAGATTTAATGACGCAATAGACTGCATAAAGCTCATGAAATCTTTGGGATTCAAACCAACTGCAACCATGTATAATGCCTTAATCAACGCGTATGCGCAGAGGGTATGTTATCATAGATATTAAACGTTTTACTAGTTCATTTCTCTGTTACTCTGTGCATGTTGCATTCATTAAGTGACAACTTCAATTATATGCAGGGTTTGTCTGAACTGGCAGTTAATGCATTCAGGGTATGACGGCAGAGGGATTAGCACCCAGTCTTTTAGCTCTCAATTCATTAATTAATGCATTTGGTGAAGATAGAAGGGATGCCGAAGCCTTTGCTGTACTGCAGTACATGAAAGAAAATGTATGTTGATTTTATATTTTAATTCTCCTTCTCCATCTTTTTTGGCCTAAATTGTCTTTAAGGCGTTCAAAATAGCATTCTTTTGGCTTGTTCATGTAATCGCTCTGGCTATTCTACTCATTCTTTCTGCTCATATGAACTGCAGAACTTGCGACCTGATGTGGTTACATATACTACACTTATGAAAGCCTTGATTCGTGCTGACAAGTTCCACAAGGTACATCATGGCATGATCAGTCAGCTTCTTGTCTATGTTATTACTAGTTTTGTTTCTTCCGGCATATCATCAATGAATATACCCCCCCTTTTCCTCGCAGGCATCTTTATATGTTTCATGTATATAGATATTGTAATCCATGCGTGGTTTCACACTACTAGTAAACTGATAACCAGATTGACTATAGAATCTGTGTTGAATCTCCTCTTTTATCCTTTCTTTTTGAGGATCGTTTGTGACATCAGAAAAGAAATAGAATGCTGAAAATTGTATGCTTTGTTTATGGGCATTTTGGTGCCCCGGTGTCTAACCAACTTCATTTCACAAATATGTCGCATTGTTTGGGTTTTAGGTTCCTGCTGTGTATGAAGAAATGATAACGTCGGGGTGCAATCCAGATAGAAAAGCTAGAGGAATGTTACGGTCTGCTCTCAAATACATGAAGCAAACCCTGAAATCATAACTATGAAACGTATACATACAGCCAAAGTATAGTAAATTTGCTGACCTGCTCTGCTGTGTTACACCATACCGAGGTTAGTGCTGACTTTCATCCTCTCTGCTTGCGGCTAAATACTGTGCATGTAGTTAATATGTATTAGCTTAACGGAGTCATTCTCTTGGACATTTGATATCTGCATGATGAGTTGTTTGCTTAACCATGAAATCACACATTATAGAGAAAGCTTAACAAGTCTAATTGATGTTGTAGATATGGACCTTTCCCTTGTGGGCCTCATTTTCAAGTATCATCTCTTTCTTGGTTCAGTGCTTAACTTAGTCATTCTGCTCCAGTTTGGTCGTTTTGTCGACTTAAAGCACGTTTTCCAAATCAAATTATTGGTTGTCTTCGTTTCCATCATGTCTATGTTATTGCTGTTATAGCTAATTGTGATTGTATGGTGGCTGTCATGGGAGGTCGCAGTGGCCCCGTGGCCGAACATTTTCTTGAAATTAGAATTCTGACTTTTGTCTGTCTGGGTCTCTGTCCCTCGCGCCCTCTCGCATGGAGCATTGAGTTTGGAAACAATATGGAATTGAAACGGCTAAATTAACAATTTGATCCCAGATTTTTAGGTGTATCGAACTTTAAATCCTAAAAGTCAATGAGGGCATGTTAGTCGCTGAGATTAACCAATTTGCTGTACTGAAGTCTTCTCAATTCATACACGTAACTTTTCTAAGATTAAAATTCAGTAAGCTTAACAATGCAAGTGCCTAATTACTTATTTAATCAGACACAGTAAGACGATAATTTTGAAATGTCTGTTGTTTGTTAATATACAGCACTTATTAATGAAAGTACAAAATATTATGAATTTTTATTGTCTAAAATCCCTTTTTATTTCTTTCTCAACACACAGGGCGTTGTGGATGCAGGTACATGGTTGATACTCTGCAATAAAGGCAACTCTTAGGTAATAGTTCCTGAATGACAAATAACGTTGGAAAAGTCGTGTCAAAATGCCGAGAGAGGAAGTCCTCAGCTGTACTTTTCCTCCATCCTCTCTTTAAAATGAAAACGTAACAACGGATAAGTAGATACCTTTTTTATGGCATCTGCTACTACAAATTAGAAGGCAGGTATCTCTTGCAATCTATTTATTACAATGTAAGTAAAACTTCCTTGTTAAAAGTCAATTTCTTGTTCGGAGTTGGGATCAGAGTACCTACTGTTTTGATGTATAATATTGTTTTGCATTGGACGTGGTATCATGAACTGAAACATCCCATCCATTAAGAAACCAAAAATAATCGTTGATGCTCAATCTCACAATTGGTGCCCAACTAGCAATCACATCCATGGCATGGCCTTATACCAATTTTTCTGTTATAAGTATTTTTTAGCTAATAATAATAGATCAATTCAAAGGAGTTTCATAGTAAAACAGACAATGGAATAAATAAGAGTTTGTCAAAATTGGATGTACAAATCAAGCCCTACGTACAAATGATAAATTTAGAGGGCCACGGCAGAGACAATGGGTCTACTATACTTGCTTTTTGAAATTCTTGAACAGAACATGAACATTAGCAAAACTGAAGATAACAAGAAAAGCCTAAAATATGTTCTTATCTCTTGCATTCCAAGCTCAATCACCTCTATCTTCTTGTCATACCTATTTCTCCTCTCCACCAAATACCCATCTAGATATTCATCTATCGATACCCATTTATCCAACTTGGAGACGGATGCATTTGAATGTATTTCGCCAAGCTGGGAAGGGCCCAATTTGAAAATTGCAAAGAATGCCGCTGACCAATCATTGAGGACTTTCTGAAATTCAAATTGACAATATAAAGAATCAGATTTAGTTTTGTTTTCCCCCTTCGCTTTTACGAATTCAAAACGATTCTCTCCCAGTCTCCTCCATTTTCGTTAGCTTCGATCAATAAAACTCTTACAACAGAAGCACAACGAAAGCAAAGTAAAACTAAGAAATGGATTCAGCGATCCTTTCTTATAAGTTTGTAAGCCACGTAACTTACGCTGTAGCTAAAGGCGTCAGTGGGATTAAACATTTTAAAACAGTCTTTTGATGAGGCTGATCCGTCTCCATATATCTGCCACTCCAAGGGAAAAAAAAAATGTAAGGACACCAATAAAAAGTTAATGATATAATTGGAGGAACAGTTGCAACTGACAAACCTCAAATGTAAAAGCCATGGGAACTCTCACAATATCATACATGAAATCTGTTGCTGTCCCATGAGCCAAATACCTGTCATTATGATAGAGGTTAGGGAAATAAATGCTGTTAGAGGAATCTTAATTCCCGAATCTGGAAATTTTCATTAACTAACACTAACGACCCTAAATGGAGTATTTCCAGCACAGGAACATTCAAAGGACCAAGATGACTCACTGATTAACTCCTACTGAAGTGCAACCCAGAAACAACGTATAACTGTAAGAGGCCTAACTGACACCATAGCACACAAACCGGAACACGACAGATAATGGATGCATACCGGGACTAACTGACACATAATGGACTCGTTCGTGGAATAATTACCCCTTCTTGCTGAACAAGATGCTCTAACCCATTCTCTAACTTGGGCCGTTTCTTTTTCCTACTGTAAGTATCGATTGCTGACATGGTCTCTTATCATATTAAGGCAGTTCTAAACTTCGCAGAACTGTAGGCAATAATTGATGCCTCAGTATCAGCAAACTTGAAGGACTGCGGCAGAATATGTATTTTATTATTTTTAAAATTTACAGCTAACATTCTGAAACTTTTGGCTCTGTAAAAACATGGTGCTGAGCTACCAGCATTAACATAAGATTATCCAGAGCAGTGGAATTTTGTTCAATACAGTCACCTGTTTTTTTTTCCTTTCCTATTCAAGCTCAGTCTAACTATTGATCTTCCCTCTTTATATCCACGTCTGACCAGCCAATTATTATTCACCTTATTACGAGAGTGGGGTGGGATGCGAGAGCATTCACTTCTCTGGTTATTCTTCCACCCATTCCCCTTCTTTGCTATAAATTTAGCTAGACAGGAACATGTCCAATATAAGTTGCAACTTCAAAAATAAAAACCACGTGCCTCCCAAGCTTTTATCTAGACCAAGGCCTTATGTTTTCCCTGAAGTTTAGTGGGACAACACTTGGGTGTTCACTATCATGTTATTCAACAATAATACAAGGGAGAAATCCAAAAGCCCCTGGACCTGCAGATAGCCCCTTAAACTTTTAAGAGATTGCAAGCCCCTAAGAGTACCTGTAACATTCTCAAATTCTTGTTTTAGGCCTAAGGCTCAATTTCAGACGTCAATGAAGCAACTCTCAAGACTTTATGAGCTAGGAGACCTCTCATGCACCCATTATTTATAAATGCCAGGTTTTCAACAAAGACCAATGACACGTACAGAATATAATTTATATAAATATAGAAAACTGCAACACTCAGTTTTTCTCTGCTTGTTATTCACCAAAATGAGGGTGAACCAAAGATAGAAAACAAAACAGATATGTAAAACACAATCGTCTGATCAAGCGAAATTTTCATGCGCATCATATATTATTCCAAATAAATAAATAAATAAAACTAACCCAACAGAACCACCACCGGACCCAGTCGTGCAACGTTTTTGGCAATGAAGATGGTTTACTTCTTCAAGCAATAACTTCATCCGTTGTGACAGCAATCCATTAGGGGTTGTATTTTTATGATCGTATGGCATAAAAAGAGCCTGAAGAGGTAAAGCAATTATGTAAGTTGACACACTGAAGAAAGAAATAACAGAAATATGACCAGTGTAACTTAACCATACATGCACAATGTAAAAGAAAACACATCTTATTAAACTTAACCATTATCGCAGCCACTATATAACATCAAATAAAACTTTTCTATCTTACAGTTTTTGTCCTGCCATTGGCCCACAATTAAGGTAATCTGTTTTAGAAAGGATAGACAGGTGGGTGCAGATCGGTGAAATACTTACAGAATTACCTATTTTCAAGCAGTTTTATGCATTTTGGGTCACTGAACATGTGGTGTGGCTTGAAGTGGGTTAGTTCTGGTGTTTTGACTATAGGGAGATCTCATAACAAAAAAGGAAAGGAGGAGTGGGAAAATATTTGGAAGTGTTGTAAACAGATTCCTAGTTTGTTGAGTAATAAGTAAACTCATGGTAGTGTTCATATTCTACTTGAAGACGTTGTTCAGTATAATATACCTTGCAATATTATGCACAGTGCCAACTAATACAAGCTCAAGCGGCATTTCCAGCAAAATATTGAAGCGTTCATATAACTTGTATTCCACAAAAGTTGCCCAAACGTTAAAAATAGGAATTAGGATTGGTTGCTTCATACCCAAATATCAAATTAGAAGTATAATGCCAAACGGGGTAAAGATTTGGATATGTAATACTAACTACAAGCATCTTTAAGCCATTACGATTCTTGGAAAACTAGGAGGAATATATACTCTTGCTTCATATATTTGAACATTCAAACTAAAATTACATTATCGAAGGTAGTAAAGCTTTCAAAATGGAAGGCTAATGTAAAATATTAAAAGCAACAATAAACTATTGACAGCAATGCAGTCTCATATACAGTTCCTCCTTGGACTATAATGTGCTAATCCTAAATCGAGCATAATTATGGATAACAATACAAAGCAAGAAGTGATTTAAATTTTAGAAATGGATGACAAAGAAATGAACAAAAATTACCTCCATTCCAGAGTGCACATTAATCCATATGTGTGGATCAAATGATAAGGCAAGCTTCCGAACAATTTGAGTTTCAGGCTCACTAAAAGGAGCAGCTCCAGGATTCTCCTCATATGGATCATAATCCTATCGATTAAGGTAATGACAATGAGAAAGAGAAACAAGAAAAAATAAGAACTTTAATCAGGTAAGCTTCTATATGTCACAAGATGTGGTACAACAATTCATAACCTATACAAGATGCAAGTGAATAAATCACAGTAAAGGCACCATGAATTAAATTATTTGACGAGGAGTTTGGGAGAATGGTTAACCTTCTCCTTTTTGCCCCAATCTACACTCCAATTTCGATTGAGATCAACTCCTCTGCCTGCCATATAATACAAATTCAAGCTTTTCAATTGAATCTTGCAAGTTAATACTACTAAAGATGCTAATAACAAATGTCAGACCATTTCTTCTCTCGCAGAAATCTCCTGATTCAACAAGTTTGCGGCCGTTCAAATTTTCCATAGGGATCATCTGATAAAAAATAAGACATCAGCAATTTCCGGATACCATTCTCTACCAAGCTTTTTTATGGAACAAACACAACTATAATTTAATGACAAATAGATCTAGTTCAGACTCCCCCCCCCCCCCTTTCATCAACTTTGGGAAAATGAAAGCTAACCAGGAAAAAATCTATAAAAATTGAGTCACAAGAAATAGTTAAGCATGACAATGAATAAAAATAAAAAATAATAACAGGGCCATGATTTCCAAAGGTAAAAATACTGACAAGTCCATGACTTTATTATTTAGATCAAAGATACCTAAAATCTTAGTAACTATGTGTTGTAGAATGGGAAACATGATGAGGCAAATAAACCAGGTTTGTAAATTCAATCTATGTAATGGTCCGTGAAGGAAAATTTAGAAAGAATGGATTTGAGGGGATGTTTTAGATGAACATTCTCTGAACGCCATTATAACAACAGTAGTTACTATCAGACACTAAGTGAACAAAGTGACAACCACAGTAAGTGCTTTTGAAACTAATCAGGATTTGTGTAAAATATTCAAGCGCAACATTAAATAATGCAAAATGCAGCCAGAAGAACTGTTTGCCAAAATTTTTCTCCCCATATTGTGGAGTTCCGCAAAAGCCCACCTCTAGAGACTTTGAAGTTTAAAACCATATCTAAAACACATTTCTGGAGATATTTTGACTTGCCTTTATTACAAGATTGTCAAGTGTACCATTTAAGGATGCTTGATCCATACTAGGAAGAAACCGTTCTTCACTAAGAATTGACAAAATCCTTAAAGAAAGTTCCGAAGTAATCAGCTCCCTTCCATGCTGCCCAAAACTCTGGAAGACAAGGAATCATCTGTCAAAAACACCAGAATAACCAATTTGAGATAACTATCCACTACATGTCAAATTGCATTTTTCAAAGCATGAAACTTTGTCTTCACTCTTTTCAGTTACATATTACAACATGATCCTTTCTCTCTCTCTCTTTTAGCCAATAAATAGTATGGGGGAAGGCTGAGCTTTAACATGCAATTATTCATGATTTAATGAACTGCAAATAAAACTTCATGCTGATATTATTATTAATGTAGAAAACTTACCAAAAGGATTCTAAATTTTGACTGCTCATGATTCTCTCTCTTGCCTTGGCAATAAGTAACCACCGTGACCTCAGCACTATAGCCCTTATTTCTAGCTTTGATTGTCTCCATCTGTTTCAGAACATCAAGATCAGAATTTGCGTATTAGAGAGTTAAACATCATACAACGGTCTAAATCCATCACAGTAACCCACAGTGAGTTTATCAGGGTGACGATGGACCAACGCCTTGATCTCTTCCATCAAATCGCCACTGCAAGATGCCACCAAAGGGTTCATCAAGCACAAGAAATTAATTTAATTAATATGAAATATAGGAGTGACATTGTTCATAGCTTATGTAACTACCCTTGGATTTTATACAGTTTGTTTTACTATTCTCTAAATCTTTCTCCATATACTGGCTCCACGCAACCTTTTTTTATTCTTACAATATTTTCCCGCACATTTTAGTAAAGTTCAAATGTCAGAAGAATAAGTATAATTTCCAAAATTTTGAAGTCTTCATCCATCTTGTGCCTCATTCAAGGGGAAAAAAAATCTAATTTTTACACAAAAAAGGCTCTGGGAACAGCTTGGACCAGGTATTAGAGTAACATGCGCAAACTAGAAAGGATCCCCAAGCCTTTCACGCTGAATAAGAAACCAACAAATAAAGACATTGAAGAAGATATGCACCCTATAAAAATTTAATCCAGTGAGATGATACTGGACTAACTTACCAAAAAGTGTAAGATAGGTGTTCACGCCAGACATATAATAACACCCAATGACACAATTGAGCATTAGCATCCCTCCACTGCAAAAATTATTTTCAATAACCATCCATCATCTAACCTTAATTGAATCAACTCATCTCGGATTAAATATCATCACTACTCATGTTCTTTCTTTATTCCACATACACCCGTTAGCATTCCCATCCTTGCTACATTCCTGCACCTACTTTCAAACCTTTGGTCGCTCAACAAACAAGTACACCTACCGTAGTGGTAGAGTATGCACTATACAACATATTATCATCATTGGTAGCCACCAGGTATTGAGATGATTCACGATGCTGAATATGCGAATAATAGGAAATTTACATGAAGCCAGAAAAAACGAGATTAAGTCAGCTGTGAATATGAAGATTCGAGAGAGCGCCCTTCTCTATATAACTACATAGTGAACTAAAGTTAATCTTAATTTGTCGAGCCCTACATTACAAGTTATATAAAAGAAGACCTGAAGCCCAAAAGAGGCAACATAATGAAAATTTAGCACCGATCTCCGTGATTCACATTAGATTTAGAGTTTTTTTTTTTATTTTTGTGAGATGATTTAAAGTGGTGAAATAGGAAACTTCCAAATCAGCTCCAACATAAGAAATTCAGGAGAAAAGACGAAGCACGAGCACAAATAAGCCGTGAGGAAATGACGATGTGCAAAGACGATCCGAGGATTCAAAAGAAGTTACCTGGAATGGTAGAGATCATAGTTGATTGGCGTGGAGGAAGGTTGAGCGAGATTGTTAGCTTCGCCATTTGCCCCGACGGGAACTTGCGAAAAAACACAAAAACAGATGTTGATTGCGAACCAAAAAGATGAGAGAGAAAATAGATCACCCATGCTAAGACCAGGAGTAGCGACAGAAATTTTGTTTTCGTCTCTCTAGTTACGTCCTAAGTATAACGAGTTCAGGGATTTCCTCGTCCATGCTCGGACCAGTTGAAGAATATATGACGGTGGAGGGTGAATGTGATGAACCAGGCAGCTTTTCTGCGAAAATTTCCACGTTCAACGGTCTTGATGGACTGCGGTTTTTTTTTTGGGTTCGTATTCTTTTTTATTTTTTTCAACGTAGTGTACTCGTATATTTGAAAAACTTGGACTTTAAAAACATATCTAATCTAGCTTAAGTTCAATGTAAATTTTTGATCAATATCAGTATAATTATAAACTTCCTTATATATAGGCTGATGTCGGAATATCTACCATCATTATTTATAATTTATAAATGTTGTCATTTTTATTATATATAACTAAAATGCATAGCAAGTCTAATAGCCAGTTAATCGTTATGTTTTGCCAGCTATAGCCAGTTGATCAATACTAGTAATATAAAATACTACTCTTTCAATCCTTAATATAGGACCCAATTGTTGAGTTGGTTTTAATCTTAAATATAAAACCCATTTATCATATTTTTCAATTTTTTTTAAATTACCCCTATAGATACTCCCTCAACTATAATCAAGTAGAAGAGGAAGAGGGGTATTAAGAAAGATTATTATGATATTTTAGGAAAAACGTGTCACATTTCTTATAATTAACTAACTTACCTAACTTCTTTAATCTAATCAAATTAATTAAATGGGTCTTATATTAAGGACTGGAAGAGTACTACATAAGAAAAAAAATATTACTTCTAAGTACTGAACGCTTGGGGAGGCATCCTAACTCTTGGGTGCCTAGGTAAACGCCTGAGAGTAATTGACGGCGCGCCCTGCCTAATATTGGTATGACCTAAGAGGAAGGGAGATTTCGCCCTGCCCTTGGATCGTGGGTGAGCCCAACCCCTTTCCAAAAATTTGTGTATCAAAAAAAAAAGTATTAAGCTTAAGCTCCATGCTTATATGCACGGGTCAGCTCCAACAGTAGTAATACTGTTGTTATTATTATTTTTATTGTTAACAAGAAGTATAATGAATTTGAACTTTTTTATGAATTTTATATAATACATTGATTATAATAATGTTAAAAATACTAATGCACTTTATTGGGATAATAACGATTGGCATGTGATTTTTTAAACTCGGGAACAGTTTTTCGATAAGCTAAGAAATCTTGTCAAATCAATGATAAACTCAATGATAAAATTATTATAATTCTCAAATTTTTTTATTATACATATTTTTAAGTTTAAATTTGTCTTTAAATGTGGCTAGATATGTTTTCTTATGCATTGTACTGAACCTGCAAAATATGCTACATTATTTATGGTTTTTGATGGCCTAACTTTTTTTGCATATTATTTCTGTTCTTAAATTCTATCACTTTTAAACTAAACATATTTCTTGCGTATTTGTAAGGTAAGATTCATGATGTAATCCGCATTGATAAATGATAATTATATAATTCGATGTTAATTTGTTTGCAATTTACAAAAATCGGAATTAGATATTTCATTATGACATTATTGCACGGGCATGCAAAATGTTAAAACATTTCCTTATTCAACGGGTCGTGCCAGCAAGTAAAATCTTACCATATAGAGTTTCTTCAACCTAGTCTTTACTCTCTTTTTTCTCATTCTTCTGATTTGGGCAGCCATTTGAACTGAGGCTAATTTAGGCTATAGTCGCCAAAGTCGCAGAAATGTGTTGAGTCTCGTATTGCCTAGTTTGATTCTAAATGGTCAAGTTAGATTGAGACTTTATTTGATTTGTTTTTTTTAAATAAAATCATATGAACATGACTTATTTAACCATAATCCGGGCCTTCATCAAAGACATCCTATGGCTTATAATCAAGCGGTGAGCGTAAAGAGCAATGACAGGGTGTGGCAAGCGAGATCAACAGTGCAGTTGTGCTAATATTCATGTAGTGTAGTGGTACGAAAGTTTTTCGATAAATGAAAGGTAACGCATCTAATTTCATTCATAATCTCAAAGTTGTTAGTGTCTACCTTTTAAATTTTAAAAATAAATATCATCAACTTAATCATGTCTAGTGACATACAAGAGTAGAATATGATAAGATAAAGGTTACATCTCCATTAAAGGAAGGCATCTTAGTGATTTTTATAAATCTAAACGTGTATTTAGAATACCTTAAAATCACTTTTAAAAAATATTTTATATAAGTCAAGACAAAATTCTTCTCATGTAATTATTTTGTGTATTACCAAATCATTTCTAAAGCTATGATTTAATTTTTACCTAAATATTTCCTATACTTATGTGTTATTAACGGCAATGGAGCTTTAAACGGTCATGAAAGGGATGTTCTTCCTCTCACCACGCACTCCTTTTGGATGCGCAACGCTTTCCTGTCTCAACCACGTGATGGCATGACATGTTTTTGTGTAAAGGGCATGCGATTCGCTTATTATTATGATGTAGTTGTCTTTGTTTGCTTTTGGCTTGCTTGAGGATTTAGACTTTGTATTTGTTGCGGATTTTGTGGATGGGATTTGTTGTGTAGAAGAATCGATCGGGGGAGACAAAGTTGCAGAGAAAAGGATGGGAGAAGCAAGTGCGTCGTGCAATGGGCATTCTTGGATTGTGATATTTTTAATCCTCCATCTGTTAAAAAATACATACTAATATAAAAACCAGTTTAACATATAATTTGATCTTAAATACTACTTCCGGTCCTTAATATAAGATTTTGTTTGATTTTTATTTTGGTCTTAAATATAATACCTCAATCTATTTTGCCTCTCATATTTATACATTTTTTTTAAGGTAGTCTTTCTAAGAATGATAATTCTAACCAACACATTTAATTGGTAAGGATATTTTAGGAAAGACAGCACCTATTTATTACAAATAACTAACCTAACTTCTTTCCTTAATATAGGACCCAATTGTTGAGTTGGTTTTAGTCCTAAATATAAGACTCATTTCTCATATTTATCAATTTTTTAAAATTATCCATGTAGATACTCCCTCAACTATAATCAAGTAGAAGAGGAAGATGGGGTATTAAAAAAGATAATTATGGTATTTTAGGAAAAACGTGTCACATTTCTTATAATTAACTAGCTTACCTAACTTCCTTAATTTAATCAAATTAGTTAAATGGGTCTTATATTAAGGACCGAAGGAGTATTTTAATTCATTTTGTCTTTTATATTTATTCATTTTTTAAAAATAGTTTTTGTAGTAGTTATACATGTTAAATGTTTCATGAAATGGTAGTTATAGCTAATATATCTAATTAGCAAAGGGATGTTAGGGAAGATAATACCCATTTATTACAAATAACTAGCTTAACTAATTTTCTCAATCTACTCAAATTAGTTAACTAATCCTTATATTAAGGATTAGTGTAAACTAAAAATTATTTCAGAATTCCACTAATTGTTTCCTGTTCAATTAGGGGCTTAGGAGAAGTGCCTTGCGGGGTTTAGAAATTTTGATGGTGAAAGGAGAACAGGTTTACTTGGAAACCCAACGGCTTATACGCAGGTGGTTTAGTCGAGATTATAAATTTTTTTTTACAATAATGTGTTATTTAACTCAGAAATGCCTTTAGGATGCAATTTGAACTAAATATCTTGTTGCCTTTGTAGATTTCCCAACAATTGTTGACTAATTTTGATTACTTTTTTGAAGATAAGCCAAAACCCACAATTTGAAATAGCACTCCCCTTGCTTTAATGACACTCATAGGGACAGTATTAAAATCGTCGGTGAGTCCGAGACACCGTGCCTGTCTGCCTTAGCGTCCGGCGGGAAGTAAGTTACTTTTTTTTTTTTTAAGCATAACCCCGTTTAAAAAATTTGTGGCGTTTGGGTTGATGATTGAATAATCTGATTTTTACATAAAAACTTACAATAAGCTATAAGTAAAAATTAGTTATTTATGACTTGTGGCTTTTAGAACATAGAAAGAAAAAAGTTAAAAAATTTATTATCTCATCTTATTCTTATTATAAACCTCAAATAACTGATTTGTAGATAACAAAAAATCAATTAAAATTAGTTGAAAATAATAAATAAGTTAAAATACTTTTGCTTTTAAATATGCCCCTAAAAATATATTTTTATTTTCAAATATACCCTTATAATAAATGATAAAAAATAAAAAAAATATATGAGATCAATAGGAGCTTATAAATAATTTAAAATTATTATATTATGCAAATTGATAATTTTTTATTTTTCATTAGTTAATAAAAGTCTTACTCAATTTGATAATTTTATAAATTAAAATTATTTATTCAATCATAATCTAAACAACTTACTTTCACATGCTAACTTTTACAAAATCTAATCCAAACATAATTTACATCACGCAATTTAACTTTTACCTAATTTTATTTTTTCAAAAGTTAGATTGAGGATGAGCTACTTTACGAATCACTAATTCAAACAGATTCATTGTCTCCACTCAACTGAGAAAACATTAACACTCAACTGTCGAATAATTCTTTTACGAAAGTAGCACTCTGGTCTTTGTTGTATATCAATATATATATTAAATTGACAATATTTTTTAATTTTATTTTTATTAAATTTTTTTATATTTATAAAACATTCTCATATTTCTACATTTCTCTCTCTTTTCAATAAGAATTGAATAGAGGCAAAATTAAAAAATAATGTACTATAAACGACTTACATTTATAACCATACCCTTCCTTACAAATGACTTACATTTAAGACGAGAGCGGTGTTAATAATATTGATAACCCAGCTTGCCTCTTTGAAAATGAAGTCTCTTTCAGGGAGTTTTGATTTTCATTTTGCGTTAATGGTGATGATACCCGGAATTTTTCTGTTAATGACAACTAACCTGAAACAATCAGTGACTACGACAAGGAAGAAAAACAAAAAAGAGCAGCTGCAAATAACGAGAACGACTCGAATCAAAGTGAACAGCATAGTAATGTTTAACACAGCATATTTGCTGGAATGAGAAAATGCTATAACAAGGGAGCCTTGGCTTTGATCCGAGAATATTGCCTTGGATACTTTTCACAAATCCTAGTTAAAAGTTGAGATCCATTCGTGAAAGTCCTCTTTAACTACACAGAGCAGCGGTCATGGATTAGGTCATCGGTTATTAAAATTTACATAATTAAATTCAAGTTTTTTGTTGTTGTCGTGTCCTCTTATATGATATAGTGTCTGTTTGGCCAGTGTTGACTAGCCTAAACGTGACTTAATTTCGACAAGCCCAATTGAAAATTTTGGTGATATTTGAAAGGGCTTATGACATATTGAACTTATTGAAAAATAAGCTGGCTGACCATGCTGGGGAAATAAGTTAAGAAGAGGAGCTTATTTTTTTAGTTTGAAAAGCTTATAACATATTGAGCTTATTAAAAAAAAATTTTACATGCTGCCATGATTAAATTTTTTTTTAATTCTTATATGTCTTAAAAGTCTATTTTCATAGTAAAAATACCTTGATTTTTATCTGTTGATTAAATTTGATAACAGTTAAATTTTATGACGAATAATAATTCGGGATAAAAATGTTATGAAATACAACTTTTAATACATGTAAAAACTAAAATATTGGGTCCTACTTAATTAATAATTTCAAAATATTTAAACAACTAATCCTAATTAATTAACTAGATATGAGTTTGAACCAGTAAAATGGTCACGAGTTCGTTCGTACAACAATGGCGTATCAAAAACTGGCTGTGTCCCGGAATATATTCCTCCGAGTGTAGGGGCGTTACGGGAATTAATATCTTATTTATTCCCAGACTGTGACATGTAATTTACTTTTAACGTTTAGGTCCTCTTTTTGTCATTTAAAAATGAAAATTTAACAGACGGCAACGAAATCTAAAACCCTAATCCCCTATCCCCCTTCCCCCAGTCCCTCTGTCACTTGCAGGCGCCCCTCCTCATCATTCTTCTACCCTTTGCCTGCCGTGGAGTCCTCCTCTCTGTCACTTCCGCTCTCGCCTGCATTCGCCTCTCCTGTTATCATTCTCCGTTCTACCGTTGCATCGAGTGTTCGGCTGCCGACCAGCCTTCACCTGTCGTCTCTGTTTCGGCATCTCGCGCGTTGTGAGCATTCTCTATCTGCTTTTCAAATTACAGTTCGTTATTGTTAGCAATAAAAGGAAGTAATCCGGAAGCTCTATTGAAGCACGAATCCGGCTTTAGAGCTGTATTATCTACATGAAAATGTGACGCATTAACACTGAGGTTGATCAGGGTTTTGTGCAGAGCTGTGAAAAGGGAAGTCATGAGCAGGAGTTTGGGAATACCAGTGAAACTACTTCACGAGGCTTCTGGTCATGTGGTCACCGTCGAGCTGAAGAGTGGAGAACTCTACAGAGGAAGTATGATCGAGTGTGAAGACAACTGGAATTGTCAACTTGAGAACATTACCTACACTGCCAAGGTACTTTTCGTTTGCATTAGTCATAATTCCGCAGCACCTTTTCGGTCGCATTAGTCATGATTCTGCAAAGTCACCCATGTATGTTTGTGGCCTGAAAAAAAAGTCATGAATGTTTAGTTCTCGTATTTTCCTGAGATTGCATAGAGTTTGGGTTTCTGATCAGTTAATTTTGATCTAAGTAGTGAAATTCACTTAATTTTCCCGAACGCCACGGGATGCCATCCATCAAGAAACTCGTCAGGCAGAGGCATACACTACCTTAGAAAGAGGGGTTGTGAAGGATAGGAGGTGATTGAGAGATCGCAAGCTGCTTTCACTCTCCTACTTGAAACTCTTGTCCCTCACAACACTGTCTGGGAACTGAGTTTATGAGGCCAACCACCACACAAACTGCTGTCAGATAAAGGTCTTTAGTTTCCCTTCATCTGTTGCTAAGCCAAAGTCCTAATTCTCCTGGTCAGCATGTGCTATATCTATGAATCCTACCCGTTTGTACGTGGCCTGGAGGGCCTTCCATTTCAGCTGTCTCCTCAGCAGTTGCTGTTGCTTGTGGCGGTCCCTCATGCTTAATCTACTCTATACACCTAATGTATCTGGTTGTGGCCCTACTTTTATGAGTTTCATATCAACAATAATATTGGTTAGTCCTGAGGCTTGTGAGCGATCTCAGTTTGTTTCTGCAACCGTGAAAACCTGATTGATACCTTTTTTACAAGAGATATTCCTTGTACAAAATGATTCAAATTATTATTTTTTTACTCTAGCCCTTGCTGGTTTTAGATCAAACGAGTTGATGTTATTTGACTAAGTAGAACTGGTCCGGTTTACATCTAATCAATCATGGTTAAAAGTTTAAATTAAAAAGAACCGAGGTTGATCATGAACATGTCATTCGGCTAGTTCAGACTACCTTGGGATTAGCGAGATGTAAGTCCAAATGTTGGGCTTTTCCACTTCCCATATCCAGTGACACAGCTAACAGAAGCAGGTCCCATCTCCAGAGTCTCCTTAGGTTGTATGCTTGTATGAGTAGCCATATGTTTGCAGGCAATTTATAGGTTTTCATGTTAGAGACACTGGATTTCTGTAATAGAATGTTGTTTATGACTACATTATTTCGGTTTGCATCTAGTTAAATATGAGCATGTGCAGAATTTTGAAAGCAAGCGGGACATGTTAGTTTCATTTATTGAGGTTCAAATGGAAGGGAGCCAATGAATCAAACAAATATGCCATGTCAAATTTTGTGTTCAATGAATTCTGCGAACTCCCAAAATTTTGTGAATTCAACAAGTTAAAAGATTATGTGTAAATTTTCTTAGGGGAAAATCACTATGTGGTCTCAAAGAATGAATGTAATTACTGAAAAATCCCTTAACAAGTGAATGGTAAGTTCTAGTGCAGGACATAACAACAAATTTTAACCTGCTCCCTTGTCTTTTGGTCTTCTTGGTGATTATAATATTTCCTTGAGGATTCACAGTGATTTCCCTTTTTTTTTTTTATTGTTTGAACTTCAGCTTTACTGAATAACCAAGCATTCACTTAATCTGAATTTGATTTGTAACTTTTATTTTTTCCTCGAGCTTTTTGAAGTTTTTTAATAGTGTTGGTCCATATTTGAGATGAGAAGATAACCAAGTAAATATAAGTTTACCCATGAACGCCAGCACTACTATGACAGGAGCACGATGGCGTCGTGTGATTCATGTAGCTGACCCCACCTAGTGGGATAAGGCTTGTTGTTGTTGTTGAGATGAGGAATGTAACCAAGTTGTTAAATATTACTCAGTTTTTTTCTGTCGCCCCATTATATAGCTAAGATACCAACGCATGCATTCTGCAAGTTGAATTTTCTTAAGTTGCGGCCTTTCTGTTATTCACCATCAATGATGTGCTTATGCCAGAAATAGGAGTGGCCTGAGAAAGTGATGCTAGCCGATTATTCAATTGTGAAAGTTGTAGAAGGGTTTCTTGTCACCAATCTCAACTTTTAAGTGCATTGATATTAATTATATGTTTTAAATTGTTAATATTTATGTACGGTGAACTTTATATATTATTTGCTGATGATGGCTTTATCTTCCACAGGATGGCAAAACATCCCAACTTGAACATGTATTTATCCGAGGCAGCAAAGTCAGGTATGGACTACACCTTATGTACTTAAGGATTGGGTGAAAATTATATTCCAAAGGCGGTTTTGTAGTTTCTGTATGGTAATTGTAAGTGCTTTGAAAAGTTGTGACCAAATAATTTTAACAGGTTTATGGTCATACCAGACATGCTGAAGAATGCTCCCATGTTTAAACGATTGGATGCTAGAATCAAGGTACCTTCACATCTTTTATTGATGGAAACTCCTACGTTTGAATATGTTCTTAGTGTAACCTTTTCCTCTTGAATATCATGAAGGGCAAGGGTGCATCACTTGGAGTTGGTAGGGGCAGAGCAGTTGCAATGCGGGCCAAGGTTCTTGCACTCCTTTCCATTAACTTTATAGAAGCATTCAATGTGGCCATATACATGAGATGTGTTTTAATTCCGTACTTGGCGTATTTTATCTTATATTTGCATAGTCTGAGGAATTGTGAAGTATGCAGCTTTTCATATATTTTATATTTTATGTACTTGATGATTTGCTTGTGCAGGCTCAGGCTGCTGGCCGTGGAGCAGCACCTGGGAGGGGTGTTGTCCCACCTGTTCGGAGGTGATTGGCGTGCATATAATCTCCTTTTCCCGTCCTCTGTTTGGTGAACATGAGATTTAGGTGTGGGGTAGAATGCCATTTGTGGGTACCGGGTAGGAGAGAAAAAAAACAAACAGGAATCGCTCATCTAGACGTAATTGATTGCTCACTTGTGGATAGATTAATTCTACTCATCGGTCTTGTATTATGTACTTGGTAAGTAATTTCTGTAGTGGTTCTGTAGAAATGACTTTGTTTGGGACTTCAAGTTATCCTGCTCAATTGTACCTGCTGATCGCGTTTTGCTAGCATCATATTTTTTGGTCCAATTAAAAGTAGTCTCATGCGATATATTTTCATTGAAATTTTTCACAATAGATATTACTTCTAATCCTTAAGATAAGAACTAATTTGACATTTAATTTGGTCTTAAATATAAGGGTTGATCTACTTTAGATCTCATTTATTTATTTTTTTAAAATAGCTTTATAGTAGTTGTACATGTTAAAGGTTTCATCATATGATAGATTTAGCTAATAAAATTGATTAAGACAACAATTATTATAAGTAATTAATTTAACAAATTTTTTAATATATTTAAATTAGTTAACTAGTTTTTATATTATCAAAATAATATTGAAGATAATATATTGATATATTCTTAGGTTTTTCTTTTGTATTATGAAAAAGATAGAGATCTTTATGCTAATTATAGGGTTGTGTTGAAACCCGTCTGCTTATTTCTTTCATCAAATTGCTAAACAAATATTGAAAAATTTTAAATAAATTATAAAAAAACTGTGAAGAAAGCATAGCATCTTCTAATCCCCTCTTCCCTTCCTAGGTTTTATCATGGCCTTTGGGTTGGTATGAATGATGTTCTCTTTGTTTTTTCCCCTTGGCGTAACTTGTCCCTAGCTTAGGTACATTCAAGGCCGGGGTCCGCTCGTCCCCATTTTGGATCTGACCCGACTTGGTCTCTCAAGTGATATCGGTCTTTTTAAAAAAATAAAGCTAATGAATGCTTTTAATTTTATTAATGATATTTTGAATAGCGGCCATTATTTTGGCCAATAGTTTCTCGGCACGTTACGGGACTCAGCTGCCCAGACTAGATGTATTCTTTTTGATCCACGGTAGATAGATGTACCTCATATGATGATGATCATCCGTTGGCAAAAAGAAATGATGATTACTATCACCATGACATCATGTACAGTTGTATGACACTGGTTATACGTTTTAAATGTTGTGAGAGCCAAATAGACCTGAAATTATCTCGTTGCTATATCAACCACTGATATTGTTTGTCCGTCCTGAGCACGCTCTTCAAGACTTTTGTAAACGTGGCGCGTTAGCAGTGGCCCATGTCATGCCTTATCAACAAGTGGCTCTGAGGGGATCATCGGAAAACAACAAAACGGGATAGGGATCCATGAATTCATGACGTCTTCATTTATTTTATCGATTTTCCTCTACGCTATCCAACTTTTTTTTATACCATAAAAAATTTTAAATGCTGAACACGCCGGTATTTAAATTTCTTACTAAAATATCGGCGATAACTTCGAGGGGCCATAGTTTCGTTTTGGCAAGATATCTTCTTGTGAAGAGAAATACTTTTCTGAAACCAGTGCAATAAATAAACCAATTAAATTGGAATTTGTTTTTCCGAATTACATATTAGACTAAAATTATCGTGTGCGCTCAGTGTATTTGTTCCTTTGATTATATTATACGGTATATATTAAATTGCACATCCAAATCTGCTTGTATGTAAAGTACAAATGAATTTACTTAATAATCATTAACAGAATATTTTAAAAGAGTCAATAATGTATTCACATTTTAAAACTCGAAAAAGAAGATGCCTTCCTGCACGTATAAACTGCTCTTTTTTCACTGTTTTTATTATAATATAATATGAGATTAAAAGATTTTCACATGATATATACTTGTCCACATGCGTGCAATATTTTCAACACAAAAAATCAATGAAAAAAAAATAAATACAAACAATTATTTTTAAGTCCGTTGGCAAAAATTTTCTTTTAAGTCGGTTATAACAACGAATTTTCACGCGGAATTTCGTTGGTGGGTCCCAAACGAGATGGTGTTAAATTTGTATCTCGTGACGCTGCGGGAGCGCCACGTTATATTCCTTAATACTTATAATTAGAAATAAGTTTTTTTTCTTTGCCATATACATTTTAACGAAGTTTTATATAAATTTGGTGGATTGGTAGATGAGGCCCGAAGTCGTGTGATCTCCATTCGAAGGAGTAGCTCTTCCCTCTTGTTTCGAGTCGCTGCGGGTAACCCTGTTCATGGATCCGTACAAGGTACAGGAATTTCGATACTAATTCTCCCAATTGTATTCCTCATCGGTAAACATAACCTCTTTCACTCTATTTCTTAGTTTAATCCTTCTCCTGCTTGAGGTGGGCTTGAAATCTTTCTTTTTTATGGTTTAAGAACATCATCGATCGGCTTCTTCATTTTAATTATTCCTAATTCTTCCTGGATTGATTTGGATTATTCGGAAACCAAGTCAGAAATATCGTTTTAATATTTTCCCCCCAAAAGCGATACATCACCATGGCTTTTCTATGCATGGATTATGAGTATAGGACGTTTGCTGACTGGTTTGCTGCTTTTGTTATGTCTTGCAGTACCGCCCATCAAGCGCCTTCAATTCTCCCTTCTGGACTACAAGTTCTGGTGCTCCGGTGTGGAATAATAACTCATCTCTAACTGTCGGATCTAGAGGTATTGCTTGCTTTTGCAATTTACCATCTTTGTGTACGGGAGACAATGTTAATTAGGCCTGGAGACGTTATCCATAATTTTGTTGTGAACTATTTGTGTCAGAAATGCTCATTTGAATGGTTAAGGAGTTCTTATGGGTGGAAATTCTGAAATCCTCAGAAAGAACCTGATTGTTAAGAGGATATGATCTGGGTGCTTTAATAGTGAATAGTCAAATTCAAAAAAAAAAAAAAATGTTTTCGTTGGTTGGATCCCAAGTTGTGAAATGATTTTAGTCTTATTGTTCTGAAATCAATGTTAAAATTAAAAGTAGCTCACTGCAAGCGAGTGAGCGCCATTAGTCCAGCACGTTGACTCATCCCATGGTTTAACGAAAATTTGTCGAATGTATGGTTGAAAATAGCTTACTATTTTTTTGTTATTAGCCGACAGCTTTGGTAATTATAATTATCTGGGCTTCGTTATATAGATGGTCTTTTTAACTTTTTTTATCATGTATCAATATGTGTTTATTTTTTTGATTTATGTTGATGAATGTTGTAACTGTGAAGAAAAAGCAGTGTTTCAGGTTCTAATAAATTATTGGAAGGGGGCAAATAACTCAGTAATGCAGTCAAAGTAGGGAGGGGATTGTTATTAATCAACTTGTTGTAGAACTCAAAGAATGAATTTGGTTGTATATCATTGTTCTTAAATTTTTTTTATATTTATCCCATTTTGCAGGTCCAATTCTCCTGGAGGATTATCATCTGGTAGAGAAGCTTGCAAACTTTGATAGGGAACGCATTCCTGAACGTGTTGTCCATGCTAGGGGAGCCAGTGCAAAGGGTTTTTTTGAAGTCACACATGACATTTCTCACCTGACGTGTGCAGATTTCCTTCGGGCACCTGGAGTTCAGACACCTGTCATTGTCCGTTTCTCTACTGTTATTCATGAGCGTGGTAGCCCTGAAACTCTGAGGGATCCTCGAGGCTTTGCTGTGAAGTTTTACACTCGGGAGGTAATGATTTGAGGGTACAGAATTGAAAAAATCTTCTGGCTCTGAGCGTTACATCAACTTTTCTCTGTTTCATATATTTAAAGAAGTTCCCTTTTTAACTAAGGAAAACAAGCTTCGTTCTTGAATGGTTGGCAAATATCCATAAAGCAGATGATGTAGTTATAGTTGGTTGCTTTCTGGTGCTATGTGTAATTTTTGTTCCTACCTTGTGAACTCAGGGTAACTTTGACCTCGTGGGGAACAACTTTCCTGTCTTCTTCATTCGTGATGGAATGAAGTTTCCAGACATGGTCCATGCCCTTAAACCCAATCCCAAGTCCCACATCCAGGAGAACTGGAGGATTCTTGATTTCTTCTCCCACCATCCAGAAAGCCTCCACATGTTCTCCTTCTTATTTGATGATTTGGGTGTCCCACAAGATTATAGGCATATGGAAGGTTCTGGTGTTAACACATATACCTTAATCAACAAGGCTGGAAAAGCACACTATGTGAAATTTCACTGGAAACCCACTTGTGGTGTTAAGTGTCTTTTGGAGGAAGATTGCGTCAAAGTTGGAGGAGCAAACCACAGTCATGCAACTCAAGACCTTTATGATTCAATTGCAGCTGGAAACTATCCTGAGTGGAAACTCTACATCCAAACAATAGATCCGGATCATGAAGACAGATTTGACTTTGATCCACTTGATGTAACCAAGACTTGGCCTGAGGACATTTTGCCCCTGCAGCCTGTTGGTCGACTGGTCTTGAACAAAAACATTGATAACTTCTTTGCTGAGAATGAACAGCTTGCATTTTGCCCTGCCATCGTGGTACCTGGAGTATATTACTCAGATGATAAGTTGCTCCAAACAAGGATATTCTCCTATTCTGATACACAGAGACACAGACTTGGACCAAACTATTTGCAACTTCCTGCTAATGCTCCCAAATGTGCTCATCACAACAACCATTATGACGGCTTCATGAATTTCATGCATAGGGATGAAGAGGTAAATCATTTTTCCTTTGTCTCTTTCCTTTTTCTGGGCAAGGCTTATTGTCTTGTTTAAGTTATCAACTACCTAATGTCACTCTATTACTCAATCGTGCCTTAATACATGCTGTCATACTGCAGCTTATATGCTTTTGTTGTATTTTCTTCTAATGACTGTTCTGCACTGCTGCTGATTTATAGATTGATTACTTCCCTTCGAGGTATGATCCTGTTCGACATGCAGAAAGGCACCCCATTCCTCCTCCAGTTCTTACTGGAAGGCGGGAAAAGGTTGGTTCTCAATTCTCCTAAATTGCATTATCTAAAACGTTGAACCACCATTGCAAAGTTAATCCACCAGCCATGGTTTTTGGAATATTTAATTAATTTTGGCATTGCTTTGTGCAAGCTTCGTGCACAATTTGACAACTCTGATAATGTGTTTTAGAAAAGTTTGATGAGAAGCGCTCTTGGAAACACATCTGTTAAGAATTCTTGTTCTCCTGATTTATCAAGTCGAACAACGATGTATAGCAGAATCAGTGAGAAATTTGATCAAATACTACATAGGAAAGTGAGATTTTTTCAGTTACTAGTGCAAAAAAACTGGGCCTCGATTTAATGAAGGGTGAAAATGGTGTTTATATGGTATTTAGTTAGTGGTAGGTGGATGCAAGGAATTGGTAGTAAATGTCTCGAAAAACAAATGATTTTTTTTTTTAGCACAAACAGTTGAAGGACGAGAATGTGGAAATGACTTGAATTGCTTAATTTTCAGTGCATAATTGAAAAGGAGAACAACTTCAAGCAACCTGGCGAGAGATACCGATCCTGGGCGCCTGACAGGTGACTGTCATAGCTCTCATAATAAAATGAGGGAAATATTGTTGATGTCTAACACTAATATTGCATTCTCTCTGTTGTTTTCCTGACGCCAGGCAAGATAGATTTGTCCGTCGGTGGGTTGAGGCTTTGTCTGACCCACGAGTCACACATGAGATCCGCAACATTTGGATATCATACTGGTCGCAGGTGAGACAGGCATTTCCATAAGTATAATTTGTAAATGTGAAATGAATCTACACTGCCCTTGTGCGTGCTCGTTATGTTCTTTGATGTCATTGGCCCAGGCCGATCGTTCTCTTGGACAAAAGATAGCTTCTCATCTGAACTTGAGGCCAAGCATCTAAGGTTGGGAGAGTTGCTGATGAATGAAGAGTGTAACAAACATGGGGCATATGCGAGTTCGGGTCATCCGAAAGGATCAGTAGTCAATGCTTTCCTTGCAGTATGATGTCATATACCAGCTAGGATATTAGCGCCAGGAGATATGATCGTATGCACAGTGTAATAGGAACATTTGTTTAAAAATTGTGTCTCTTATTACCGTATGCTTAACCGTTTGGGGACGGTGTCAATTTAATAAACTGTGCTCGTAATTTGTGTGATAGCTCTTTTATTTCGCTTTCTAGATTATTATATCCTTTTGGTTGCATACCGTCATATCCATCATCATTTTGTATTGTGATTAATTGAAGTTTGTACTTCTCGTTGTGATAGAAGTAAAATGTACTGCTGGTAAAAAATAAATAAATAAAATGTACCATCTCATGTATGAGATTTTGTTTTGTAAACTACAAATAAGATCTCATAGACATTTAGTATCAGTTATGCCATATAATTTTACAACTGAATTCGCGCCGTCCGACTTTTTGTAAGCATTAAGATTAATTTAGAAATTATCAGTTTGTATCCGGGTTTTTGGCACGTCTCATTACACTATGCATGATTTAGGTTTAAAACTTTCCGTTTATAATTTGTATTAATAAATCTAATTTTTTTAAGCGAGTGTTATTTGAAATAAGAAATTGAATCTAGGTTATTCAAAATCAATCTCAGAATGTGCTCCCTTTTATATTGACCATTAAGGTGGTTTTAAAAAAATTTATTTTCGAGATTTCATATATGATAAACGAAGTTAATTTATGGTAACCCAAAATCTTAAAACATGTTTCTTCTAGGTTTTTGTTTTGATTGCACAGAATATCTTTCTATCCAAACGTTAAGACACTAATCTTTTAGAATACTAAGTTTTTTTTACTTAGACCAACACTTGTTTGTTGTTATTTCTTCTAAGGTTTAAAAACAATTAATAATCAAAATAAATAGAAACATTTTTTTCTATAAATGGGATCATTTTTTGCTTGCCACATTTCGTTTGAATCAATTTTTCATCTCTATCGAACCTCATCCTTTTTTATTTGATCTAACTTTAGGGGTTTCAATAAACACTCAAAAAAGTTTTTCAAAAACAATGAAACATAGTGAGAAACAAACAGGCCTTAATGTGGGTCACAAATCTACAATTAATAATTGCATACGGAGAAGCTTTCAGCATGCGAGCGTGCAGCACATATTAGGCAAATCACCATCATATAAAGCGGATGCAGCCTCGTATTCCAAGTCATAGCACAATTTTCAAATTTAAATTACATCATCAACAGCTCAAACTTCTTAAATATTCACTTGCGTATTTTTAATTTTAAATATTAATTTATTCCAAGTCAAAGTAATTTTACAGGACAGGATTCAAGTTATACATGTGATTTGCCATAATAAACGGACGCCGTGTTTTCTTTTGATGCATATGATTCCGATAGCGATCGCATAACAGCGGTTAGGGAACGATGGACAGCGAGCCAGCCTAACCGAGACCCGGCAGCGAAATTAACTGGCCCAGTCCAAACAAACAACCGTAGAATAGTCTTAGATAAACGAATTCCATGCACATTAAAATACAGCACGAACTGACGCCAACCAGTTTATAAAAACTTGAGACTTGAGACTAAAAGACATGCAAATCAAGCAAAGGAATGAAGGCCAATCATCTTGGACTTCAAAGAATCATTCATAGACTTGAGACTAAAAGACATGCAAATCATCGTAAAAGGCCATCATACAACAACATAAATTAAGAAACTAGTATACTATAAGGACCCTATCACAGAACAGATTTGACATTTTAGTCACTAGACTAGAAATGCCTAAAAAAAAACCAAAAAATCAAAGAAAAAATCAACAAAGCATCAAATAGTAATCCTACTAACATATCTTACAAATGACGTGCCTATCAAATTAAAAGCAATTTAAGTTTCAAATGCTTGGTCGATCAAAATCTTCAGATCCTATGATCTGTATCATGAAAACATGATTACCATCCTTCAGCCAAACACAAACGAGCATAGCCACCCATAGCAGAGAATATTTCTACTAAAATATTCTCAAAGAGAAACACAACCACATGTAACTAAAACATGCCAGTTTATTGACACGAACAATGACAATTCCAATACATGATGACATTACTAGCAAAGTCATCCAATCAGTCACAACCGTGGAAAGAACATAACTGAAACCTTGCAGACAGGCAAACATGAAGCATCAACTACTATATACATACAAAGCATAACAAGGAAAAGATTCTCGCATCAACCCAAAAGTTACAAACATGAAAACAAACCAAAAAAAAAAAAAAACTGAGGCAACAACATGCAGCAAATTGTAGGCCCAATTATATTGATACAAAAGTAACCAGGTTCCAGCAAGATAAGCATGATCAAACTAGAAGCTCTACAACAATGGACAGCGAGCCAGCCGACCCGGCAGCGAAATTACTGGCCCAGTCCAAACAAACCAACCGCAGAATAGTCTTAGATAAACCTAAACAAAAACCAAGATCTTCTGCTCCCCATAAACAAATTCCATGCACATTAAAATACAGCACGAACTGACGCCAATCAGTTTTATAAAAACTTGAGACTTGAGACTAAAAGACATGCAAATCAAGCAAAGGAATGAAGGCCAATCATCTGGACTTCAAAGAATCATTCATAGACTTGAGACTAAAAGACATGCAAATCAAGCAAAGGAATGAAGGCCAATCATCTTGGACTTCAAAGAATCATTCATAGACTTGAGACTAAAAGACATGCAAATCAAGCAAAGGAATGAAGGCCAATCATCTTGGACTTCAAAGAATCATTCATAGACTTGAGACTAAAAGACATGCAAATCATCGTAAAAGGCCATCATACAACAACATAAATTAAGAAACTAGTATACTCCCTATCACAGAACAGATTTGACATTTTAGTCACTAGACTAGAAATGCCTAAAAAAACCAAAAGAAAAAATGTCAAAGCATCAAATAGTAACATCCTACTACCATATCTTATAAATGACGTGCCTATCAAAATTAAAAGCAATTTAAGTTTCAAATGCTTGGTCGATCAAAATCTTCAGATCCTATGATCTGTATCATGAAAAACATGATTACCATCCTTCAAGCCAAACACAAAACGAGCATAGCCACCCATAGCAGAGAATATTTCTACTAAAATATTCTCAAAAGAGAAACACAACCACATGTAACTAAAACATGCCAGTTTATTGACACGAACAATGACAATTTCCAATACATGATGACATTACTAGCAAAGTCATCCAAATCAGTCACAACCGTGGAAAGAACATAACTGAAACCTTGCAGACAGGCAAACATGAAGCATCAACTACTATATACATACAAAGCATACACAAGGAAAAGATTCTCGCATCAACCCAAAAGTTACAAACATGAAACAAAAAAAAACCAAAAAAAAAAAACTGAGGCAACAACATGCAGCAAATTGTAGGCCCAATTATATTGATACAAAAGTAACCAGGTTCCAGCAAGATAAGCATGATCAAACTAGAAGCTCTACAAGAGGCCATCGCCACTCAGCTAAAGACTAGAAAGTACAAAATAGAGCTTAAATCCCTACTATACTATATTAACTTTCAGAGAGGGCAACACAAAACAATTAAAGGAGCGGAATATTTTTTGGAAGGAAATAGGTTTATCATGAAAAAGACCAGAGTGTTCAGAACAGCTAGGTAACAGCTATAGTCCATTTCTACTCGTCATCTTCCTCCTGCACGCAAGAACATGACAGCCCATGAGATATTAATTTTAAGAGATTGAAGGGAAGAGCTTGTATAGTACTACTAAAATTTAAGCAAACCTCATCACTGCCCTCTTCATCTCCTTCATCTTCATCATTCACCTCAGAAACTGATTTCTCAGATTCTTCTTCATCTGCAGCATTTGGACCTTCCGCCTAACAACCCAGCCAAGAAAAACATAAGTACTACTTGGAAAGGTAAACTATCATACTAGCACAGAAACAAATGTTTCATAATGATGCACCTGTCGCTTGTTATACGCTTTCATATTCTTCTCATACTCAGCCTTTCGTTTCTCTGCTTTAGCTACATAGGGTGCTTTCTCCTAAAATCATTCAGGATTGTTTTAAAATGAAGAACATATCAACACATTCAAGAATAAACAACAAAAAACAAAAAGCGAACACATACGGCATCAGACATGGCCTTCCATTTTGCCCCAGCAGCTTTGCCAACCTGACGAATTAAACAATACAAGGTTTGACAGGCATATTAAGAGAACGCAAGGAAAGTGGTCACTAAATTAATGTCCTATAAATCATATATAGAGTTAACAAGAACTTACAGCAGACACTGCTTTGTTGTCAGGATTTTCCTTGTTAAACTGCTTCCTAAACTCCTCCCTATAATAATCAAATTTAGGAAAATGAGGGAAAGAATGAAGATCAGACTGGCTCAATAAAAAGGCATGTGCCAATAGGCCTCGTGGAGAAGCAACTGCTTTTAGCACACTTGAGATGGAGATGCAATTTATCATTAAAAGGATTATGACAGGCAAAAACTCCACTGATACCTTTTGAAACGGTAAAAGCTTTGACCAGAACTATATCCGGTGGAAACAGGACAGAGAGCACAACGGAAATCAAACTGGAGGGATTAAAAAAATAATTACATGAAAAACAAAGAAGGCACTGGCCGGTCTCTTTGGTTGTTAGGGTCTTTCGCCGCCTTCCCCTTACTTGATTTTCTTCCAGCTTTGGTGGCGGCGCCGCCCTTCTTATTCACAGCAAGCCTGCCATCGCAAATAAAACGAATAACAACCAAATACGAAGAAGCGACGTCTAAGCAGGTTGACCAGGAAGGATAAAAAATTTCAGATCCCAGATCTGACGAGCCTGACCTTTTTATTCGTCTTACCCTAGCGCTCCAACGAGAGCGCATCCATCAGGATTTTTAAACAACAAAAAAAATTAAGGAAAGAAATGAAACTCACTTGGCATCAGCTCTCTTAGATTCAGCCTTCGATTTGCCACCTTTCATGTCGAAAACTGCAGCAAAACAGCCGAATCAGTTCTGCTTCGGAACTAGATCGGAAAAAAACGCAGAGAAAAAACAAACAAAAACAAAAAAAGCGTCAAAAATGCGGAAAAAAAATGGCGAAAAAAAATTAGGGAATTACGTACCAGGATGATGAATTGGAGGCTAGGATTCCCAACAGAGAGAGAAACAGTTGGGGACGAGAGAAGTTGGGTGACTAGGGCTTGAAACGGCGAAAGACGGAGATATTAAGCCTCTAGAAGGAAATTGAAATTCAATTGCACGCGAAATGAAATCAACTAGGGGTTTTGGGCGGGATTTTAACTCTGCGTAAATTTTGAGAAAAATCATGGAAAGAATCTGCCATGAAAAAATATTTATATAACAGAATTTTTTTCTATATTTTGAGAAAAATAACAGAAAATTTAATTTAACTGAGTCGTGAATCATAAATTAATTATTGATTAACTCATTTTCCTTCTCAAATTGATCAAATTAGTATTTTTGACAGAAAATATTTTTATTTTTAAAGTTATATTTCAAAATTATTATATTATTTGGCCTACTTCAGCAAGGCACTCCAAATCAATATAAACTTGTCCCTTGGGGAACATCCAATAAATTAATTGTATAAACTTAAATATTACCTTGTGTTTTTTTTTAATATAAAATTTATTTAATTTATTTGAATAATAAATATAAGACTCTAATTCATTTTATTTTTTGTATTTATTTATTTTTTTTAAATAATTTTTATAATAATAGTAGTTTTAGTCAATATACTTAATTAGTAAGGATATTTTAAAAAAAGAAACATCTATTTATTATAACAATTAACTTAATTAATTTTTTAATCTACTCAAATTAATTAACTAATTTTTATTTTAAGCTCAGGAGGTAGTGATATGATAGGACACAACAACAAACAACTATGTTGCGTTTCAAATAAATTTTTTGATATCCTTTTTATCAAATATATACACAAACATATATACCTAGTATATTTTCGGCCTAGCAAACTATACAAACTAATCCCTGGTCAAAGAAAAAAAACTATACAAACTAATGAAGCAATACTTGTTCGTGTATGTTTATTTATAATATGCTACTTATTTATAATAATCAAATCTAGAAACATCAACAGAAAACTGATAATAAACTAAAAATTTAGAATGACCTGTTGAATGTTGGTTTTTAATAAAAACTAACATTTAAATTTATAATACGTTAGATTTAAATAAAATTTACTTATAGAGAGATATAAGAAATATCACAGAAATACATCATCTACAGCTCACATTTTTCTACTGCCTTCTTTTATTATGTGATGATATGGATACATTAGTAATGGTAGTGATAATTTTCTGTGAGGAAAGCTATTATGCGCGTACCAATAAATAACCGCGATGACAAGTGCGCTAGGCGGCCCGGCAGGAATCATTGAATCACGATGCTCGGTTCATTTTATTGAAGGGTTGGGATGCTAGGCAACATGGAGCCTCATGGTATAGTATGCTGTAGAGAAACCTGTTCTGCACTAAAGTGCGAACACGTACACGTCAGCAATCCATGCGCTCTCTGTCTATTGGCTGCGTAAATGCTAAGCGCTCCACAAGCTTCTGACACTGGTCCTCAATGTTGTGTTTTGTGTTTTCGGCCGTGCTTTTCTCCTTTCCATTGTAGGGCCTTTTCCTCTGTTCACGGAAAGGCCGAAAGCAGATTACCCGACAGGTTTACGGTGGAGATCAAAGGACACAAGACTCTGATGGATAATAAATGAAAAGTTCCTTGAAATTGATTTCTTTTTCTTTTTTTCTTTTTTTTTGTGCTTTTATTCAATCCTTAAATTTTAAGGTATGTGTGAAGTACAGTTAATGTGTGACCAAAGAAAGTATGAATTAGTGATTAATATATTATTGGATTTTTATTGATGGTTCCACTTACATTATTTTATTTTTTTTTTCTTTTTGCATTTTACCATGGGTGCCAATTTATATGCAGGAGAGTATTTCCAGCTTATTATGATTAATAGGATGCGCAAAGTATCAAAAATATACTGCCACCCCAGTCCAAATTATTTAACAAAAGACGAAGTAGGATTGAAAAATTTACAGTTACAAGCCAAGAAACAATGGTTAATAGAAATAAAATACCTTGTTGGCCAAAAAAACAAAACAAAAAACTAGATTTTACAAATAACACTGGTCCTTTTCTAAGAGAACAACTGCCATGACAAAAATGCCCTCCCTCCACTGTTCCCGTTAGTGGCCCCCTTGTCACCTTCGCCGCTGGCCACTTTTCCGACAGCGACGCTCTCACCGGTGTCTTTTTTAGCAACTTGTCGCGTAAAAAAGAGCTAATTTGCATAGGCGTCTCCACAAAAATAGAAAATTACAAGCAAAGCGATTGAAACTCACAACTCTGATCTCTGATCCACAAATCGATTCCTACAATGAAATGGAAAATGAACATTTGTGCAAATTTTGAAGCAAAAAAAGGCGAGTCAATCAACAAGAATTCACGTGTGCTGCTTCTAGTTTATTAGCAAAATACTTAAGGCTAAAAATAAAAATCCAGTCACATTTGAATGTTGAAATTAATAAATCAAAGCTAATAAATATTAAATAATTTTATAGTAATCATAAATTTAATGTTCAAAAACAAAGAAAGAAAATAACAAAATGGAGAAAATAAGTTCACTTAGTGATATGGTATTTTAGCTATGATGATTATTTTGATGTGATTAATTCACTCTACCTGGCTTCTGAATTAAAAAAATTATCATAAGAACTGCTGGGGACAATTATGTCATTTTACACGTTTCTTGCGCTCGACTTCTTGCTCGTTCATTACTAATTCAGAAGTTACGCTAATCATTCTTTTTGCCGACCATTCTTCATTTATCTTGACTCAACCAACCATAAGTTTATTTAGTGAACGATGGACAGCAAGCCCATCTGCTGTGTTAAAATTTCTCTCCATTGAACGGTGGACACAGCCCATTTCCAGGACAGATATGGCTTCTAATATTGTACCACTTCCCATTCTTATTTAATTTTTCTTTTGATTTTAAATATAATATATCAATTTATTTTATTTCTCATATTTATTTATTTTTTCAAAACAATTCTTATAATAATATAATATTTCTAACCAATACACTAATTAGTAAAAATATTTTTAAAAAATACTTATATATATTACAAGTAATTAATTTAATTAATTTTTTAACTTATACAAATTAATTAACTAGTTTTTATATTAAAAACAGAAAATAATAGATAATCTGCGTGTCAAAGTAATTCGGACGCATGTCTATGGTAATGAAGTGTGTCACTGCAATAATTTTAATGTGCTAAAATTAAGGGAATTTTAATTTTAATGTCAAAGCAATTCGCAATTGTTGATGGGAATATAGCCCGAAGTCCCGAACGAACAAAATTGCAGAATAGCCAGTTATGAACACCAGCGAAAAACCGTGCATAAGAGAGTACTAACTCGGATATGATCCTGGCAGTCTGGCTCACCATAATCAAAATCCACCCACGTTACAATACAGCAGGAATTGACGTCAAATCGTGTATTTTTTTTTTTTTTTACCGGAGAAGAGATTCATTAAAAGCGGAAGTCCAGAACCAGTACAAAGACAGAAAAGCAAGAGCAAAACGAAGACTAGAAACAAAACGAAGACGTCAAATCGTGTATAAAACTTGGGAATCTAAGCAAAGTATGAAGCAATACTTGCGGAAGCGCCTTCAAGAATTTACAATAAATGATCATTCGGAAAACCGAACATTTGGTCCGTTTAGCAGCTATAAGAAGTTTTTTTTTTTTTGAATAAATATAAAAAGATTTTATGTAGCCAAGTTTGCCGATCAAGTATACATAGCAATGATAGCATGGCGTGGCCCCATGCAAATTCGTGCAACTAATCATTAACTCCATTTAACAGAGATAAACGGAAAGCGAAATGAGGTCCCATTACGAAAACATCCCACACGAGCTACCTAATTCTTCATCTCACAACTACGAACGTGCATAACAGACAATATTATTACTTCTGAAATGCGTCCAACTCTAGACTAAAATATCAGCAAATCATCACGGATGGTGAGCGTAATTCTAGTATCGAATAACATTGTCAAATACCCGGCATCATTAAATGGATTGCATCATAATGATGCTCCAACATAACCTATTAATACAAAAGAAACCAGGTTCCAGCAAGATAAGCATCATCATACGAAAAGCTCTACAAGATGTCAGCGCCAACCAACTAAAGACTAATACTACAAATAGAACTTAACTGCCTACTTTACTATTAACTTTTGGAGAGGCAACAATTAAGGGAGCAGGAATATGTTTTGGAAGCAGAAGATAGGCTTATCATCTAAAGACCAGGGTGTTGAAAACAGCTAAATACTGGCTATAGTCCATTTGCTACTCGTCATCTTCCTCCTGCACACAAGAACATTAAAGCCCATGAGATATTAACTTTAAGAGATTCATGGGCTGAGTTAATTTAATACTCTTAAGATTTAAGCTAAACCTCATCACTGCCCTCTTCATCTCCCCCGTCGGCATCATTAACCTCAGACATTGACTTCTCAGATTCTTCTTCGTCTGCAGCATTTGGACCTTCCGCCTATCCAATACAGGGAAAGCATAATAAGTTGGTAATCTATTTAGCCAAAAGAAAAGAACTGGAAATGTAACATATAATCTTAGTACGGAAACACGTTTCACAATGACGCACCTGTCTCTTGTTATAGGCTTTCATATTCTTCTCATACTCAGCCTTTCGTTTCTCTGCTTTAGCTACATAGGGCGCTTTCTCCTAAAACAATTCATGCTTGTTTCAAAATGAAGAACAAACCATAACACACTCAAGAAAAAAAAACAAAAAAAAACACGGAAGGCATACAGCATCAGACATAGATTTCCATTTAGCCCCAGCAGCTTTGCCAACCTGACCAATTAAACAACATCAGGTTTGAGAGGCATATTAGTATCCAACAACAGTTCAATCACTAAATTAATGTCGGATGAATCATACACGAGTAACAATAACTTACAGCAGACACCGCTTTGTTGTCAGGATTTTCCTTGTTAAACTGCTTCCTAAACTCCTCCCTGCAAACATAAAATTTAGGAAAATGAGGGAAAGAATAAAGATCAGACTGAGGCAACCAAAATTTATGTGCCAATATGCGTTGGGGAGAAGTAACTGCTTCCAGCATCCTTCACATGTAGATGAAATTCATCATTTAAAAGATTCTGACAGGCAAAAACTCCACTGATAACTTTTGAAACGTTAAACGCTTTGACAGAGCTATATCCGGTCGAAACAGGACAGTGCAATAGGGAAATCACACTAGCCGGTTTGAAAATTTTTTTACATGAAAACAAAGAAGGCACTGGCCGGTCTCTTTGGTTTGTTAGGGTCTTTCGCCGCCTTCCCCTTGCTTGGTTTCCTGCCTGCCTTGGTGGCGCCAGCGCCTTTCCTATTCACAGCAAGCCTGCCACGGCAAATAAAAGCGATAACTACCAAATACGAAAGAGCGACGTCTAAGTAAGTCGACCAGGGAGAATACAAAATTTCAGATCCCAGATCTGACGAGCCTGGTCTTTTTCCTCGTTTTACTCTAGTGCTCGAGCGATAATGCATCTATTAAGATTCAAATAACAAAAAAATAAGGAGAAGATAGCACTTACTTGGCATCAGCTTTCTTAGAGTCCGCCTTCGATTTGTCGCCTTTCATGTCGAAAACTGCAGTGGAATAGCTGAATCAGTTCTGCCTCGAAACTCGATCGGCAAATAAACGCAGAAAGACAAAAACAAAAGAAAATGCGCCAAAAATGACGAAAATATAAGGGAATTACGTACGGGGATAGTGAATCGGAGAGGAGGATTCCCACAGGAGAGAGAAACGTGCTGGGAACAAGAGAAGTTGGATGACTATGGGCTTGAAGTAAAAACCGAGGGAGATATTAAACCTCTTGGAGGAAATTGAAATTCAATTGCCCGCGAAATGAAATGAACTGGGAATTTAGGCGGGATCCTAATTCCGCAATCCGCAGTAGTGCGGCAGCTGAAATTTTTCGAGGATAAAAACTAATACTCCTCCGGTCTTAATTATAGAACTCAATTGACTTATTTGAGGAGATTAGGAAGTAAGTTAAGTTGGTTATTTATAATAAATAAGTGTTGTCATTCTTAAAATATCCTTGCTAATTAAGTATATTGGCTAAAACTATCATTATTAGAAGGATTATCTTGGAAAAAAATGCATAAATATAAGAGACAAAATGGATTGGGGTCTATATTGGGATAAAGGACCAAATAAAAAGTCAAATGGGATCTTATAATAAGGATCGGAAGAGTAACATATTTAAATCCAAGCAGATTTTTTTCCTCTTTTCTCAGAAATAGAGAACATTTAGCAGATAATTTAATATTTATTCAAGGACTGTTATTGTCAATTAAATATTTTTATTTTGTGTTCTAATCAAATTAGTATTTTAGGATATAAAAATTATCTCATTCTCTAAAGTCATTTCTTATCATTTATCAGGTTACTATGCATCATTTAAAATTAAAGAACACGCCCTCACACAAGTATACAAGGCACATTTACTTTTTAATATATTTAATATTTTTAATTCAAAATTAAATCAATAATAGAATGAATTTTTCGCATTATGGATCTTGAGATTATAAAATGTTTTATTTATTTATTCTCTGTTGTTATTTTTCTTATTTCTGTAAGAAATGATTAATTTTCTATCATTGTTTTCCTTGACATATTTCATTTAATAAATTGACTTTATTAATTATTACTAAGATAAATTGATGGCAATAAATGAATGAATAAAACTTTTTTGAATGGTAAAGTGGATCCAGGATTCTCATATTTTTATGGTGCATCTAGGACTATAATTTTATTTTCCCTGTGCGTATTGAATGTATAAAAAAATGAGACCAAGCGGTATTTGGGTGAAACCAAATGGCTTGAAAAATAGCTTATGGAGAATACATTTCGAGAGATGTTTGGATAAAACCAAACTATAATTTAAAACATAGATTTTTAAAAAATATTTTGAAAATAGATTTTGACATAATAGATTTAATAAAAAATGATTTTGATAATGTGAGAATGTTTAGATAATTATTGTCAAAAATAATATTTTTCATGTTCAAATTACTAAAAAGACAAAAGTTAATATGATAATTATATAAAAATAGATTTTAACTTATATTTTTATTTGAAGTGATAAATTTGTTAATAATATATTTTTTCCAACATAATAAATAATATATAAAAAACATAATTAATTAGTAATTAATATGTGTATACATATTTTAATAAAATATAGATTAAAGTAGTTAAAAGTAATAAATAAGTTAAAAATATAATCTTATTTTTAAATATATCCTTATAATAAATGAGAAAAATGATGGAAAAGCATGCATGGGAGAAATGTGACATGTAAAAGAAATAGAATATAATAATTAAAAATAAAATTAAACAAGATGCATTAAATATTAAGATAGATTTAAATTGAAACTTATCAAATAGACCATACTCATCCTCAAATTTGAAGCTTGTATATAGGGCAAAAGGAGAGAGTATTTTACCTTGGAGATTTTAAACATGAATTCACTTTTTTTTTTTTACAGAATTGAATAGACACACACAAAAGCAATTTAATAATGACATAGTTCATTAAATAATAAAGTGCCATGGTAATTGTGAGGTTAGCAGCTTACAACAATATATAGCATTTCTACAGCCAGTTTTTTTAAACATGTTATGGGGGGGAAAAAAGAAAATAAAAAGACACGACTACTAGTTTGATTCTTGTATATAAACCATGGTTCATGGTCAGCCCTTCTTCGGAAAGTGAAACTTTTCTCATTTTTATGAAATCATGATTTAGCTAGCCAAATCATGATTTTGTGAAAATACGAGGTGTTTGACAACTTTTTAAGTTAAACCATGGTTTGAACTTTAAAATGCTCTTAGCTAGTTAACACCTGGAGAAGCAAGCAAAACCATAATCTGGCATACAAAAATCACCTTTTTATTGAAAACCATTGTTTGGGGGGGGGGGCGGGGAAAGAAAGGTAGCAAAAAACACCATAATTTTGTGCAAAATCACTTTTAGATTAAAAACCATGATTCAGGATATAAAACCATGGTTTTCTATAAAGTTTTTTTTTTAAAACCTTTGAAGGCATAAAATCATGGTTTTAGAATAGATAAATGTGTAAGATAAAATAAATTGGAGTTTTGCATTGATAATCAAATTGAATATCTAATTACCTCTTATATTAAAGACCAAAGATAATACTAATTAATTATTTTTTCATATACAATTTATTATTTCAAACAAAAATATAAATTAAAATCTTTTTTTTTTTAATAATTATCACATTGCTCATATCCTTCTTAGTAATTTGCAAATGAAAAAAAATATATTTTGATACCAACCATCCCAATATTTTCACTCTATCAAAATAATTTTTTCACAAAATCTATTATTTTAAAATCTATTCACATAATCTATTCTTCCAAATAAATGCACCATAGAGTAAGTCAGAATGCATATTTATATCTTTTTTATTTAAACACTATATTGGTTTTAATTGTGAGACATTGTATGTAGACTATAAGCGTGTTTTAAGAAAAATGTGTCACTTTTCTTATATTAATCAACTTACCTAACTTCTTTAATCTAATCAAATTTGTTAAATATGTCTTATATTAAGGATCGGAAGAGTAATATTTTTATCAAGCCCACTTGCGGACTACCATGGCCCTTTCCCAGCACAGCTGGGTGTCAGGTTATCATGGACCGGGCCGAAGCCTAGATGTTTTAAATGCCAAGAGGTTTCGGCCGGTCCACCTTTCATCCATGTAGATGCACGTGTAAAGTTGGGATGGTCAGATTTGAAGTGATTGCAGTGAAAATCGGGTGACAGGTTTTTAGCTGCAAGACCAGGTCTTGCGACAAGAGTCATATTACGCAGGAAGCGGGGGTGGAGCATTCTTGAAATATATAATGTCCACATTGAATCTATTTGTATGACTATGAGAAATGTATTATTCAAGGGAATTGTGGCTAAAGTGAAGAAACTCACGAGACCGGATTAAAAAAGTAGAGTTTTCACTGTTGTGAGCACAGCTCTGTTTTTTACAAAGGCAAATAAGCATGCAAGCTGCATACAACTCAGTAAATGTTGGGCATGATCTAACTATTGATTTGTTATTCTTCGTCACCGCCACCCTGCTGTACAAGCAAGTAAGGTGAAGATGGAGCTGGAGTGACTCTCTGGTGGTTTGTGTAAAGCTTTGAGTCATGTGAATGCTGCTGAGTTCCATTAGAAGGAAAAGAATCACCTCTCAAACCAATCCCCTCCTCCGTTACCCTGCCATGGTAAGAGTTGCTACAAGCAAATGTTGGATTCAATTTTCATGTCTCAGGCTGCCTCGTGTTCTTTAGGGGAAGGACTTACTCTTCCTTCCTTTAAATTTCAGAAGCATGCTTGATTATGAAGGGAATTGTTTGCATCTATTAGGAGAATAAATGCATAGAAATATTCTCATTAATGAAATGAACTGTTTGCATTTTCTGTTCATGATCAAGTTTATTATTTACACAGCTGTGCGATTTTCCTGTCATTATCATTAGTCTCCACAATGACACGCAGCATTTGAATTTCATCTAGCTACATCAAGGCCTTTCTTAAAGCAAGAACTTCGGTCATAAAAACAGGAGTTGGCTTACCTTTTCCCGAAAGCCTCACAAAAATTATCCAAAATGATTTCTGCACACTATCCCTATAGCAAACCCTCTAGTGTTAGGCATGTAAGACCCATCATAATTAACTTTCAACCAGTTCTCATCAATCACCCTCCAAGATTTGTACTTGAACCCCTTGCCACACTTGTTAAGGGAACATCAACTATATTAGTCACGTCAAAATTCATTTAAATACTTCCTTACACACTCAACAAGAAAAAATAGATCAAGCTGTCTGCGAATGAAGTTAAACTCGTTCTTGCTTTTCCATACTAACCATAAGACCCACAATGTCAGTGAATGATGTGTTAGATGGATTGAAGTCTCTGCGCAGAAAAAACAAATTAATGCACCACTTTTAAGAGCAATCAATATTTGTTTTATTCACTCTAATAGATAATGGGCTAGCAAACCAGACTCCCTCATCGAAGGACTGGAAAAAAAAGAAAAGAAAAGATGTCTCCTGTTTTTTTTCTCACAAATATGACAGATTGGGAAATCTCCGCATTTTTCACCTGACAATAACATGCTGTGACACACAAATGATGAATTCTCGGGATTACACTGGTCTTTCACAATCTGTAGCAAAAAGGTCAAGGGATTATCAGATAGGAGCTAGGCTGAGATGCTGTAACATTTACTTTGCCGTTATTAATCCAATAACCTTCCCTATCATTATACTTCCCATTTCCTGCACAACCCCACAGAATTTTGTCTCCTTTGTTAGATAAACCAATCTTTATCTTACTAATCGATCCCAAGATTTCACCACTTACCTTGTTTGCTAATGGGCATATATTCCAGTTATCATTGTCAATCAAACAACTTGTCTTATCATTACTGCTAATTCTATTTCTGGCAATGGCCAATTCAATGTTTTCTCACTTAAAGAAATGTTTGGATAGAAGTTAAATCATGATTTTAAAAATGATTTTACAGTATACAAAGTAAATTTCAGAGGGGGTTTTATTTTAACTTGCATAAAAGTAATTTTTGGGTAAACCAAACACCTCCCCCATCATCCGTCATTCCACGTTCTTTTTTCAAGTTTTTCAAATGCTAGACCAAACCCATGAACATGAAGATCAGGAAAGTATCATCAGGCTTCAAGTCATTTATTTATTAAAGTTTCGTTCAGGTGTCAATGGGCTAAGATTGTTTTCTCAATGGGTTTATCTTAACTGGAACAAAAACTATGGAGTAGTATTAAAAGAAAAAGAAAATACAAGTGTATAATTGATCATTTACTTTCCAAATACTACGTAAATAAATCACGGACTCTCTGTTGAAGTGATTTTTTAATGACCAGCTTTTTGGAGTGAATTGGAGTATTGGACACACTGAGAACAAGAGTTTGTTCATTTTATATCCACGCATCAAGGCTATTCCTACATCCTAAAGTATGATAACAATCGAAAAAGACGAATGGGAAATGAAGTTAACTACTAATCCAACACGAAATAGTAACAAAGTGTCATTTGGGAACACTATAAAGGTGTAGAATAATAGTTGTGTTTGACTCGACGGAAGGAAGGGGAGGGGAGGGATTTTAATCAAGGGAAGGAGAGAGGAGGGGAAGGATTTTAATGATCTCATGTTTGGATTGATCGGAGGGGAGGGGAGGGATCAATTTTAATAATATCTTATTTTGTTTTAATAAAAAATTGACTATTTTAACCTCATAAAATTTAAATGAATTTTCTCAGTTTTTTATATTTTTTAAGATATAACTATATATATAATGCAATTCACCAATTTTGATTTACAAGACACAGTAGGATATTAAGATAAAAAGTCACGAGTGATAGATTTCAATTAGAGAAAAGACCTTGAAAGTGAAAGAAAATATCAACGATCTCTTAGAACTAGAAGAAGAGAAAAAAAAAAAAGATTTACAAATGCTTACAAATTTTGGAGACAATTATCTCGACAACCTCTTGTTAGATGCTCAAAAAAACTCTTTTATGTAGAAATATTTATGACTGATTAGGAGTTAACAAATCGAAAGGATATATAAGAAATTAAAATATTATCTCTCATCTTCCCTATAAAAAACCCCACTTTTAAAGGGGAGGTTAGAAAGAAAGAGGAGGAGAGAATAGTCTCTCTCCTCTTTAAAAAATATCTTAACTAAACGAGCTTCTCCTAAAAAAGTTGCACCAGCCAAACAAGGAGAGGAGAGCAACTTTCCTCTCCTCCCCTCTGAAAACCTCGTACCAAACATAGTGTAAAACGTCATATTTTGACAAGCCTGCATAAAGGTGCCAACTTGATTAAAAAAATTAGGAATTGGTAAGTAGTTAAATAATTACTAATAGGCACGAAAGTTGTCATTTATTAAATAAGAAATGTCAGATGAATGATGAAACGTTATGATTAAAATTATTGCACGAATATTTAAATTAATTTTTAGTTGCGTATGAATCAAATTTAACCGCAAACTCTCTGAAAAAATGGGGTCTGTTTTTTAACCCTCTACTAGGGAAAATATATCCCATAAAAATGGCTCTGAAAAATACTTTTAAAACCACTATCAAATGAATTGAGAAAATGGTGAAATTTACCAGCAGGAGAATTGATTATAAGTTTGTAACGAAGATAACACATTTTAAAATTATTATTTATAGAATGCATTAGATTTAAATCAAATCCTTGAATCTAATTGTCAGTGAAATCAGCAGGGAGATCAGAAATGGAGAAAAGCATGCAAAGGATAATAGCACAAAATAAAATGAAGCATCTATCGTTAACGACTGCGTTAAATAATTGAGATTGGGATTAGATGTCCGTTTAAGCGCTTCGTTTCGTTGCGGTCGTTCAAGAGACATCCCCCATCCGAAGCAAAATCGCTGGAAAATAAATACGTGCGCTTTCTGTTCATGCTTGTGGTTCCTAATCTTCGAATTCACACAGAGCTAACGCGACCCTTTTTTCTTATTTTCTTTTTGGTCCTTCTTTTGCTGTTTGCCAATCCAACTATCCATTCCTCAATTCTATCATCCGAGGGACTGCGTTCTAGGATTCCTTATTTTTGTTTCAAATCGGATCGACTTGATTCGTGTTTGTATAACCGTTGTTCTCAGTTGGTCGGTGCCTGGTGCGATCTAATCTGAGGAGTTGGGGAGAGAACCTGCTGACAATAATATAGGATGGCAGGACCCAATATGGATCAGTTCGAGGCATATTTCAGGAGAGCGGATTTAGACGGGGATGGCAGAATCAGTGGTGCTGAAGCTGTCTCTTTCTTTCAGGGATCCAACTTGCCCAAACAAGTTCTTGCCCAGGTTAGGGGTCGTAAACTACACTGATTAATTTGAGTCATTGGGTTTAAATTGTGGATTCTTTTTCGTTATTTTTCATGTTACTTTTCGAAGGCCGAATCTAGGTCTGCTCCCAATGACTAAATTATGTGCATTGCAGTGTTAGACTCTAGTCTTGTCTTTAACAATGCCCTTAAACTTGTGATTTCCTCAGACAAAATTGTATAAAGCAATCAGTGAATTTTCAAATATATTTTTCATTCTGATCATTCCTGTTTCCTTTAACTTGGCAAATAAAATGGCAATGGGAAGAATTATCAAACTGAAAACTTAATTTAGGATAATGCCTCTTGGTGTGGTTGATTTGTAATTGTAACCAAAATTTACTACATGGGCTACAGATATGGATGCATGCTGATCAGGCCAAAACTGGATTCCTTGGACGCACGGAGTTTTATAATGCTCTAAAACTAGTTACAGTAGCACAGAGTAAGCGTGAATTAACACCTGATATTGTTAAGGCAGCATTATATGGTCCTGCTGCTGCTAAAATCCCTGCACCACAGATCAATCTATCTGTTATACCTCCACCACGACCAAATTCAGTGGCTGCTGCTTCTGGACCGCAGGCAGGTGCTAGTAGACCGATATCATCTCAGAGTTTTCCCTACACAGGACAAGGATTATCAGCTCCAGTTGCAAACCAGCTGTATACTCATTCCCAACAAAATCTGACCATGAGACCACCTCAACCCATACCTGCTAGTAGTGCTGCTCGTCCACAACAAGGTTATGCAGGTCCAGATCTTTCTAGAGGGGTAAGCATGGCGGGTCAAAATCTCTCAAACCCAAGCATGTTGAATGATTGGAATGGTGGAAGGCCGGGTCCAATGACTATGAGGCCTGGGGGGGTAACTCCATCAGTGCCCTTACCTGCATCAACGTCACAAGCTCCAGTCTCATCAATTTCCCAGACAACAAGTATTAACAATAAAGCATTACCTGTATCTGGAAATGGCTTCAAGCCCAATTCAGCTTTTGGCAATGATTTATTCTCTGCTGCTACATCCACACCAAAACAAGAACCTACTCGGCAGAATTATTCTGCTACCAGCATTCCTGCCTCATCAGCCCTTGTTCCAGTTTCCAGTGGTGCTCCCCCTGCTAGTAAGCAGAGTGCACTTGATTCACTGCAGATTATGAATGGTCAGTTTCAACGCGTGCAACCATCATCAAACCCAAACCCACAGATTTCAGCAGTAGCTTCCTCACTCACGTCACCTGGGGCATCAGTTGGACCTGGAAATACTAGTTCTGACAGTTCACACCTTTCTTGGCCAAAAATGAAACCTTCTGATGTACAGAAGTATACAAAGGTGTTTATGGAAGTAGACACTGACAGGGATGGAAAAATTACAGGGGAGCAGGCACGCAGTCTATTTTTAAGTTGGAGATTACCAATAGGTAAACACTTTTTCTTCCTTATAAATATTTGCTTATTTTGTAAATTAGTACATTAATGGGTTAACTGGCGCTTAGCTTTATTGTAGCTAACAAGAAAATACTTGGCTGTAGATTTGTCTTCCAATTGATGGCGTTCATCAAAGTTTATGCCCAATATTAACTGGCTGGAATTTTAACCTTGTTGAAGGAGTTCCATTGATTATCTATCAATGGAAATCAAAACCTGCTTGAGTGACATGACGCTCATGTTAGATGAGGATTTTAATTAATACATTGTTTATGACTGGTTATTGAGATTGTCTGTTTCTTGTTTTTGTGCTGTCTATTTATGTAATCTGGAACTTCTGTTGGACAGGTCTCTGGGATATATTATTGTTTTTATAGTTTAAATTCCTCTTATAAGTAATGCTTATCATACATTGGTGGCCTTTCTGCAGAGATCTTGAAGAAGGTGTGGGATTTATCTGATCAGGATAATGATAGCATGCTTTCTTTGAGGGAGTTTTGCTATGCTCTCTATTTGATGGAGCGATATAGGGAGGGTCGCACTCTTCCACCTTCCCTTCCGAATAATGTATTATATGATGAGACACTACTGTCTATGACAGGCCATCCAAAAATTGCGTATGGAAATGCAGCTTGGGGTATTGGTCCAGATATTTCTCTCAATAATTTACCTTTTTTTTTTTTTTTGCCTTATCGTTATCTTATAGTCCATTTCTTGAATTTTTCTTTTGCTTCTTATTTGTGACAAGGTTTTCAGCAACAACCAGGGATGCCAAGTGCACGGCCAGTGGTACCATCAGCAGTTTCAAGATCACCAGTTCAAGGACCTCCTTCCAGAGTTGATGATGGCACAAAGCAACCGAATCAACAGAAGCCTGGTGCTCCTGTCTTGGAGGACTCCTTTTTGAACCTAAGTGATAATGGGAAGCAGGATAAAGTTAACTCAAAGCCTAATGAGGTGGCAGCTGGAGTGAAAAAGGTAATTCCTTTCCTTTCTGTTTTCCAATTTATGAATCAATATACGACATCAACCATAGCATTGTTAATGGGGAAAATGGAAAAAGAAACGAACAAGTTTTTTACTGAAGTTGAACATTTTTCAGTCACCTAAATCCTGCTGCTGCCATAAGTGAAAACTGTGCTTGGAGATGTGTTTTTATTTTTTGCTTCAACATATAAGTGTTCTTTTTTCCCCCGCATTTGCTGAGAGGTTTCTATATAGGTAAACGAGTGTGTGTGTGTGTGTGTTTATTTGTTCAGGTTTACATATGATTTTTGTTTTTGTAGGATGAAGTAACTGAGAACGTGATCTTGGATTCTAAAGAGAAGGTTGAATTCTACCGTGACAAAATGCAGGAATTGGTTCGTAGTTTCTTTACCGTTTGTTACGATATCACATGCCTAACATTTGATCTGTTTTATGTGCTTTGGTTTCACTGAATGAAGGGGCTGACTAGGTCAAACTGGCGGTTTGCTTCAAATCAAACTTTCCTCTACACAACAGTTATAGGCTAAAAATAACTTCCACAATGACCCTTCTGAGTCTCTGACCTCATGCAGAAGAATTTTTTTCCTTTTTTTTTTTTTGGCATTTATAGCCAAGTGTCTATTGGCAAATTTTTTTTCATCTATATTTTTACCTCTTATGTGCCCATATCAGAAATCTGGGCTAGTTCTTTGAAGGTGATCTTGTCTAGTTTGTGGGTCATTGGTAGCATCTTTTGATTGGTGCAATTACTTTTGTTATTTATTTTCAATACTTGAATATCAGGTTCTATATAAAAGCAGATGTGAAAATCGACTAAATGAGATCACAGAAAGGGCTTCTGCAGATAAGCGTGAGGTATTTTTCTTTACTTATAATTGTAATGTCTAAGATTTCGGAATAAGTAGGCTCACATTCTGATTGCTTGATGTTATACCGCAGGCAGAATCACTGGCCAAGAAATATGAAGAAAAATACAAACAAGTAGCAGAAATAGCATCCAAACTGACCATTGAAGAGGCTAAATTTCGTGATATACAGGTAAAAACGAAATATTTTCGTGATGACTGTTGCTGGATAGTTATTGAGTGGGATGGAAACAGTGTGCACCATACTGGGAATATTTGCTGCAGGAATAGGTGCTTGTAGGCTTCTGTCATTTAGTTCATGAGCTTTTGGATCATTCCGTGTGAAAACAATTCCCATTTTGGAAATTTTATTCTTTTTCTCAGAATAGTTCAAAGCTATATGCCTGTGGGTTGAATAACTTGAAATATTATTATTATTTGTTTTGAATGGGATACCTTGAATTAGCTGACTGAACCAAGTTAAGCAGAAATTGACTGAGAACAAGCAGGGGGCATAATGACTTAGCTGTTATGATGATAAGTTATTTATTTTCACAAATCAATTAAGCATTGGCTAGCGTATCTATAGGAAAGGAAGACAGAGTTGCAGCAAGCAATTATCAAAATGGAACAAGGAGGCAGTTCAGATGGAATTCTTCAGGTGAAATTTCACCCTTAAAGTATGATGAAAGTCTATAGAAATTGTTTTTCTTTACTGATGTTTAGCTGCTACTTAAGGTTCGAGCTGACCGAGTACAATCAGATCTGGAGGGGTTAATGAGGGTTTTAGCTGAACGATGCAAGAAACATGGCATAGAAGTGAAGTCCATTGCAATGGTTGAACTTCCTTTTGGTAAATTTAAGCTCGCGCACTATCTCTTTATCATTATTCTTTCCTGTCTCTCTTTAGTTACACAATTTTGTTGAATGTCAGATAAATCGAGCTAACATATTTATAGAGTTGAATGACACTTGCAACAACATAAAAAAACTGAATATCCCTACATTCTCGGGATCACAATGAAAATGGGAGAACTGAATAACAAAGTGGACCATGACTGACTTAGTAGTCCTATTATTGTGCTAACCGACTCCACAAACCTAAATAAAAGGATTTAAATAATAAAATAAAACAAGACCAAGTCAAACTTCAACTAAGTTTCTTTTATTCCGACTCTGATAAATCAAAGTTGGCTTGTTTGGAGTCTTGTCAAATCCCTTCTCACTTTTGTGGCCTGTTTTGATTCTCTTTTCCTCTTTTCTTTTTCTTACATAATTATTCTTAAATCTTATTCACAACTTGTGCATGCTTCTTTTCACCTTTTGACCTTTGTTTGCGTAAGTTTCTCTTGTAAATTCAAGGACTTATATATTGGCTAACAGCTAAACTATTTATGCTAATTCTTTCTGATCTCTCGTTATTTGCATATATCAATAGCTTGTCATAGAAACCTCTTCACTCTTATTATAGTGATTTGGAATTTTTTATACTTTATTGGTCAGAGTTATTTGTGAATTTAAAAATTGGTTCTGAATAAAATGTTGTACTACCTAGCATACATGTTTGACTATGATGCTATACTTTATGTGCCTTCTCTTTGGTGTAACCGGGGGGAGTTTTGGTGGCCGTTGTCATGGATGAGCATTTTTACTGTAACAAATTGTCATAATCACCTTGTTTTATGATTCTAACTGATTGTTGTCATGCATGGATTTGAACCTAATGAACCATAAGGTTGGCAACCTGGAATTCTGGAGGCAGCAGCTGAGTGGGATGAAGATTGGGATAAATTTGAAGATGAAGGTTCGCCTTATTTGTTCAAACTTTTCCAGCAATCCTTTTTTCTCATGAAATAATTATTGTTAAAGTTGCTTTATCTACTTGTAGGATTTGCCAACGATCTTACTGTTGGTGCGAATAGTGTTGCTTCGAAACCCAAATCGGCATTCATTCAGGAAGAACAAGATTTCTATGATGATAATTCAGTTCATGGTTCATCTGTGAATGTGGATGAAAAGAAAGGAAACTCTACAATCAATGGTGATTATACATTTGAGAGTGAATCTGCATATGTACACAGTGAAGATGACACAGCGAGAAGCTCTCATGATAGTCCCACTGGAAGGACTATTACAGGGAGCCCTACTCAAGAATTTTCAAATGTTCATTTTGGAAAAAGCTCTGAAGCAGATGCAGAGTCACACAGGTAATTCTCTGTTCTTGTTTTCTCTGAAAGCCCCCCTCCTTCTTTTGGGGCATTGGGTGGTGGTTGGCTGAGGACCATGTTGAAAGAGGTGATTTATTTCTTTTTCCATCCTTTTTGTGGACACCAGAATTTTTGATGAATCGTCCTGGGGTGCCTTCGACAACAATGATGATGTGGATTCAGTATGGGGTTTCAATACAAAGGTAATTTCTGAAATACAAGTTTTCTGATTTGTAATTTATTACTATATTTTTTATAATGCTGCTTTTTTCATAAGTAAAATATTTTCAGCATATTTAAATTAGCCTGAGAGGTGAGAAGGAACAAATCTTGGTAAGAGGTGTTGAGATTTAAAAGAAAATCTTGTGAGTTACCCTCTTAAAAGGCTTTGAGGATTCATAAGCTCCCTGTAGTATAATGTTTGAGTGATATATCGTTTGCCTCTTCATTCTCCTTAACTTTTGCGCTCTCTATTTTATCAACAAACAGTTCTTATTAAAAATGTTGTAAATATTTATTTTACATGGACAAAAACCGGGATTGGATTTTTTTAACGGTCCAAGTGTCTAGTTATTCACTTAACTAAAGTCAGCGCATCTTAAAGTGCGTGTTCCCTATGCAATTGGCTTCTGAAGCTTTTGAGCAGAAAATTTTTCATTTGAGTATTGATGATCAAGTTGCTTTTAAAATTTTTGAGACACGTAGATCTCTGCCGCATCATAATCCTGGATACACTGAGGCGATGATGGTTGTAAAACTAATAGAATCATTATGTTTGTTATGTTTTGCAGGACTCTGACTCGGAGAAGCAGAGGGATTTCTTTAAATCTGGTGAGTTTGGTATAAACCCAGTGAGGACAGGATCTACATTTACTGACAGCCCATTTCAGACAAAGAGCTCGTTTACCTTTGATGATTCTGTGCCGGCAACTCCACTTTCCAAGTTTGGCAACTCTCCCAGGTTTAGCAACTCTCCAAGGTTCAGTGAGGCAGGAGATCACTTCTTTGACAACATGTCAAGGTTTGATTCCTTCAGCGTCCATGATGGCGGATTTTCTCCACAACCAGAGGGGCTTACAAGATTCGATTCCATAAGTAGCAGCCGAGACTTTGACTACAGTCAAGATAAGTTCACAAGGTTTGATTCCATGAACAGCAGCAGAGATTTTGGCTATAATTCTGAGAGGCTGGGGCGGTTTGATTCCATCAATAGCAGCAAAGATTTTGGTTTTAGTCGTGATAGGCATACCAGGTTTGACTCAATAAGTAGCACCAAGGACTTCGGTCACAGTGCATTCTCTTTCGACGACTCTGATCCATTTGGCTCCTCTGGCCCATTTAAGGTTTCTTCAGAGACTCATTCGCCAAAGAAAGATTCTGATAGTTGGAGTGCATTCTAGCATGCGATTTCACTTAGTGTTTCTTTCTTGTTTTTATTACCTTGGTTGTTCATGGTAGCCAAATTTTTGTGTGTATAGCTAGAAGTAAAGATGGACGGTTGTATTGTATGGCATGTATTATTTTGAAGACAAATTACTTTTCTATTTTTTCGGGTGATGTGTGAGTGAATGAGGGATTTTGGGGGAAACATTGGAATAGATGAATTTTAAATATTGCTATTGGCTGTGTACTGCTATGTTGAATTACAGGAGCTTACAAAGCCTTTGTTACAATTAATTCCTGTACATTTGAATTGCCTGAACCCAGAATGTGTGTATTTATGTATATAACGTAATGGAGTAGTGTTATAAGTAGAGCCGGGAATATGGGTTGGACTCGCCAACCTGTCAAAAATGACCAACTCGCTACCACCTAAAAAATATGAGCTTGTGCTGCCACAGCTTGAGCCCACCGCAATTTTTTTTATTTTTTTATTTTTACATATTAAAACATGGGGAGGAGATGGATTGGAATTCTGGAAAAGCAAAAAAACTGACGTCTTACTAGTTATTACTGTCAAAATTAATATTAAGTAAGTTTTAAATAATGCTTCAACTTCAAATGTCATCACCATTAGAGATAATTAGATCAAGATGGTTATTTATTGTTGCATGTTGATTTTATTGGAAAAATTTATGTTTGAACTTGTATTTTTATCATGTTTGGAATTTGGACTTTAGACAATTGTATATTTTGTGTTTTAATGTGTTGTAATTTTATTTGAATGCTCGGAATAATTTAAATCATTTCTGATTTTTTAAATTTTTTATTATTTATAAGAAATTTTTTTTTAAAAAATCTGACGGGTTGGTGGGTTAGGATTGGCAGAATACCAACCCGCTAGAAAACGGGCCTTTTGAGCCCGATCCTTATGACATGTGGCCCGTCACGGGCCAACCCGCAATTCGCGAGTTGGCCCATTTTACCAGCCCTAGTTACAGAATAGTGAAACTTGAGACTTGATTACCATTAACGATCTACGTCACTGGATCATAAACCCAATGGATTAACTTGAATTCTTACGCCCTTGCTCCAAAAACTGAGAAGACACTGTTGTGAATTCATGACACGTGTTTTGAAGGGGTGTTGTAGTTGGGTTTGTTTGTTTCCTTGAGCTTACTGGCCGTAAAATGCACTTCTTTCTTTTTCTTTTTCAAACAGTTGAACTTGAATTGCTATATATTTGTTGCATTCTTAATTGAAAGTAGTGTCAAAATTGCCCCTTTTTTAAATCTACATGTGGTCCTGCATGGAAAATGAGAATCCCTGTCAACTGTTACATGGCTCCGTCACAAGCTAAGCAAAGTTAATAAAGTTAATGCACATGTTTAGTCCCTACTTTAATATTGGGTATTAAGGGATTCGAACACCCAAGACTCGAGAGTGCTTTAAAAAAAAGGAAAAGAAAAAGTCAAGTTCGGGGTTCTAATTTCAAAACTGAGCAAATTATAGAGAGCGAAAGCTTATTTTCTGCTTAATTTTAATTTTATATTTAGTCTTAATTTTTTTAATCAAATGGTTTTTTTTGGTAACAAAAAATTTCAGGTAAGTTGAGTCTTAGGAGCTCACAAAGACCAGAATATGTTTTCAGACTTAAAAAGCACTTACAATGGTATTTGCAAATCACTCATTAATAAAGTTCTCACGACAGTAAGATTTGAACTTATGACTTTGTAGGTTGTGAGTTAATTTCTTATCAACTGGATCACAGTTTATATGGATTGTCTATTACTCTTTTTGCTTGCCCAACATCAAGCCTGAGTCTACTGATGGGCTATCGTGGAGAGGCCTGGAGCCCAGATGCAGCCCACTTGAGAGTTTTCCTTTTTTTTGATACAGCCCACTTGAGAGTTGAGGAATAAGAAGCGCGAGACTGAAGACTGCAGAGTAGTTCACTTGCAGTCCGAAAATTAAATAACAAAAAGAAAAAAACAAACGATCAAGGAGGCGGCGGGGGGAAGTCGAAGAAGATGACGCGAATGAGGATATCAATGTCCATGATGTGTCTGGTCGCATTCTTCATTTTCATAGGAATCTTATCGTTAGCTAATAGCATCGAGGATAAATGTCTCGCCTGCAAAGCCGTGGCGGTAACTTTTGTTCTTGACTTTAAATTTTGGTTACAATTTCTTCGGATTCGAGGCTAAAAGTCTTCCCTATCGCATTTCAAGATTCGTGTTTTATGAGTTGGATCTGACAATTTCTTCCAATTGTTTGTACTTTCCAGGAGGAGCTAGAACGTGGACTTTCTAATGTAAGAACCATGATTCATAATTTTAAGAACTAGGATGATTGTTAGTGATCCTCATCTTAACGCTATAATCCTTCCAGGAAAGGCCTCGGAATCATTTAGATATGAGGCACCGCTTAGACTCCAAGGGCCAGCGTGTAGGAAAGGTAATTGATTACAGGTATGGCTTGGTTTCAACATCTTCCTTTTCTCAAGTTTAATATTGACTGGACAGTTTAAAATTGTTTCCCCCTCCCCCCTAATGTACATGGCAAAGAATTGACTACTGAAGCCTCCATGTCTTTTCATTTCAGAATTCAATTTGACATCTGAAACTATTGGTGATTTCTTCAAACTATTATAATTACATCTGCGTATGTTGATCACTCAAAGTGAAAAAGAAATTTGTAATATTCTTGGTTTTGTTGGAGTACTGTCAAAAGACTATATAATTGTGAAACTTTTTAATACGACAGAGTCAGTGAGCTAAGGGTGGTTGAACTTCTCGATGAGCTTTGCGACAAGATGCAAGACTACACACTGAAGAAGGTAGTTATCAAATCATCAAGTCATTATCCTGTTTTTCTTCTTAACCTTGCGATGGCAGAACCTGTTCTATTTGATATGTTCAGTTTTACAATACTGTATAATTTGATTTATTTTGGCATCTTTCCTTATTCCCATAACATATGCATAGTGTAATAGTTTCTAGTTTTGATCTGAAAAATATGCAGAGCAATAGTGGAATTAGCGGTGTTGCGAGTAAATGCTTATGTTTTTTTCTTCTGCCTGTTGTTTGGTCAATCGAAGTCCTGTTTAGTACCTGGTTAAATATTTCAATGTTCTGGGATCTGTATCATTGACTTTCCATTTCTTTTTAATTTTGCAGATAGATTCAAATAAATATGAATGGTTCAAAGTGAATAGCTGGGATAACATAACAAGTATGTACTCAATTATGTTTGATTTATTGCCGTTGTTTCTTCTTTTCGTATGACGAGAACTATAGGTCGATGGATCTTCTGTTATGAGATAGATATATGAAAGTTTTGATGGAAAAGATTGATTGTCATAGTTGAGCATAAACTCTTGTATGTATATCATTAGTACTCTGTTTGAGTACTTGTTGGCTTTGTAATGCTCAACAGCAATGATACATAAATTTATTATGAAAGCTGTTAAGAGATATCATTTAATGTGGCTTGTATCTGAAAGCACCATGTTGTGTTGCCCATGCATTGATGTATCAACTTGCCAAATAATATAAATATCTAATTCTGAATTTCAAAATTTCACCCTATGTATACTTATTAGGGTGAAAAATTTTAATGTCGTATCAACTATTGTTAACATTACGCTGTACAAATTTCCAAATTTCTGCTTCCTGTGCTGAACAATTTAATATTCTTCATATCCTTGTTCCACTTTTTGTTCTCAGAGCTTTGGCAACTGTATAATTTGGAGGTTCATTGATTTTGTCTTTTTCCTTTTAAACAAATTTTATGTTCATCTCTTGACAGATAGACAAGAAGCTCGGGCACATTCCAAAGATATATCTTCATACTGCGGAAGGTGAGACATAACTAGTTTCAAATTTTAATTCTACTGGTTTTTATGACCAGAAATTCTTTTTTTTTTTTTTTTTTTATGCTGGGCCTTTGGATTCCAACATTCGAAGCAATGAATTTTCTCATGCTGCCTTTCTGTACTAATTTTGTGCGCTATGAACAGATTACTGGAACAAACAGAAGATGAGGTAAACTTTAATATTTTTATGTGGTTATATTTGCATGGGCATCATATGGTAATGAGCTAATAATGAGTTGTTTCCAATCGCATCAAGTCTTGCAGTTGGCCGAATTTATAAAGGAAGGATCTGTTGAAGTGGGAGATGTGAGCAAGGTTCTTTGTGAAGATTTGAGCAAGCACTGCAGTCAGACAAGGTAACTTAATTGATTTAGAATGCACCTGGGTGTAAGCATTAGTGTGAGGTCATCTTCCTGTGTAGGTTCAATTGATTGTAGGTGACCGATGCATAGAAGATGGCTTCATGCTTGCATTGCTAAACTGTTAATTGTGTTTTGAGAATTGTTCATGTCCATATTTTGGGAATGAAATTTATTTTGTATTTGAAAGAGTTTAGCCCCTTCTTTAAATGATTGGGTAAGCCATAATTGCGTCTGTGGATTTTTCCCCCTCCTGTAATGCAGTGCTTTACGTCGGGCAGAGTTCGTTGATGGAGACGATGGAGAGCTCTAAAACCCTGAAAATCTGGGTAGCTGGAAACATCTGCTGTTCTACAATTGGATTTTGCAGAAACAAACTAAAGTTGATGTCCGTTAGCTAAAATTGGATTGACCACTTTTTCCTCCCTGTCGTAATCACTTTTCATTTTATTCACACATCCAACTCTGACGTGTAATGATCTATACCTTCATTTTTGAACGTGTGGACATATGGTATCTATCTTTTTGGGATCACCTGCATACTTGGAAAAGCGAATATTTAAACAATGCTCTAGAATCCCTGCCTGAGCCCTGAACTCATGAATCTGACCTGTTGGCTTAGTGAGTTCATGTATGACTAATTATTAAAATATTTTCCCTACTGTACTATAATTCTTAATTTTCAGATATTTCAAGGACACATTTGGGTGCTATGTAAATTGAATGATCTTGAATAATTTTTAAGGAGACGGAAAAATTATTAATAGGCTAGTTCTGATACTGTTTCATCCATATCCGAGCCGAGTTGTAATGGGGATCAAGGGATAGCACATCGCTTAATCAACTGATAGCCTTATCGCATGACCCATCCAGTGAGATCTCGTCCAATTTTGCCTTTTCCTTTCAGCGGAAAGCATTGACCACATTGAGTGATACGACGAAAGGCAATTGGACACGTGGAATGTTGGAGTAGAAGGCATGCAAGTCGTTCAGAAAAAAGGATACCCAACATGTACAAGACTTGAAGGAAGGTTTTATAAATATCAAATTAAAAGAACATTCTGCTGAAATGTAGCCAGAGAGTGCAGCAGCAGCAGCAGCAGATGAGCAGTGATATGAATAAAAATTGAAGTGTTCATGAATTACAATCTAGTACACCCTTGAGTAAATTGAGCCCTTCCGCTGAAATACTCCTCCTGACTCGAGAAGGAGGCGGCTCAATCCGAGGAGGAGGATCTAGGGAGAAACACACCACTATGACAGTTAAGTTATCACAAGTGTTGCGCTTAAGAGCCTCTCTGACAAGCTCTCTTGAACACCTTTCGGGATCATTATGTAGCATCAACTCTCTCCTCGCCATGGTCACAGCACATTGATTGCTCATAACATCCCAGAGGCCGTCACATCCCATAATCAAGAACTCGTCGTCCTCTGTCAAGAGGATTTCCTGCAACTCTGGTTCAGCACTTAAAGGGCAGGCAGAACCCTTGGGACCCTTCATGTGCCAGTCTCCTAACGCACGCGCAACAGAGAGTTGACCATTCAGGTATCCATCATATACCGCCCCACCAAGGTTCTCAATCCTTAACCTTTCTGAGCTGCTATTTGGTTTGTGGTCTTTTGACATCTCTATTGCTCTCCCGCGTCTCCCTAGCACAGCTCGACAATCTCCAGCATTCGCAACTATCAGGCTCCTGTCAAAAATCAAAGCTTCAATATTAGCCGTAAGCTTCTTTCACCACTCCATCGAATACAACAATCTCTATGCTCCAACAACCCAACCCAGTATGCTATAAAGCCAACTAAACCTTGCTTGATATTGAGTTGAAACTCTAAACCTTGCTTGATATTGAGTTGAAACTAAACTAACCATTGTTGAACCTCATTTACCTTCCGAATACAAGTGCAGTTAGAGCAGTGGTGCCAGAAGAGATGTCAAGCGAACTAGCATCTGCAAATGCATAATCAGCTTTCAGAAAGGCACTTTTAATTGCCTTCTCTAGGTAAGTTGGAAAATGAGGATCCTCAACTATAAATCTGAGGATGTTATTTCTTATATATGTAGCTGCATCAGTCCCACCATGACCATCAAACACCTAAACAATGAATAGAAATTTATAAACTGTTCAAGTGAACATTCAGTGTTAGAAATGAAACAATAGCCCCTTATACACGCTCGGGGACACAATCGCGTGAGCGTGCACACACTCTACAACCCATTTGGTCATCAATGGCTAGCGCCAAGCACAAATAAAACACACTAACCCCGTAGAAAGCTCCAGGAGAAGGAATTTCTGATACTGAACCTAGTTGCTCAATAAGGTCATCAACACAGATGTGTTCATCTTCCATGTACTGTTTAGGTCCAGTTTCAGCGCAACTTCCTGACCTATATATGGGTTGAAACTCTGCCTTCTCGTCAGAAGACGATTTACTCCCAACAACCCCTGAATCAAAACTCTAAAAGACAAAGGGAGAACATATAAGTTAGATAACTTGCAAATTCGGTGACAGAACAATAAACACTAACAAGATAAAAATTTTGCTGAAAATCTCAGCCATTAAGAAAAGAAAGCAAAGATCAACAAGGAAGGGCAACAAAAACCAAAAAAATGCATGAGCCCAGAAAGAATGGAAACCATTTATAGTTAATAAAGATGATGAACTTACCAAATCTGCGGCAGCTTGCAACCTGTTAGAGCTGATGCTGTGTCTCATGTGGGAGAGGTTCCGTGGGGGTTTGCCAAGTGCCGTTTGTTTCACTTTGTTCGAATCTCTGGATTTCTCATCTTCCATGATGGATGCATTGTCTTTGTTGTAACCACCTTGAGTGCCCTCTAACACGGTAAATGGGGGAGAAAAATCCATTCCCGCAGCCATAATCGCATTGAAATCATGAGTTAATTATTAACAACTCAAAAGAGTTGCATTTTTCCAAATCCCGCGTATTGAATTTCACTCTTAAGAACTAACCCCTTTTTGCTGAATTATATGATCATAGAGGAGGATATAGATATGTCTGGGTTCTTGCCCGTAAAGAAGGTCTAAGTTATGGCCGCAAGTGTTCGAATCCCCACCAGAAAGCAAGAGAAGAAGGCACCAATCACTTGATTCAATGATTCCAATATGAGTTGCAGAGCATAGTATTGACTTGGGGATTAGAGATAGGTAGCAGAGGAGAAATCAAGAATTGGACGACGGAAAGCAAGCATTAAAGAACAGAAAGGTTGTGACGGAGATTCCAAGTTTGTGAAAAAGCTAGATCGATCGTCAGAAAATTCACATCGAAGGATGCGAGACCTAACCCGAGAATTGACGGAATAATCTGGTAAAAAAGAATTAGTGTTGTAATTCGCTAAAATTACAGAGAGGAGGACGACGAAAAGAGGGAAGAAATTCTCACGGGATAGAGATGAAGAAGATGACTGTCGTTATGCCTAGCTTTCCTTATCGAATTATCGAAGAAAACCTAGAGGGGATGTTCGAAGACAGAGAGAGCCAAAAAACTGTTGAGTAGGGGAAATTGGACGATATATTAGAGGATGCGGTTGGACGTCGATGATTCTCCTGTAATCTTCCGACACGTGGAGGGTCATCATTGATGGTTGGCGTTGTAGATGTGTCCCAACCGTTGGATGAATTCACACCTGAATGGACGGCTGACGTCGCTCCTGGGTGGGTTGGCGTTGAAGACAAAGGCCTCGGATTCGGATTCGAAGATGATTAATGATTGAGTGCGTTCGTTCACACAGGTGTAGTTTACTCTCTCTCCACTTCAATAATTTATAACAAAACCACATCTCATCCGCCCACTTTTTTCACGAGTTACACGATGTATCCCTGTTTTTCCGTCCTTAAAATAAAATTCTCGTTTTCTTTTATTACTTTTGTAATTTATTTTTCAAATTTCATATGAAATAGAAAGTGCATAATAATAACTATTTTTTTTAATTATTTACCCATCAATTATCCCGTTGGGGAGGTGGGCTAGAGGTAGCATTGGTTGGGCCTCAATTCAGTAAAATTTTGGTTGACCTATATGGAGGAAGTCCAATAAGAGACAGACGAGATGAATCTGATATCTGAAAATGTTAAAATTAATTTTTTTTATCAAAAATAAAGTTTTCGCTGAAAGTTTTCATAGTTGTCACCAACTTCTCTTGAAATTATTTCTTTATAATTTGGTCTTTCACGAAAAAAAAAATAGTGACATCATATATTTTTGTTTGTTGCAAAAAAATGTTTATCGTTTTAGAATTTAAAAATGCTGGTTTATCAAAGTGGAGACAACATATTTATACATAGTTTTTTTTGAAAGTGTAATATTTGAATTTTTATTTTTATACTAATATTCTGATGCGTGTAACCGTTCCAGAGCGACGATTACTAGGAACAAGCAAGACAATTTGCAAGTTGGCCATGGGGGGGAAAAGTTGTTTCATCTGCAAACTGTAATGTCATTTTTATTTTTTTCCTCCGTCTTGTGGAGGCGCTAACACGTCGTGAAAGAGGAAAAGGTGCCAAAAGAAGAAAGATCATGGGAAAAGGTTACCTGAATATCTTTTTCTTTCTCTTTTCTTGCTTCACTTGGCCGCAACGTGGAAAGCAACGGTTTCATGTGCGTGTGTGTATATATATTCACAATCTTTTATTAACAAAAAAAAAAAAAACCGACTTATGTCTACTTTTTCACAATAAAAGATAATTTATATTTATAATTGTATTTACTTTAAGTAAGTTTACATACATATGATTTCCATTAATTTAATAACTGGTAAAAAATAATTTATATCCTTGGACTGGAATATATTTTTTTATTACTTGTAGTAATTTCTCACATGCCAAAAAGATCATTAAATACATAAAATTTACTCTTGTTGAATGTTAATATATTTTTTTCTCACATTTCTTTCTTTCTTTCTTTCTTTTTTTAATACAAGAGGCAAGTTAAGATCACTTGTGAGGGGGAACCTGGAGAAACTCAAAAGGCGACTTCTCTCTTTATTTTTATATTTGTCGCTGCTAATAAATAAGGACATAATTGAAAATAAAGTATTAAAAATAGTACAAGTGATAAATGAAAAAAAAAACCCAAAATTTTCTTCTACAAGTGACAATTAAAAACAACCAAAATGATAAGAAATTTAAAAAGGTTTTATCTCGGCCAAAAAAAGCAACAAAAAAAATCCTCCTGTAAGAATTCCTTTCTTCATCCAGTCAATTGAACGAGTCACCTCCGTATCTAATCAGCCTTTGAGAGGCAAATTAAAGCACGCATAAAGTGTTTATTCGCAACAGAGCTATAAATTAAAAGTGGTATTTATTCTGCAGAGAATTCAGCATTTCGAACTACTTTTTATTTTTATTTATTTAACCTTTTTCAATTAATTAATCATTTAAATTAAAAAGAAATTATCCTCTTGCACCAATGTCAGTTGCCGTTGACGCCTTTGTCTCGTAGCATCTGCATTTGGGCATTAAGTCATACTGCATTACCTCATAAGTAAATACTACAGTGTGTATATATATGTTTACCTTTCATCGAGGGCAAATTGAGGCTGCGCGGCAGATATGAAGGATTTAGCTGCAGCTTGCGTCTTTCGATTCACCTCGTGCACAGTGAATATGTGCCACATGTTTCTTCCGCCTTTTCATTTTTGAAAGCTTCGTGAGCTTCCATGCTTTCTTTTGTCAGAATCAGATGCTGCTAATTAATAATCATCTTCTCCTGAAGTCTTCGTTTCCTCTCTGCTTCTGTTGTAAGCCATGAATTTGCTTTGGGCTGTTTCTTGCCTGTTCGTGCTTTTCACAGTGCCTCCTTATGCCATCAGCGGTAATTCGTCGAGGCCGGCCGTCGTGCATATCGGTGCTCTCTTCACCTTTGATTCTACTATTGGGAAAGTTGCTAAAATCGCGTTGGAGGAAGCCGTGAAGGATGTAAACGCCAATGCTAGCGTACTCCCTGGAACTAAACTTGTCCTTACTGAGCAAAATTCCAATTGCAGTGGTTTTTTGGGCATGGTTCAAGGTAACCTACTAATATATTTTTTTTCGCGCCATTTTTCTTGTAGTTTCACATATTCAGCGTAAAATTTTTGTTTGAAATGCAGCTCTGCGGTTCATGGAGACTGATGTGGTGGCAATCATAGGCCCACAATCTTCCGTTGTTGCTCACATAATATCTCATGTGGCAAATGAGCTTCAGGTCCCTCTGTTGTCATTTGCAGCGACGGACCCAACCCTATCCAACCTACAGTTTCCTTTTTTCGTGAGAACAACGATGAGTGATTTGTACCAAATGGCTGCAGTTGCCGAAATTGTTGATTATTATGGTTGGAAGGAGGTCATTGCTATTTTTATAGATGATGATTTCGGACGAAATGGCGTGTCAGCCTTGGATGATCAATTATCAGCTAGGCGCTGTAGAATCTCTTACAAGGCAGGAATTAGATCAGGAACTGGAGTTGATCGGGGTGAAATCACGGATTTGCTGGTGCAGGTGGCTCTAATGCAATCTCGGGTCATTGTTCTCCATGCAAATCCTGATTCAGGATTTATGGTTTTCAATGTTGCACAGTATCTTGGGATGACAGGGAATGGCTACGTCTGGATAGCCACAGACTGGCTCTCCTCTGTTGTGGATTCTACTTCTCTCCCTTCGGATACAATGAGTGTTCTTCAGGGCGTTCTTGTTTTACGCCAACATACTCCTGATTCAGATAGTAAAACAGCATTTCTGTCTAGGTGGAACAAGTTTACTGGAGGCTCTGTGGGGTTACATTCTTATGGCCTTCATGCATATGATACCGTTTGGCTGCTTGCACATGCTATTGATGCATTCTTCAACCAGGGTGGGATTATATCATTTTCTAACGACTCTAGGATACATGATGCTGACGAGAGTAATCTTAACCTTGAGGCAATGAGCATTTTTGACAATGGAACGCTTCTCTTGAACAACATATTGCAGAGCAACTTTGTTGGTTTAACAGGTCCCGTAAAATTTGAGTCAGATAAATCTCTTGTTCGCCCTGCATATGATATTATCAATGTGGTGGGAACTGGTATTCGTCAGGTTGGTTACTGGTCCAACTATTCTGGTCTGTCCATTGTACCTCCTGAGACATTGTATGCTAAGCCTCCTAATCGCTCAAGTGCAAACCAACAACTTCATGCTGTAATATGGCCTGGAGAAACACTATCAAAACCCCGTGGATGGGTTTTTCCAAACAATGGAAAACAATTGAGAATTGGTGTACCTATCCGATTTAGTTACCGTGACTTTGTATCACCCATTCAAGGAACTGATATGTTTAAAGGTTTCTGCATTGATATATTCACGGCAGCTCTAAACTTGTTACCGTATGCTGTTCCATATCGCTTTGTCCCATTTGGAGATGGCCGTAAAAACCCAAACTACGATGAACTTGTTAGGTTGATCACCACAGGGGTAAGTGGTTGTACTGCATCATAACTTCGTTTGATCCCTTGTGCTCAATTTTTATGCGTATTTTTACCTGGCTAATTCTTTCATTTTTCTTGGTACAGTACTTCGATGGTGCTGTTGGTGACATTGCCATTGTCACAAACCGGACAAAGGTTGTAGATTTTACACAGCCATACATTGAATCTGGACTTGTTGTGGTGGCGCCTTTTAAGAAAACAAACTCTGGTGGATGGTCTTTTCTGCGGCCATTTACTCCTTTAATGTGGATTGTCACCGCTTCTTTCTTCTTTTTCATTGGGATAGTTGTATGGATTCTGGAGCATAGAATAAATGACGAGTTCAGGGGTCCACCTAGACAGCAAATTATAACCATTTTATGGTCAGTTCTTTATGATGTTATCTTACTTGTGTGTTTAGCTTAACATAACCAAGAGTTTTATATAAACTATGCTTTGAATGAAGAGTATAATAAAATATAGCTTCAGCTTGGTTCATGTATATCAAATAGGCAGCACTTCTTTGAAGGCATTGTCATGCTTTAAGGTTCTGAATAAAAATGCTAGGAGGTAATATTTTTGTTGCCGCGCATTTGACGTCAGAATTTAGCATTATGATTTACTGATGTGTGGTATGAGGGAATTGCATGAATGATTGTTGATTCATAATCTTACGAGCTTGAACTGGTCAATCTAATTTGTTCTCTGATGCATCTGCAGGTTCAGCTTGTCAACTCTATTCTTTGCCCATAGTAAGCGACAGTCCAGTTACTTTCTTTCATGGAAGGGCCTAATGAATGAGTTTTATTGAAATTTTCTCCATTTCTTCTGCAGGAGAGAATACTATGAGTACTCTTGGTCGCGTGGTGGTAATCATATGGCTGTTTGTAGTTTTGATAATCAATTCTAGCTACACAGCAAGTTTGACATCAATCCTCACAGTGCAGCAACTATCTTCTCCTATCAGTGGAATAGACAGCTTAAAAGCCGGTGATGAACCTATAGGGTATCAAGTGGGTTCATTCGCAGAACATTATTTGGCTGACGATGTTGGAATATCCAAATCCAGGCTTGTTGCCCTTGGATCTCCTGAAGAATATGCCAAGGCTCTCCAGCTTGGTCCTGAGAAAGGAGGTGTTGCTGCTATAGTTGACGAACGACCCTATGTTGAAATTTTCCTATCAACCCATTGCAGCTTCAGGATAGTAGGTCAGGAATTCACCAGAAGCGGCTGGGGGTTTGTGAGTACCTTTTTAGATAAAACATGTTTAACTATATTCATGCTCCCTTGTTTTTTTTTTTGGGAGACCGATGCATGCTCCCTTGTTACTATCTTTGGATTTTCTATTTTCTCATTAATACGTGGCAATGATTGCATTTAACTAACTAATTATCCGGAGCTATTAATGATTTCATACGCAAATCCGCATGAAAATTACAATTTGTTGCAGGCATCTGTAACCACACTCTTTATGCCTTCAAAAGTCTTAAATGACTAGGCAGATATTAAACATAAGATCATCATCCCATGATGTTGGGTTTTGGTTCATTATAATGACTTTGATGTCTAATATGGCGAAGCATCTAGTGATTGGTGCTGCCTCACGTATTTGTAGGCATTCCCACGGGACTCCCCTCTGGCCATTGACTTGTCAACTGCAATTCTACAACTTTCTGAAAATGGTGAACTGCAGCGGATTCATGATAAGTGGCTCCTAGGAAGAGCCTGCAGTACGGATGATACTGAAATCGATTCAGATCGGCTTCGGTTTAAAAGCTTCTGGGGTCTCTTCCTTATGTGTGGGATTGCTTGCATTGTTGCGCTTTCTATCTATTTTCTGCAGATTGTGCTGCAGTTACGCCATTCTGCTCCTGCTCAACCGGCTGCTTCCAATGGAAGCTCAGTTTCTCGACATTTTCGGAGATTTATTTCACTGATCGATGAGAAGAAAGAACGGTCCAATAACAGCGGTAGAAAGAGGGTTGAAGCCCAAAGATCATCAGAAGAAGATGGATTGGGGAGGCAGCTAAAGAGGTTACAAACTGAAACAAGTCAAACAACTACTCAACTCAATTTTTCAGTACAAAAGGATCAGGTATAACCTGAATACATCAAATAGAATCCAAACTCTTCCTCTAGGCTCAATTTTAATCATTGACCTTGGCTATTTCCTTACAAATCGACACATCAGGGCATTGCAAATATTATATGTTTGATCAACTACTTACACCTTGTACTGTTCAAGACCACAATAGACGCGAATTGAAACAAAGAATTTCTAATGTATTCATTGCTGACTCTCTCTCCTTTTTCTTATTCCTTTAGATTTTAACACGTTCAATTTCAAGAGTTACATCATATAATGATATGCTTAGACGTCAACCATCTAATCTCAATGGGTTTGATGTTTAGGTCTAAGAAACGTTCTCTCTCCACATGTGAAGATGATACTCTTACTAAAGAGTAAAGAAATTTGTGGGTATTCTTTGATTTTTGTTGATGCTGATGATTGGTAGTAACTAATGAAAGGGAAAGATTTACCACCTCTTGTCTTTAATATGAAAACTAGTTTAACTTTCAATTTGCTCATAAATATAAGATTCCAATCAATTTTATTTCTCATATTTATTTATCTATTTATTTATAAGGTAGTTCTTATAGTAATTACACAAGTTAAAATATTTTATCAAATAGTAGTTCTAGCTAATACATATAATTAGTAAGAGCATTTCAAAGAAGATAATACCTGTTTATTATAAATAATTAACTTAATTAATTTTTTTTAATCTATTCAAGTTAGTTTACTAGTTTTTATATTAAGAAACAGAGGTAGAATTTAAGATGTACTAAACTAACACTAACTACGCAAAGTAAAACGATCGATCGAACCTGAGGCGGAGAAATGTGACAAGAAAAACATCGTTAGGCAAACAAGTATATTTGACTGACCATTGCTCTTCCATTGGGCACTACGGACGGAGCCTTCCAGTAAATACATCTTGGTCTGGGCGCCTTGGCCATAAAAACAAAATCTTTTGGACAAAGAAGCCTGCGATTCTGGAATTTTCTGGGTACAATATGATTGTGGAAATTGATTAGTGGGGGGCAGCCTTTGTTGATAGGACGCAACTATCTCATAGTCACATCTGTCCATTAAAAGGTTAAGTTCTTGGCCAAAGGAAAAGAATAAAAATAAAAAGTTATAAAAAGGTCCATCACAAGCAACGGGTACTGAGGGTCAATTATAAGTAACGTCCGCTGTAATCTATCACTGCCAACGATACCTATATTTTTATTTTTAGATGGGAACAAAATTATAGTTTTAAAAATAATTTTACAGTATATAAAATAAATATATGAAGTAATTTGTTTTGGTTTGCAGAAAAATACTTGAGAAGTATTTTTACAGCTTATTAAACACCCCCTAGCTTGTTCTTAAAACTTATAAATAAATATTGATGAATTTTGACCTTATATATATCTTTCTTAACCTGCTAGATATGCATTATATATATTATAAAATAAATTCTGTATATCTAAATTTAGATATGCACAAATATTTCAGCCAAAAAAAGATATGCAAAAAGCATAAGTAAACAAGTCTAGCTTTGGTAATTTTGTTCTTGCGCAAGTTTCTTTACGAGAGGTGTATGCATATTTTTTTAATAAAATATTGATATACTTTTAATAAAATTTAATGAAAACTTATAAAATAATACTTGAAAATTTAGAATAATTAAATAAGATATAGCGAAGTTTATTGGGGATATAATTAAAATTGAAGTCACAGTTGTAATAATTCATGACGCTATGCTATTACACGCATCAACAAAAACAAAGGACCCATTCTCCGATATTTGCCTCCAACCAGAGTGGGACAATTTTTTTCCGAGGGCATGAGGATAGAAGCAGAAAAAGAAAAGAGACAACAATTTTAGCAAACCGTATAAAACAGGGCCTGCAAAAATTCTTCCTATTTCTCTTCTATCCGAAGAGAATCCAAGTCCACAAATCCAATGGCCACTTTCTCATTTCTCATCTCTGCATCATTTGCCCTTCACGCGGGGGAGGCATTGATCATTAGCTTGAAAGTCAACGTCAACGACAACGACAGCAAAGGGGAGAAAATTTCGAATGAAAAAAATAATAAAAATAATAATCTTTAGCTACCATGATCATGAGCTTAAATATATATCGAATGCATTGATCACGACGGTTTATCTATTTTTCTTTTTTTTTCTTATGCCAATGTTTTATCTATTATTCATCAAGCAATCGTCGATAAAAGGTGATCTCTGTGAATCATAATCAATATTATCGAGCTATTAGTGGCCTAATCCTAATCATCATGGCCGCATTAATATCAGCAGAATCAAAGGTCGTCACTTCGCTTAGCTCGTTAATTACTCTTATATACGGTTCACTGAAATGTTTTTCATGTGGACCGTAGAATCCTATATATATATATATATAGATATAGATATGATCAAATGGGAAACTTGATAACAGCGGAATCCTAGAATGATGTTAAAATAAATGGATAATGGAGGGCGGGGAATAATAATAACAATAATGCAAGGCACACATCCAAAAAATAATAATATATGCATGGCGTGAGGGAGGTTTGTCATCGAAAGAAGGGGGTGAAATGGAAACAGGAGCGTCAGTTGTTCCTCGCCGTACATTTTCGGGTTGAATGAGTGTCGTTAGAATGGAAATGGGACAAAGGAAAAGGGAAAAGAAGGAATTGATGTCGAAGATCGTTCTTGTCGTCGTTCCCCAGAGTGTGTGATGAAATTCAAGCATCCTTAATGATTTCCTGAATTTCAACAAAACGAACAGAAACATTTTCTAAATGTCGGGAGGCGAAGGAGAAGGTTCGGCCAGGCAGTTAGATCAGACGGCGACATGGGCTGTCTCTTTAGTTTGTGCAATTATCGTTATCATTTCGATTGGCTTGGAGAAAGTTATACATAAATTTGCTCACGTACGTGCTCTAACGATCTTGTTTTGTTTGTTTCAATTGTTCTCCTTTCACGTTCCTCATTTGTACATTTTTCGTGCACTTCAGGTGTTTGAAAGAAAGAAAAAGGCAGCTTTGCTAGAAGCTCTGGAAAAAATAAAAAGCGGTATTTACCGTTGACCGTATGTGCATGTTTTGTTATTTACTTGTTTATTTTTTTGGGTTCCTAAGTTACCTTGCATTTGTATGTACTTTAATGCAGAATTGATGATTTTGGGATTTATTTCACTACTGTTGACTTTTGGACAAAGCTACATTGCTAACATTTGTATTCCCACAAAGTATGGAAATACAATGCTACCCTGTCAGATAAGGTCCACCGAAGCTGAAGGTGGCCATGAAGAGGGTGGTGGTGAAGGTGGTCATGAAGGTGTTGAAGGTGGTGGTGAAGGTCATGGCGGCGGCGGCGAAAGCGGTGGCCATGGTGCAGCGGCAGTTGCGGCTGCTGCCGCTGAGCATCATCGCAGGTTGTTATCCTATGAACGTAGGTTTCTGTCAGCTGACGTTCAAGCCTCCTGCAAACCGGTAATCGCATGATTCTCGTATTTCTTTTCTCAACTCAGTCAGACTCAAGCCATTCAATTCAACCCCTTAAATCTTTGCATTCTAATAGGGGCACATCCCTCTCATATCCGTCCACGGTTTACATCAGCTGCACATTTTCATCTTCTTCTTGGCCGTCTTCCATGTGTTCTACAGTGCGATAACCATGACCCTTGGAAGATTAAAGGTTTCAATGTTCTTCATCTCTTCTGAAACCAACACTTGCTTCATTTGAAGTGGCTATATCGCAATCATATCTTATTTATTAATTCTTCTAGATCGTGGGTGGAAGGAGTGGGAACGGGATCATATGAGGGAACAAGAAGCCATGAATGGTACAAATTCATTAATATCGTTTGAATGTTTTCACCTTTGAATATTATATTTTTGCTTGCCCTGCTCACATAAACTAATTGGAATTGAAAGTTCAGATCCTAATAGGTTCAGACTTACCCACGAGGTATCATTCGTGAGGGATCATAACAGTTTCTGGACGAAAACACCCGTTTCCTTCTATTTTGTAAGCACTTGTTTCCAATAATACGGGTAATGTAGATTGATCATTGTGGTACCACTACAGATGATTCATAAATTTGTTGCAGGTTTGCTTCTTTCGACAATTTTTCAGATCTGTTCGTAAGGCGGACTACTTGACAATGCGACATGGATTTGTGACTGTCAGTAATTTTCAGTTTCACTCGTTGCTCTTGCAGATATAGCAGATACCACTATGATATGCGCTCTTGTTTTACTTACAAATTCTGCATACCCGTCGTTTAGGTGCATCTAACACCCGGAAGCAAGTTTGACTTTCAAAATTATATCAAAAGATCTCTAGAGGACGACTTTAAAGTAGTCGTGGGAATCAGGTAATTTCTTTCCACACATATCTTTATGATCTTACACTATTATTAAAAACAAACTCATCACTATAATTGAAGTTTCTTCTGATTATTGCTTGTAATTCTATCATGACAGTCCAATACTTTGGGCGTCCGTGGTGCTCTACTTGCTTGTGAATGTCCACGGTTTGTCCTTATTAACTCTCACACGCACACACGCACTAATGGGATCTACATACATGGGCATTCGTATTTACTAGCCAGTGCATAATTGATATGCCATAACATCTTTTCAGGATGGCATGCTTCCTTCTGGGTGTCTTTTCTTCCTCTACTAGTAAGTATATTTGTTCGACACCCTACCTGCATGATTTTACAGCTGAGCAGAAAACTTAATAGTAGACTTATTTGAAGGTTATATTGACGGTTGGAACAAAGCTTCAAGCAATTATAACTCGAATGGCACTTGACATACAAGAAAGACATGCTGTAGTTCAGGGGATGCCTCTAGTGCAAGTCTCTGACAAACATTTTTGGTTTGAATGGCCTCCGTTAATTCTTTATCTCATCCATTATGTCCTCTTTCAGGTATTAATTGCTTGCTTAATGTCTACTTGTGTTTCTCTGACTGATATGCTGATGCATTACATGTGCCATTTGGTTTTATATCTCCAGAATGCGTTCGAGCTAACATATGTGCTCTGGATATGGGTAATCAACTTTTTCTCGCTCTGCTCTTGCTCAAAATAGTAATCCGCATAATCCATACTTTTCATCATCTTAATTGTCACTGTGGGTCCCGTCAGAGCTTTCTTTCTTTTCCTCTTGACTTGGACCAGAAACCTCTCCACTAATTCAGAAGGATCCAAGTGGATGGAGAAAGAAAGTGAGGTTTTAGTCCACCATACATCTTTCTTTCTCTCCTCGCCTGAAAATATGAAACATCCAGAGAGAAACCTCTCCATAACAGAGGGGAAAAATGAGGTGGGGAGAGAGAGAGAGAGAGAGAGATTCTCTGCCAAACATTTTTTCTTCCCACATTAGAGAGGATTCTTTCTTGGACATAAACCATCTAATTTTCTCTCTGCGTAATCCCTTTATTAATATAGATGCGAGTTTGAATGAAAGTGTGCATAAGATTCATTTTTCATCTCATCACTCGCCTTCTGATTTTTGTTTTATTTTTCATTCTCATTTCAAAAATACTGTACAAGGACATCATACTTTAAAGGATCCAAATTTGGTAAGATATGTTTGGCTTAAAATGAAGTTTGTTGGTGGTGCAGTATGAGTTTGGAATCAATTCATGCTTTCATGAGGATATGCGCCTTCTTATTGTCAGAATTTGCTTGGGGTAAGTGATCGAAATAATTATAAACTAACATAGGGCCCTTCTGTTAAACTTCTTTTTTAAGGATAGTTTAACTCTTGAGTGTTAGAAGATCATCAAGCTAATAATAAAATTTTTATTTAAAGAAAATAATGAGAAATTTGGGTACATGTATTTGTGCAGAATAGGAGCTCAGGTTGTGTGCAGCTACGTGACACTTCCATTATATGCACTAGTGACACAAATGGGATCCACAATGAAGAAGTCAATATTTGATGAGCAAACTTCAAAAGCCCTCAAGAAATGGCACCAAAATGCTCTCAAGAAGAAGAATTCCAAAGGCAAAACTGCAACTCAGACCTTGGGAGTTAGTCCTAACCCAGGAGAGACACCGCTCATGCAAACTACTGACGAACATCAACAATTACAGCAAGGAGAACATCATCAACAACAAGAAGGATCCGCCACCATTGTCACCCCCGTTGATCTCTAATACCTATACCACGTTGCTAGCTCATTTCTCCAATCCAACGCAGTTTTAAGTTCTCTCTTTTCATGCATTCACATATTAAAAAGAAAGTCACACAATAGAATATGGTAGCTGATAGGAGTACAGGTGGCGTTTTATGCGACATCCAACAAGGCATCCAAGTTGGCGACCAAATCTAACATGGCAGCCAAAGTGACAAGCATATAGGTTGATATATCATAATTACATTCACCAATCCTTTTCTTTCCATTTCTTAATACAAATTTTGCATTCTTTTTTGTGAATATAGAGATTTTGAACTGGATTTAACTTCACATCAAATTCACCATAGAAGCTTGTCTATATGTGTGAGTGGGCACTTTTTTCCCCTCCCATGACCTGGTTTAGATCCAATGTCTAAGTGTGATGATAGTGTATTCAAAAGTGCAGAGGATCAAGTGGAGTATTTGTATTTTGACAGATGTATTGTACAAAATAAGTGTAAACTTAGTTAATTCATACTCTATGTTGTTATTGTTCCATTTATCCTTTATAAATAAGGTCAAGTTATTCCTGTCAGAAAATGTGAAGTTATTTTTTCTTTCATTCTTAGAAGTAACATTTTCCCCCTCAAAGGTTATGACTTTCCTGCTAAATATACTATTGGATACAGTTAATTGCTTCCATCTGAACAAAAAATATTCGCACATTTATATTTTTGTAATATAATAAAAAATTTAGGTTGGATGAACTGAAATTCTAGAATTTATTATTTCATTAATATATTTTCTATTTATTGTCATACTAAAACAAACACGAAAATTTTTTTCTGTACTCTTATTGTAAAATTTTTAACGTATGTTCTCAAATTGTAAGGATATTTTCTTATTACTAAATAGTACTCCCTTCGTTTCTTATTATAAGAGACAAATAACCAAATTACGTTGATAAAAAAAACAGTTAAAATTAGTTGAGGACAATTAATGTGTAAAAAGTATAATATTTTTTCCAACAATGCCCCCATTAATAAAGAGAGAGAGTATGAGAGAGAACAATTTAATTATTAAAAGATAGAGAAATGGGAGGGAGAGAGAGTATGAGTTGGAGACAAAATAAATAGGGGTAAAATAGGAAATCAATACAAAAAAGTAGAGACAACTTTTTAAGTGTCTCTTATATATGAGAACATGTCATAAGCATCAAATGTCTCTTATAATAAGGAACGGAGGGAGTAATAAGAAATGTCAGAGCAAGGTAATATTTTTCTACACTTATTCTTTAAAAAAGGAAAAAAAAATAATGACATTCTTTCATAGTTATTGAAGGGTATTCTCATACATGTGTAAATTAGACTAGTTACATCAAAATAAATATCTTGGACCATTTAAAAATTGAAAAAAAATATCTTGTCCAAAAATTCAATAAATATAATTATGTTTTTTTTTTTGGTAGTTTTTACAATTAGCGTCCAACCAATGCCATTAAATAAACTTCAAATATTAATTGATGACTTGATTTGTATCGTTCTCATTTTGTGTTTCGAAATAATTAATATTGTAAACCACATATATTTCTGGACAATATCCACGTAAAATTTCTTGTGAAAAATGACACACATGGTGATGGGATTCAAGTGTTTTTCTATAATATGTTAAGTATTCTTGAGTCCTCTCGTGCCGTAGCGATAGGGCGCAGTTTAATAGCGGGCATTGAGGCGATTTGAGACACTGACACAGTGAATGAGAGGGAAAGCAACAGATCGAAGTTATGGCGAAGACAATGACCAGAGGTACGAGGTTTGTTTTGTTTCTCCTTGCAGTGGCCACTTTCTCCGCACCCGTGCTTTCCGATCTGATCCTTGCCAAAGTTGAGCGTCGCGTAAGTGATTTTCACTTGTCAATCATTTCGATCTCATTACCCATTTAGGGTTTTCGGTTCTTGCCTTGTTCAATTTTGCTTGCTTACGTCCCTTGACCTGACTAGATTTCGATATTGCAACTGTGAATTAGATTTGCTGTCAGCCACAACTCATAAGGATCAATATGAACTTTTTGTCTCTTATTACTTGTTGTGTATTATGTTTGATCCCACTCGATTACATTTATAACATTATTTATCTCTGCCTCTGTTCTATATCTTTGTGGATTAAGTAACGATAGAATGAAGTCTAAAACATAGACACACGGCACAATTTTATATGAGCTATTCGACTCATTGAGTCTTCTTCAAATGCATATATGCTCATCGGGTAGACATCCCTTATGAAGTTACATTTAACTTTTATTTTCAAGATCCTGTATGCATGATGCTATCATCTAGATCCTTGATTTTTTTTTTTTTTTAATAAGCTTTAAGACGAGAGGAACTATGTCCCTGGAATTGAAGGGGGTCTCTTCTAGATTTTTTTTTTTGTTTTGTTTAGAAATTAAATCTTCATCTTGTGCAATATGTCCATCCCTTCTTGCCTGTTAATCATCCATTATCTATTAGCATTTCTAAAGCTCATGATCATTGTTGATGTTTGCCTCTGACTAATTTTTTTCTTTTGTTTGTAGATTGATTTGACCTCACAGATTGTGCGCATCACCACAACACTGAAGGTACAAAGTTAGTATTACGTTTATAATTTTTCATTTATATGTGTAATTTCTTAATTTTTACTTAGGTTTTCTGGATGGTGTTGGTACCTATTCCCAAAAAGTTTTCTGCTACCTAAGGCAAGCTTATGAAAGAAATTTAATCTAAGCTACAGTGAGAAACTTAGCCAAACAAACAAATTTGGTATCTTGTCCTTTATCTGTAAACATTAGGCTTCGATCAAACTTGAAGGTTGAAAGAAAAACTGGTGTCAAAAACCACCACCTACCACATGTAATTAACTTTACATTGCTGCCTGTGTTTCCTTTTTTAATTTTTTTTTTAATCTTTTACCTTAGCCTTTTCTTCCATTTTTTTTTTGCAGGTGGAGAATACAGGATCTGATCCTGTGTCTGAGGTTTTGTTGACCTTTCCTGATAACCAGGCAAATCACTTGGCATACTTGACAGTGACAGTTAATGGAGGGAAAGGAAAAGGGAAAGCATCTTCTGGGGGCAATTTACCTGTTGGAGTTGTCCACCCTGAAGGCATGCCTCCTTCCTTGACTACTTATTCTGTATCTTTACCCAAGGGGCTTGGGAAAGGTGACAGCTTATTGTTGGATGTGTTGGCTGTCTTTACCCACTCATTGCGACCAATTCCTGAGAAAATTACTCAGTCTGATATACAGCTTGTGCTTTTCCAAGAAAGTGCTCACTATCTTTCTCCATATGATGTCAAGGTCCAATCACTCAGCGTTAAATTGCCTGATGCAAGAATAGAGTCTTATACAAAGCTAGAAAATACAAAATTACATGGTTCTGAAATAAAATATGGACCTTATGAGAATCTCTCCCCATTCTCATACTTACCAATAGTCATACATTTCGAGAGTAATCATCCCTTTGCTGTTGCCAAAGAGTTAATCCGAGAAGTTGAGATTTCCCACTGGGGCAATGTACAGGTTACAGAGCATTATAGTCTTGTTCATGCTGGTGCTCAAAGCAAAGGAGAATTTTCTAGGTCACCCTGTTTCCTTGGTTTTGAATTGGCTGGTTGTTATGTTACTTGTACATGTAATAATGAATCATTTCTGTTGTAGGCTTGACTATCAGGCCCGGCCATATGTGAGAGGTGCATCAGCTTTCAGGCGTCTTGTTGCAAGGTTGCCACCACGTGCTCATTCTGTGTACTACAGGGATGAAATTGGCAACATTTCAACTTCCAGTTTATGGGGTGACTCAAAAAAGGTGAATATTCTAAGTGTTTTTTTTTTTTTTTAAATGCCTGTACTAACCTTTGCTTAAAAATATTAGATGGAACTCGAGATTGAACCTAGATATCCAATGTTTGGTGGCTGGAAGACCACTTTTACCATTGGATATGGCCTGCCACTTGAGGACTTCTTATTTGCAGTGGATGGGAAACGTGTCCTAAATATCACTTTTGGTACACCTATGAAAGAATTAGTGATTGATAATCTCTTTGTGAAGGTAAATGAGATGATTATATCCTGACACTATATTCTTTTGATGTTTTATTTCATCTTTCGTGTTGAAAAGTGATCTTGTAGTGGGGAGTCTATTGTACAAAATCACATTTCATTTCTATGTTTTCTTTGCAAGAAGAGTATGCAGGGAGTTTCACTTCTCTGCATATGAAATTTCAACTTGGTCTATGATTAAGTTGCGCCAATATGAATGTGAATCAAACCAATCAGCTGCATCTTTATTTATTCCATTTTCCTATTTTCTCCCCCTTTTGAACCCTAGGAAATTTTTTTTCCTAAACTTTTTTACTGTGTATGCCTGGTACTTCACGTGGTTTTAATTTTAAAGCGACCTGGAACGACTCACGTTATCATATGGTCCTTAGAATCATTGCTTGTATTGACCTCGTGGATAATAGTTCAATCTTTATTGGTCTGAGTGGTGATTTTAAATTACAGGTTGTTTTGCCTGAGGGTTCTAGTGGAATCTCTGCATCTGTTCCATTTCCTGTGAAACAACGGCAGGAGGTATTGTCAGATTGATATCTGCTTCTATGTCATCATTTACCCATTTCCTTGGTTTGGTTTTTAAGCCCTTTTATTTGATTGCTTTCAGACAAAAATTTCCCACTTAGATGTTGTTGGTAGACCTGTTGTTGTGCTGGAGAAGAGCAATGTTGTGCCTGAGCATAATGTTCATTTTCAGGTATTGCTGATGCACCTTTTTGAGGTAGTTTAGTGGTATACTTGGTACAAGCGAGCTGCCAAATACCCAGAATGCATAATTGTTATCACATGGGTAGTTTTTGGTTTATAAATGATACTAACACTTATCATATCTTTTTTCTTTCTTTGTTTGTTTCTTTTTTTTTTCCTTTTTTTCTGGGGGGTGGGGTTTGGTTGATTCTGATGTTGAATGTCATGATAAAAGTTTTGATCATTTTAATTTCTTAAAATTTTAATTAGTAGATGGAGGTTAAAGAAAACTAGTGTTAAATTCAATGGATTGGTAATGTGAAGGCCAAAGATAAATTTCTATGCTCAAAAACTGGTTTGTAAACAGGGAGCCATGGAATACACTATCAGTATGGAAAATACACGGGCAGCACCGCCCAAATGCAAAACTGGTGCTAAATACTTTTTACCTTTATACCACCCTGACACATAAGCCAGAACAGCTTTAACAATTGAACAAAGTTAACATAATTGAAAAGAGACATAATGCAGCAAAATGTAAATGTCACTTATCAGGAGACCACATTAGTGAATTTGGTGGTGTTTATTATGTGTTTTTTTTTCCTCGCAATTATATAGCGTAATTTAGTAGCTGAAAGTATACTTACAGTCTGAAAGCTGAAAAACAGGGGTTAGAGGGATTGCTAAATGAGTGGTGTTTATGCATTGTGGTTACGTGTGCAGCTTACTGACTTTCATGGATATTATTGCAGGTTTATTACAAGTTCAGCTGTCTTTCTATGCTTAGGAAGCCTCTGATGTTGATTGCTGGGTTTTTCTTTCTATTTGTTACCTGTGTTGTCTACATGCATGTAGATTTGTCAATCTCTAAGTCATCTCCTACTTATTTGGCAAAGCTTCAATGGGAGGAGGTAATTAAATCATGAAATTATTGTCCCATAGGAAATCTGATATTTGCAGTTAAGTATAGTTCTTATATTCTGGGCTTGGTGGTTCACTTTTCAGGTGCAAACAAATATCCAGCAGCTGTGTAACATCATTAACCGTTGCTTGACAACAAATGACAAGCTAGAAGCATCTTTACGGGACCTTTCTAGGACAGGAGATGTTCAAGCTTGTAAAACAACTCGAAAATCAGTGGATAACTTGCTGAAAGAGTTATCTAAAGAGTTGAAGCCACTGTTGACATTTTTGCAATCTGCTCCACAAGCAGCTCACATAGCACCCAAGGTTTTGTCGGGAGTGCTTTCTTTTTACAGATCCCTTCCCACGCGATTCCATGTATCTAATTTTATCGCGTCGCTTGCAGGTTGAGGAATTAATTGCAAAGGAGAGGGAGTTGCAAGAGAGGCTAATGGCAAAACACTCGACTGTTGTAGACTGCTATGAGAAAAAGTTAGGGGGTCGGGAAATTGAAAATCGGATTTCATCACATCAGCAGAAAATTACAGCTTTAAGGCAAGAGGTTGATGATCTCTTGGAGTTTATTGACGAGATTTGATCATGACTAGACTCCCCGATTATGAAAATGCTGTACTTGGGTTAGAATGTTTTATTTAGTGCATCATGTAATAGAAGTTCGGACTTGAATCATATGGATAAATCGCACTTTTTGTTTTGTTAGACTTAAATTGAGTCTTACATTACGGGATGCTTGAAACTCTACAATAAATGTGACACCTTATTGAGTCTTAGGGGGTGTTTGAATGGAATCAAAATTATGGTTTTAAAAGTATTTTTACGGTATATAAAGTAAAGTAAATTTGTGAAGAAGTTTACTTTGATTTACAGAAAAATATTTTTAAAAAGCATTTCTTAAGGAAGCCAAACATCCTTTTACACGAGTAGGGTGAGTAACTAACGAGAAACTACTAAAAGTCAAGTTTTATTTGGGGAATTTTTTTTTCCTTCAAATATTTCTCATATGAAGGGTTTGATCTTGTTAAGAAATGAGATTTTGAAAAAAATTTCAAGCTTTTCAAACTTACACTTGCAATAAAACATGTCTAGTAGTTCAAATATTTGATTTAGTCTTTTTTTTGAAAATTGGGTAAAATTTATCTTGAGATTTGGACTTAAGCAAAATAATAATTGAACCAATCTTTACTGTTTATAACAATCTGCTAAATATAATTAAATGAAGGATTAATATAATTTTTGGTCTTTTAAGTTTGTTTTCATTTTGGTTTTGGTTATTTAAGTTTTTTTTTATTTGAAACATTAGTCTCTATAATTTAATAGAATCTTAGGTCATTTTGTTTTTGAATAATCAAAACCTATAATTTAAAATTTGATGTACTAAATCCAAAATGAAAACAAATTTAAGGGACTAAAGATTATAGGCTAAAGTATATTTTTAGTCATTTTAACTTGACACAAAGGTTTACTTTGGTCCCTTAACTTTAAAAAGTAAAGTTTTAGTCCTCTAATCCTAAAAGTGTTGACAAAAAATAATGATATTGAATTCTTAAATACTGATAAAATATTACTAAACACTAACTTATTAAGTTTAATATTCAAAATGACTATGATTGTTACAAAAAATTATAATTTGAAAGTAACAATTTTAGGGTTAAAGGACTAAAGTTATACTTTTTAAAGTTAAGAGACCAAACTGAAACCTTATATAGAGTTAAAGGACTAAGTGTATACTTTGAAGATTATATTAACCCTTAAATCTACAATAACCTGTGGGGCAAAACATTCATTGCCCTGACTTCTAACATAAACGGCACACATAGATATATGATAAGTTAAACACAATAATAACTAACATTTATGTGCATATCATTCCTATAGATAACACTTACCTGTCTCCGGCTGTTAATTTTCTCCTCCTTATGGACGGAATACATATAAACACACATGAAAAGAAAAAAATTACATGTTCTCATGGTCAACTACAGTATTATGGTGTAAACAGACATGTAATAATTAATACACAATTATAAGATCAGAAAGAACTACTTCCTAGGGCGCTTTCTTCCAACACAAACCTTGCCACTTCTTTTTTTTTTTTTTTTTCTTGGTGGGCTTGACCAAATATCAAAACATATCATATCTCCAAGGGTAAGTTAATATTTGATCCAATTATGATTCATAAGTTAAATGACTCCCTTAAACCTCAACTCACTTTAATCTTTACTCTTACTAAATGGTTGGTCATCATAAACAAAAGTATTATTCTTCCTTGTTCTGATTTTATTTCCTGGTTTGCAAAACTCCATTTTAGAGTTTTATGCTAGCTTTAATCATCTAAGATATTTCCTAAGCATTTAGAAATATCAAATAGTAGATGAGCATATAATCATAGAACTACAATTAAACTATACTTTTATGCAAGCAAAGTATCCTAGCTTTTAGCAGAAACTTTAACTCTGATATCATAAATATGTAGTTGTAGATGCTTTTTTGGGAAAGAGTCTTTTTTTGGGCCAGTGATAGTTGACCAATAACCTTTAATTCAGCTAGATTTTTTCTTGACGTGTTATTCTCCTTTTTATTAAAAATAAATATCCAAATTATATAAATTAAGAAAATACAGTTAAAACTAATAAATAATAAAGGAAAACTAATTTGGAGATCCTTGTAGTTTCTTTTAGTTCTGAATCAGGTCCCTAAACTTTTTTTCTTTTTTATTAGATCCTTAAACTTTTTACGGTTAGATCAGTTAGTCCCTACCGTTAAATAAGCACTAACAGTGTTAAAAATTTCGTTAGTCTCTTCTCCTTCCATCTCTTTCCTCCATAGCCTTGAGTTTGACCAAACTTTTCTCTCTCCCCTTCACGTGTCACTGGAAACATTCTTCTTGCCCACCATTAAAATTTAAATGCCTCACCTCCCTTTCGATCCCTGCCAGTCCCATTGATCTTTTCTTTCTTGCTTCCGTCAGCGGAGCCTTGATTAGATTCTAGACACTACTTTGCATTTGGATTTGGTTATGCTGCCAAAACGAACACGATGACACATGGAAGCAAATAAAACAACAACTGCCTTGTATGCTCTTCTGTCACATTTTAATTGTATTTTCAGTTAACTTTTCATGTTAATCTTGCAACTCAACGATAAGGCAATTACTCATTGTAGTAATTTCATACACCACATCTACTTCTATATATTGTCAAACCTTGTATTGTAAACTTGAGGAGGGAGTTTGAAATTAACTGAAGCTGAAGAAGTATGTACAAATTCATGTGTGTAGAACCAAATGTGCGGAGATGTTTGAGAGCGTCGGCCACGGTGCACTAGTCTCAAGCTCCTAAAATCCTCAAACCACCACCCACTTCGTTGTCGGGCGTTGGCCGTGGTTATACCTCCATCGTGAATCAGAGTTGTTGCACCCTTCGTCTTCCACATAGAGATCCATTTCAGGAATATGTTAGGAAGGGAGTTGTGGCATTTAATTGTGGGCAGAAGAATATTCCAGGAATAAGTGAAGGAGAGATGAGAGCTGGTTTGTTCTGGGGCTATGTGGAAGGAGATGGAAGGAAAAGTTAGTTTCAACTAACGGAAACTTTTAACACTATTAATGCTTATTTAACGGTAGGGACTAACTGATCTAACGATAAAAAATTAAAGGATTTGATAAAAAAAAAGAAAAAAACTTAGGGATCCGATTCAAAACTGAATAAAACCATAAGGACTTCCAAACTAATTTTTCTAATAATAAATACTACTTGTACAAAGTGAATTTATATTTAGGATGGAGGAAATATGTATGAGATTGTAATTTTTTTTCTAAAAATACTTAATAGTGATTGTTTGGCATTGTGACTGTATATCTAATAATGCCAATTTAATTATAAGGGTGACAAAAAGAGAGAGAGAGATTCTCAATAAATGCACAAAGCAATAGGTAATTTAATTATGTCTTACTAAGTATCGATTTTTAAGGGCTTCATGCATGTTTCTTTTATCGAAATGCAATAAGAATGTGATTACATATTTTAAGGTATCAGAGTATATGTAATACTAGTAGTATAGTTTTGCTAGCAAAAAAAAAAAAAGAAAGGAAATAGCAGTGTCTAATTTTTTGTATTATACAAAGAGAAAATTACTCGAATAGAGGTTGACTGATGAAGCTATCATTATAGGAATTTTATAAATAGATGATAGTGAGAAAGATGTGAAATTTTTTTTGATACATGATAATTAAAAGGGGAGTATATTTGTTATTGTGTTGATAAATAAAGCATGAGAAGTTCTACTATTGATTAATATTACTCCAGGACCATGAAGAAGACATCATGCAACTGGTTCAACTTTCTATTACATTAATGCTAAGATTAGTAGGACTATATTGGTCATACATTTTCTGGTTAGTTTCATGTCAATCTATGGCTATAAACTAATTTTCCATGCCCAGAAATTATCTAAAAACAATTGCAACTGACGGGGAATGGTTTACATTCTACCAAAAACGCATACATGTTTGATATTCAAATTCAGTTAATTCAGTTAAAATCACTAAAAACTTGGAATTGAACCCGACGTGAATCGAACACGCAACCTTCTGATCTGGAGTCAGACGCGCTACCATTGCGCCACGGATCCAGGAGTTGTCCCTGAGCACACAACAAAGATTATTTACTAGATAGAAAAGGAAGTTACACACGTCAAGCCTTCCGCGCCTGACGTGGGGCTTGTGGGCGCCATGAGAGATTGAGCAAGATGTGCCCACTTGTGGCTACGCTACGCTTGTGAGACGTGGGAGGAAAAGCATCAATCTGGTCCAGTGCAGTACGTCACCAGGGGACAAGGACTGCGTATTTGTTTAACATCATGCGCCGGCCCAAGATTTTGTTTCCGGGGAAATTAAATACATAAAATATAAATTGATATAAATATTAAGGCGATTGAAATTCTATAATATGCATCTACTGCTATCTGTCCTAAATTTGAGAATTAGTTTGAAGTAGCCGTATAGAAAAATTAGTATGCAATACTTTCTGTGATGAAAATATTTTAAACGTGCGTGATGGGATCGCCCTCACAAGTCAGGCGCACCAAATGCGGGCCTTCCGCTAACTTTTCAACACCCCTGATGTGTGGTGAACAAAAAACTTAAATAAAAATGTATTCAAGGAAGAAAAAAAATTGTAAATATCCTGTTCAATGCCCGCCAACGCAAACTTCCCAGCTTCCACTAGTTCTAAACACAAACCCACAGCTAAGATGGCAATACCAGTGGCAGGCGCATGGTTCTCAGCCGTCGCCGCTTTGCTCGTCCTCTTCTTGCTCCGCCGTCTCGGTCGGCCGAGGCCCAATCTACCTCCAGGCCCTAGAGCATGGCCCGTCATTGGAAACCTCGACCACATAGGCCCACAATCTCACAGGTCCCTCCATGTTCTCTCCCAGAAGTACGGACCCATCATGCACATCTGGTTAGGCTCCAAGTCCCTCGTCGTCGGCTCCTCGGTGAAAATGGCCAAGGCCTTTCTGAAAATCCACGATGGCTCCTTAGCATCGCGGCCGAGAACCGCCGCCGGTAAGTACGCAGGTTTCGGCCACTGCAACATAGTCTGGGCCCCCTACTCCCCATACTGGCGCCAAGTCCGCAAGGTTTGTTTAACGGAACTCTTCTCTCCCAAAAGCTTGGGGTCCTATGAGTATATCAGAAAGGAAGAGATCAGAATTATGGCGAATGAACTTTACAGTTCTTCGAGCAAAACCATATTCTTAAAGGAGTACCTCAACGTTTTCAACCTCAACATCATAAGTCGCATGGTTTTGGGGAAGACATACGTTAAGAAAACCCAAAATGCTATCATTACGCCGGACGAGTTCAAGTGGATGCTGGACGAGTTTCTGTTACTGAACAGTGGTTTTCTGAATATTGGGGATTTCATTCCCTGGCTTCAATTCTTGGACTTGCAGGGATACGTCAAGAGGATGAAGGTCGTGAGTAAGAAATTCGACAGGTTTTTGGAACACGTATTGAATGAACACGGTGAGAGAAGAAAAGGGTTTAAGGATTACGTTGCCAAAGATATGGTGGATCTCCTTTTGCAAGCTGCAGATAATCCCACTCGCGAGCTCAAGCTTCAGAGGCATAATGTCAAAGCCATTACTCAGGCAAGCACACTTACGTTTTCACATGAACTAGCTGGATGTTTTTACATGAACTACCTCTCTCTCTCACACACACACACACATTGAGAAAAACAGTTAAAAGTTAGTTGTTCTTTTTATAAGAAAATTTTGGAAGTATTATTTCTAATATAAGGAGAGGAAGACAAATTTTAACGAGTTCGATCTAAAAAATTAAGAAAGTACAGTTATAAAATTTTGACAAAAAGAATATCTAAGATAAAAGAGCCAGCAAAATTAATTTAAAGATTTTATCCCTATTTCTCTAATTTTTTAAATTAAACTTATTAAAAAAAATTTCTTTTACTGCATTTCCCTGGTAAGAGTGTTGCTTTCTTATGCCCGGAATATTGCTTTCTTATGCACGTACACACATATGCCCACAGGATCTTCTCATAGGTGGGACGCAGAGCTCTGCTATAACAGTGGAATGGGCCATGTCAGAGCTTCTTAAAAAGCCACAAGTATTGAAGAAGGCACAAGAAGAGCTAGACAAAGTAGTAGGGACAAACAGATGGGTTGAAGAACAAGACATGGTTCAGTTACCTTACATTAAAGCAATCGTTAAAGAAACAATGAGGCTACATCCTGCTTTACCAACACTGATACCGAGGGAATCCCGAGAGGACTGTAAAATTGAGGGCTATGACCTTCCCAAAGGGACCCAAGTGGCTCTGAATGTATGGGCCATAGGGAGGGACCCTACAGTTTGGGTCAGGCCCAACGAGTTTGAGCCCGAGAGGTTCATTGGTGGCCCCACTAAGGATATTGATGTGCACGGTCATGACTTTGAGTTGTTGCCCTTTGGTGCGGGAAGAAGGATGTGCCCTGGCTACCCTCTTGGGCTTAAGGTGATTCTGTCAAGTGTGGCGAATCTGGTTCATGGGTTCAATTGGAAGCTTCCTGGGACTGTGAAGGAGCAGGACTTGAATATGGAGGAGACTGGTGGGCTTTCCATCGCCAAGAAGTTGCCCCTTGAAGCAGCGCTTGAGCCCAGGCTTCCTCTTCATCTTTATTCACCAGCTTAAGTGGATAAATGTGTGTCTGTGTGTGTTTTATAATTTTATTTTATCAGCTAATTATTGAGTGAGAATGTAAATAAAATTAGCTGTGCTTGTATCTTGTATGTTTTATTGGATTAAAATGTAATTTTCATTTCAAGGATTTGGGTCTATAAAATAAAATTTATCACAATTCGTATCTTCTTTTAATGAGTTTCCATCACTGGCGCTTCCACCACCTCTGCCCTGTGATTTTGTACAAAATGAAACACGAGATGTGCAAATTTTTGTCAACAAGATAGACACGCTTTCCGCTTACCATTGCGTTATATGTCTCGGACCATATAAAATTTACATTGTTCATAAATTAAAAAATATAAATCCTATAAATTATTCGAGAAAACTCCTCTATTAAAAATTTAATCAATAAGGACCTAAATGAGCATCAATAATATCTGTATAAAATTTTTTAGGTTTTTTCACTAATAAATTTTCAATGACGACTTTTTCAACAATTTTAGCAATTTCTTAAATAAATATTTCATGAACGCAAGGAGTGATTTTAACTTGGAACTAGGAAGAACACTGCGGAGTTAGCAGAAAGCAACTTCGGGAGACAGTTTGAGAACCAGAGCCCTCCTGGACTCGAGCTCCTGGAAATGGGATCGACAACATTTTGGGGATTGAGGTTTGAATGGATTTCTGTCGAGGTAAGTAGTCTGGTCCGGTCGTTGATTTGCTCAGACTTCGCGACTGTGTTTGTCAGAGTTTCACAATTGTGTATATCATTATTGACCTCAATTCAAACATAGGCTAAGAGCTGTCTCCACAACTTCGTCTCCAGCTCCTCCTCCGGCCGTCGTTTTTCCAAAGTCCGGCGGAGAAATGAGATGTCCTTTTGCTGCGACGCGAGCCGACGACACCTCTGGTGGAAACCTAAATTATCGGACGCTACTGCGATTTCCGGTAGAGAGCCTAGGGAACAACATTATTATGTAACTCATAGTTGCTTTGCCAAAATTCATGAGCTTGTTAGATCTCCCCTTCCCTTCCTGGTATGCTATAATGCTAAGCCTTGTGTTGATTAATTGTTGCTTGATAGTTGGTAACTTATGCTTCTCAACCAAATTCCATTTTTGAACAGACGAATTCAACTCCAAGCAAGTTTTGGATTTTGTTATGTGTTGCCATTGTTGTTTTGGTTACGGCCGTCCGAGCGTTTGCGGTGAGGAAGTCGAGATACAAGCGTCCTGGTTCCGTCGCTGATCTCGTGAGACGTGGCCAGCTTAGATACGATTCAAGAGGCATGTATGATTCTATTACCCTTTTGCCTTTAATCTTGTTAATAAAACAGCCATTATCGTTTATCATTATATTTGATGGATGCTTCAAAAATCAAAATCATTCAGATCAAGGCCTCTCAAGTATGAAGACCCATTCAATAACCCCCTAGTAAAGGTTAGCAAAAGCAAATCAACCGTTGAGATGTGTGGAAAGCTTTACCGCTTGGCCCCAGTGACTCTTACTGAAGAGCAGCAAGCCATCCACCAGAGAAGGAGATCACGGGCCTACCGGTGGAAGCGGCCAACTATGTTTCTTAAAGAAGGAGACTCTCTACCTCCCGATGTTGATCCTGACTCTATCAGGTGGATTCCCGCCAATCATCCTTTTGCAACTACTGCTGCTGACATCGATGAGAACTTCGCGCAAAACAATGTCTATCAAAAGCATGGAGTTCCTTTGCGTATCCAAGCAGAGCATGAAGCCCTCCACAGAAAGCTCGAAGCCCTTGAAAGTGTAAGCATTCACTAAATTACTACACAGACACGAGGAGCCAGATAGTTTTCTAGGGAAGAAATACCTGGTTTTCATTTTTCCACATCCAACGGCAATTCCACTGGTATTGAATGCTCACTTTAATTACCCTATTACTATGATTACTGAACCACGCAAACACATAGGTTTCCTGATTTTGGATTATCAATACTAGAGCATGAGTCTTTACAGTAACAGTTTGTATGTGAGTACTTCAAGATGCCTTCCAGTAAATACCAAGGTGATGGTTGTTGCATAGGAAACAACATAGGGCTATCTATCTCAACTTAACTTCTGAAAATTAACTTTTCAGTCTCTTGGGACCAAAAACTACTTGCAGCTAAAGTTCACTATATCAGAGTCTTTAAATCCATTTGAGCTATGAACCCAGGATGGTGACTTCGTTAACCAGCCAAAAAGTTAGTGTTTTGGTTTCTCTCCCAACATTAATTCATTTGTATAAGGCATGGAGCTGCTCTCTTGAATTTATTTATAGACTAGGCATGTCATGTGTCTTTACATGCCGTATTATATTTTGGTTACGTGACAAAAATACTTGATTTCTGCAAATTGGCAGGCTTTTTGTCTTGTAAGTTTTCACTTTTCTTATTTCTTGAAATGTTTGTGTCTCGTTTGTAACATTTTTTCCCATTTTGCAGGAGCAAACACTCAACAGGTTGATGCTAGATCCTACCAACGGTCAAGATTTTGATAGACCTTTGAAGTCCCACGTCAAATCAAATGGCCAAGCAGAGAAGACTTCCATTAACAATCAGGTGAGTGACCCAGATAAAGTTGAGAGTCCATCAGCATCTGAGGAAAACCCGGGTCCTTAGTTGGCATACCGCTCATCTGCCAGAAATGCTCAAGGTAAAGCTGCTTTGAGGGAATTAGTGAATCTCCACTTTAACACAAGTGTAGATTTGAATTTGCTCCGAAATTTTGCCCTGTTGATCTGGTAGCCTCAAAAGTTGCGATTTGTATAGGCGATGACTGTACATACTAAATACTACGTGTGCACTCAGCTCCCAACTTCTGCACTTGTTCCATCCTCACCACTAACAAAATTAACCAACGGTGGGCAGAGGTTTTGGAATTTGCTTTATTGCAATGGTGATGAAAGTTTGATTTGGATTCTGGAATATGCTTTATTCATCCTGACATGAGTTTTGATGGTGCTCGCGTTTATGTGGTCGGGCAATCGAATGATTGACTGAACACATTTTCACACATAGACGCTGACGATTCCTCAAACATGTTCATAAGGTAGAATATATTCGCATGGATGTGGGCTAGACTCACTGTATCAAATACTCTTCCAGTCTTTAATATAAGACCTAATTATTAAATTAGTTTTTATTCTAAATATGAGACATACTTCTCACATTTATTAATTTTTTCTAAATTACCTTTATAGATACTCCTTCAACTATAATTAAGTATGGAAAAATATTAAGAAAGATGATTATGATGTTTTAGAAAAAACATGTCATATTTCTTATAACTAACTAACTAACTTACCTAATTTTTTTAATCTAATCAAATTAGTTAAATAAGTCTTATATAAAAGATCGGAAGAGTATTATACTTGAACTCTTATTTTGTGACAGCACAATTTCATTTTTACGTTGACTGTTTAAATTCCGGGGTACTCAGTACCGTCACTACTGATTACCGTTTGTTTGAAATTTAAAAAGTATGAAAAAGGCTTTCTTGTGGGTAAGGAATAAGAGGGGAAAAGGGGGGTAACTAAAATTAATAAAAAAATGGCATTCGTTTTAGTTTGGAGAGTTCCGCTTGCGGTCTTGGATTTAGGAATTAGGAGTTTATTTTGACTTGATATACATTTTTTTCTGTTTTCTTTTTGGGGAGAATGACAAAAAAAGAAGCTGGAAATACAAATCTGAAATCAGGTTTGGTAACACAATTTTATTTGGTATTGACAAGTCTAAATTTGTAAATGACAATAAATTTTTGTTGACATTCCTTGTTTAATATTTACAAAATTTCAGTTTTTTTGTCATTATCCCTTTTTTTTTGGGAGGGGAGTTAATTGAGTCAATTTGCCTGTTTGATTTAGAGCTTGTTTGGATATCATTCAAAACCATAGTTTGGGAGTCAAAACCATAGTTTGGACTAGGTGATGTCCAAACAGCCTTATTTTTATCAAAACCTTGGTTTGAGAAAAAACCTTGGAGGTGTTTGGATGTAACCAAACTATGGTTTGGAGAATAGATTTTGGGGAGAATAGATTTTTTGAAAAATAGACTTTGTGAAAAAGTGATTCTGAGAAGTGAAAGTGCTTGAATAGTTGTTACCAGAAGCACTTTTTACATGCGCAAATTACTAAAAAGGGCATAAGTTAATATGATAATTATATAAAAGATAGATTTTATAATATATTTTAATCTGAAAGAATAAAATTGTTAACAAAATAATTTTTACTAACATAATTAATAATATATAAGATAATATAATTAATAAATAATTAATATGTGTATATATATTTATAAATTATGAGATTAAAAAAAAATTTGTAAAAAATGAATAATTTTTACCAACAGAAAAATATTATTTTATTCTGAAAACAACAAGACACATATCTCATAAGTTCTTATACTCTTTCTTTTTCCTCTAAAAGCAGAAAATTTCTGTTTCTGCCAAAACCATGGTTTTGGTTTTTTTTTATGATATTTGGGTAATTTTTTCCCAAACACCCCTTTAGTTTTGGCCAATGAAACCATGGTTTACTGGAAAAATGAAAACTTTTCGCTTCTGAGACTTGAAAATGAGTCGTGTGAGTGATAATTAGGAATGTCAAAAGCTGCCAACCGTTTATTTGACAAAAATACCCACAAGAATTATTTCACACCTGTTTGTCTGTTGACGCTTTTGATCCTGCCCATTGCTTGGACTTCGGGAGTTTCGTTTCTTGCTAGAACGCTAATGAAGCTGACCAATTTTCTAAATATAATACTCCTCCGGTCCTTAATATAAGACCCATTTAACTAATTTGATTAGATTAAGGAAGTTAGGTAAGTTAGTTAATTATAAGAAATATGACACGTTTTTCCTAAAATACCATAATCATATTTCTTAATACCCCATTTTTTTCTTCTACTTGATTATGGTTGAAAGAGTATCTATAGGGGTAATTTAAAGATAATTGATAAATATGAGAAATGAGTCTTATATTTAGGACCAAAATCAACTCACCAATTGGGTCCTATATTAAGGACCGGAGGAGTATTATTTAGTTTACCCTTTGACCAAAAAAAAAGTAATATCATTTAGTTTTCACAGCTTTGTTAGCAAATGTTGTCATTTTTCTTTTTCGCCAAGATTAGATTGTTCAACCGAGAAAATCAAATATATATACACATATTAATTATTTATTAATTATATTATCTAATATATTATTAATTATGCTAGTAAAAGTATATTATTAACAATTTTATTTCTTCAAATTAAAATATATTAGAAAATTTCTCTTTTATGTAATTATCATATTAACTTATACCTTTTTTAGTAATTTGCACATATAAAAAGTGATTCTAATAACAACTATCCAAACATTCTCACTTTATCAAAATCACTTTTTCACAAAATCTATTCTTTCCAAATCTATTCTTCAAACTATGATTTGGTTTCATCTAAACACACTCTTATATAGAATACGAAAAAAGGGATTGTTTCTTACATTTTCCTTTAAAGCGGAGGTGTTTGAGGGTTGCCAAACACCACCTAATCGTTAAGGAAGAAACGCCAGTACTTAAATAAACCATCGGTCATTCCTCGCCATCTTTTCATGTCAAAATTGTTTTCATCCTCACAATCTTACACGCTTTTGTTGTAAATTTTTTTGGCCAGCAGTCCATGAAAAGTTTAAAAGTTGGATGTGTGTATTAATACGACATTCGAAGAAAAAATAGCGCCATCATAATGGGACATTTCTTTGAGTTTTCAAAGTCTTTCGGGAGGAGGGAAAAGTCTTTCGACTAAAGATATTCCAAGTTTCATATCTAAAATGCAAATTTTCGTATGAAAGAATAACACGTGTTCTACTTCGTCCATTAGGGGGATGCTGCTAACTAGCATAAATGTTCAAAGACAAAAGACAGGAACTAACATTGGAGAGTATATATAACACCTAGCGGTTGTATCACTCGTTCTTGGTAGAAGCAACTTGTTTTGCACCAACAGCAAAGAATTCAGTGATGACTTCAAGGGGCATACCCTTGGTTTCTGGAACCTTCAAGTACACAAATACCCATGAGATACAGCACACAACAGCATAAATTCCAAAAACACCAGCGAGTCCAATGGAACTAAGCATCACAGGCAGTGTGTAAGTGACGATGATGTCTCCAATCCAGAACACCAAGGCACATATGGCAATACAGAGCCCACGGACCCGTGTAGGGAAAATCTCTGAGCAAAGTATGTTTGGAATTGGTCCATAGGCCATCACAAAGCAGCAGAAATATATTACAACACATGCAGTTGATATTACTGCATGCACCACATTGCCAAAGTCCGCTATGTTTCCAATCACCAAAATAATGAGTGACACTATCAGCACAGGAAGTGTGATGAGTAGTAATTGCCTGCATTAACCAAGTAAGTTACTTATTCCCAATAAATCACAAATCAAGTATACAACCAACACACACACACACAAAAAAAGAAACTTTTTTAAAAAAAATGTATCTGTTTGGATATTATCGTGTCCTTCGTGTATACGGTGCCTGGATAGGTTTATAAGTTTAAAGATTCTAGCTTCCTCACAAGTTTGTCTTTTGGGAGAGAATCTTTTCTCCCATCATAATGCCAGTTGGGAAAGGTAGGACTCCGTTAGGATTCTGAGTACCGGATTGAATGGTATGGAATGCCTAGGGGACTTATCAGTCTATGGGTTCTACCTTTCTAATAGGCTAATGCTAATCTGTTGGGCTCTATCAGAAGCATTTCCAAGAAAAATAAGCAGGTAGACCAGAAGGAGAATTAGAGCATACCTTCTGCCTGATATATCCATGAGCCTCATGGCTAAACCAATACAAGGAAGCATTAACAAGGTTGTGAACGCACTAATAAGAAATGATGCAGATGTCGTGCCAAGGCCTAAATTTTCGAGAAGAACTTCAACACCTGCCTCCTCAAGGATTTGGGGAGTGTAGTATAGAACCCCATTTATTCCTGAAAACTGTATAAAAATATTTAGAACTAGATGTTAGTCGGTGATCGGATGGCATAAACCAATAGAAAAGATGCTGTGTACATAAAAGACAATGTAGAAATTCGGACCAGAATCTGGCCAAAAAAAAAGAAAAGAAAGAAAGAAAGAAATTCGGACTGGAAGAATATGACTATGCAAACCTTTTTAATTTTTACCTTGGATTATGCAAAACTGAACAAACAGGCTTTCAAGTTCCAAACAACAAGATCATGGGTTAAAAGCTCATTTATTGTAACCACATATTACCTGCTGAAGTAGTTGAATTCCAACACCAACAAACAATGCATGCTCAACCCCTGGTTCACGCAGAGCTTTCCATATTGGTCCCACTGAAGCAGTCTTAGATGGGTGAACCATAGCAGGCCCAACTGTATGCTGATCAAGAAGTTCCCTGGAGTAAAGAGCAGGCTGACTAACCAAGGCAGCAGCCTGGATAAATTCACCTTCACCAAGAGCATCCCCACCAGGAACTGATGCAAGGGATCCACGTCGAGATCCGGGAGTTCCCTCTTGGTGCAAATAAATCCTTTTAAATCCTCCTTGTTTTTTACCATCTTCACCTTCTTTCTCGGACCATTTCCATGCGAGCTGCCAGCCACCACCAATGCCTGTACTACCAACTGCCTCACTTGATCCTTGCATGAGGCTACTGTGACGCCTCATGCTGCTCATAATGCTGCCATGAGAAGGAGGAGGTGGCATCTCCTTTTCCATACTTGTCGTTTGACGTGAGATTAGAGGGCTATGCAAATTGTCATCAGAGTCCCCAGCAGCATCTGAGGCATAGTCTTCACCTTCTCTTTGAAGGCTCTCCTCATCCCATTGTTCGTCTTTGATTTGAGGCCCAGCTGTGCTGAACATGCTTCCAAAATTTGGTAAAAGCGTGCTTCCTGTCTCAGGGAGCTTCT